GAAATCACGTAGCTCCACTTACCGTACACGGGGCAGGGTTTTATTGCCTCACCCTCACACACAAACACCATCTCCCTGTGAAAACCACCCAAGGGCCTTCCTCTTAATTATCAAGTGTTCTCTAAGACATCAGTGATATGCTCTTAGGACAGAAGTGGACCTGGGCCTACAGCTCAGCAGTAATTGGGTCTCCACTCAAGAACAGAAAAGAACAAGTCAGACATCACAGAGGGGATTGTCACAGAGGGAAATCAGCTTTTTATAGCCACCTCATTCTCATTGTGCCACTTCAGAGCCCCACTCATCGTTTAAATTCTACCAGGAAACCAATTATTAGGATCGAATAAAGAAATGCACACAGCCAAACAGCTTGACTGGTGATGAGTGCGAGTGTCATTGTTATGTTACTTACGCCTAATGCTCCAGGGATCATGCTTCCCTTCTGTCTGAGGGCCGATTCTTCCTGCTACAACACAAGGCTGATATAAATGTGTTTGGTCTTCCCTGCTCTGGTTGGGGCTCTGTGGATGTTGTCAGTTCACTTTGGTGAAGAGCAAGATATCTCTGCAGCTATTGGCCACATTGTCGTAACATTTAGTAGTGGTCATGGTAGTGGATGGATCCCGATGATTTTGGTGAACCTGGTGACCTTTCCCAGTACTGTCATCAGGTTAAATGTTTCCCCATGACCAACACTCTGGTCCATGACAAGGTATCTTTAAATCTAATGAGCACACTGGCATGGAATTCACCGAGCACATTCCTGTTCCACAGAGAGGAAAGTGGAGGGCACTGAACTAAGCTTTTGATTTTCTTTAATACTAGACATGTTCAAATACGCAGTTCTCTGGATAATTTTGCTGAGTAAAAAACATAGCCTCTCAAATCTGGAACAAAAAAGGGATGTAATAAAGGCCTTTCCAGGTTTTACCCGCAACAAAACCAAAACAGCTTCTTTGGTGTGTGCATGTTTCAGGTGCCAGGGAGATGATGAAATACGATCTGGAAGTCCAGTTTGAATGAAAATCGAAGAATTTGAAGGCTTATCAGACACCAAAATACTGGACTGTGGTTTTTCTAACTCTCATTACAGCAAAGTTTGGTCCTCTGTCTCAAGCCCACCAGCTGTAGAACTGTGCTGTTCACATTACAAGCAATCTACCAAGACTCCCACCTGACTATGACAGAGACTGAATATAACATGAGGTCATCAGAAACTGTTTCACAGCAACATTTAGACGTTTGGTGCTTGCTGACATTTGCATTTAACAGGGTTAAAAAGAGAAAAGCTGAAACATGCACATCCCAAATCCAGAACAACAAATACAGCAGGTGGATAACGGACACAGAGTCAACATAATGTACACTGCTCCCCAAGTGTATTATTGCTATACCTTTCATCCAGTAGATATGCATATGGGTCTACTGAATGCACATTCAACCCACAATGAACATATTCATCGGACAGCTGTCACAGGTTGATGTCTGGTTGTTGCTGTTAGTCTGCCATGCACTACTACAGAATAACACCACTAAATTATATCACAGCATTACCATTTAAGTTTCCTTCAGCTTCATATACACAAGTACACATACACACTAATAAAAGGACATTTTAATCTTGATTCTTTTGTACTTTAATCACAGTAACCTCTCTAATACATTTGAAATATGAGACGCTGAAGCTGCCGTAAGTCCTTTTGTCAATAACTTTTAATTCAGTAGTTAATAAACATGCACCTTTTAAAAGGGAAGACTGAAAGATATATCCAGGCTGTGGCTCACTTCTGAACTATATAACTTACTTCATTAAAGAAGCAAAGCAATCAATGTACGTCCTCAATAAGAAAATCAACGTAGATTTACCATCTGGATCCAATGTCCAACATGAGGCAACTTTTAGAAATGAGTACATTTTACAAAAAACAACAAGAATACAACGTCATCACACGCTCACAATACTTACAAAAACACCCTACTCGCTGAGCAAAGGGTAACATGTTGTTTTTTTTGCTGCAGCTACCTCTTTGACGAAGTACTTTCAGGGAGAGTTTGTTCCCCATCTTTCTTCCTCTTCTTCAGTTGCTTAACAATCAATACCAAGAAAGCTACAGGAGAAGATCAGACCCACCCACTTTTTCTTAACATCTCCTGCGTAACTACTATTTCATACCATTTTATATAGAGTTGCACAGATTGATCGACTGGTGACTGGAAACAGCCGGTTTCCAGCTTGCTTGGCCATGCCTGCCAGCCTCGCATATCCGATTCTGTGCCGGTCAGATTTACATGTGTTTACATACCGTGCAGCTGCACAGAAAGCGTCTAATGCCACAGCCACACACATGAACAGCCACACACACGCTAAAACATTGTCAGCGTGGAAGTTCTTTACTGTGAGTGACATCTGTACTAATCTTAGCATTTTGCAGAGAAACACAGAGAGAGGGGAGTTATCAGGAATTACATTAGATGATGTGGGCATGGTGGATATTTTACAAGCATGGATCAGGTAAAGCAACAGTGAACACAACTGTGCCCATGTCATTCAGTACCACATTTGTCTCAATCGTCAATAATAAGCCTCCTGTACGTACGCAACTCATCTGTTGTTGTGGCCGACTTTTTAAAACTGCCGACGAAGACAGTCACAAGAGCAGACACATACAGGGAGAGAGAGACAGGTGTAGGTGTGACTGAGCGGAAAAGCAGTTTGTGAGTAAACACTAAAAAAGTATAAATAATATCTGAGATAAGAAGTAACCTACTAGAAATAGTGTAATGTATTTTTTCAAATATTTTTAAAAAATACTTCACCCTCCAATGTTACACTTATTCATTCTGTGGGAAACACTGAGCCGTGTCGAGTAGCAATCAGACAGTGTGTGTTTTTTGCAGCGAGAGGCGTCTTTTTCCAACACTTTCCTATAGGCGCTAAGGGTTTTGTGCATTGCTAATGTGCCCTGCACACCTTGCTGGGAGTACTCTGAGGCTCGAGTTGAAAAACCTCAAATCAGAGCAGAAAAGTACCCAACGTCATTGGTGTTTGTTTTCCCATTATCCAATCAGATGAAAATTATGAAGGACAAACTATTGTACTATTTAACAAACTTTAGATAACATGATATGAACAGAAAACAGCAGGTCTGGAGGCAAATTAGTACTAATGTAGGTGTAAACGGGTACAGTTCATGGTTTGTGCTGAGCTAACGTTAGCTAGCTCACTCGACAACATTATCATGGTAATGTTTAGCAAACCTAATTACAAAGTAACAAGTCTCACATCACGTGTCAGATTTTAAGGATGTGAGAGCGATGATTTTAAAACAAACTGCCACAAATAGATGCTCCGCAAGACCAATGGACTACCTATAGCCATGGTCATTTTTGTCATGTTGATAGACAGCAACTTACTTGGGATTTCGAACAGAACATAGCACAATCTCTGCTGCTACCCTTCTCTTACATAATATTGTATCCACTTTAAATAATACAATGCACTGTGCAGCTCTTTTTGTGTCCTGTCAAAGGCTTCTGACATGATGATCACTTTAGACTTCTAAACAGACTATCAGATACTGGCATGGACTATCTGAGGTGGTTTAACACCTACCTTTAGATGGACAGCAGTGTACAAAAGTGGGCGATGTTAACTCTGTTCCAGTCACTGAGCATTCCACAGGGTTCCATCTTAGGTCTGGTATTATTAACACTGGCTTGTCCATCAATACATGTCATTCACAATTTGCATGCAGATGATACTAGTGCTGCAAAAACCCCAATTATTTTCACTGTTATTAATTGATTAGTTATCTGGTTATAAAACGTCACCACAAAAAGTGGTGAAAAATGTCGATCAGTGTTTACTGTCATAGAGGAGTAAAGAAAGCAGAAAATCTTCACATTTGATTTACTTATTTTTTTATCCAGACCAACTACCAGGTGGGCTGGCACTCCCTCTCCGTCAGGCACTTTTATCTATTCACCTATTAAAAAATGACTACCATATTTATTGTCGCTCGCTATGAGACTTCTAACTTCGCTTCTGACTGGCTGACTATAAATACTAATCTTGGACAGCCTTTGTCTGGAATAATTTAGAGAGTAGACTGAAACGTGATGCACTGACATCGTTTGGTTAGAGGTTGTATTTATTTGAGGTTTGACTGTCTTCCATAATGTGCTTGAGTTTAATTTATTCTTCATCATCATCTACCCAAGAATATTTTAGATTGTAATCATTTATTTCTCTCTATCTTATATCAGTTAAATGGCTTTAAAGCAGCATCTGACTTGAATTCGTCAATGGATGCTAATTTTAAAGGCAAACAATTCTGACTCGGACAGCAGTGGCGAAAACCTACAACCTGGAGCCCGGTCACCTCAATGACAGGGCTCCCAATCTGAGTAACGTCAGATACCAAAACACCACCTCAGGTTTACCATCAACGCTACACTGACGAAAATATGGTGCTCCACAATAAATGAAACACGGTTTTGCATAAGCATAGCACACACACAGCTTGGTGTCATCATACGAAAGTGTCAGTACGTGGAGAAGATCTGAAAAATAGCATAAAAGAAATTGGAAACAAAACTTTATTTTTTACAGCCAGAAGCTCGTCGTGGATTCCAGCTAGCATGCTAACAGCTAAGTTAGCTCTGGAAAGCAACAGTCTCACTAGACTGTCGCTTAACCTTATGTTAGCCGACGCCAGCTTTCAGTGGTTCAGGGGGATATTCTGACCTGCTCCTATGAAAAAACCCGTGACCTGAACCTACTTTTCTTTATGTTGCATTCCCTCTGCAATACATATATTTTCCAGCCAGCATGAAAGACCCACAGTACGAACCCCAGCCCTGTAACCCCTGGGATAACTGGGACTGGAATAACGTTCCAGCTAGCTGCTGAGGCTACGACAGCGACTCACAAGACTCCACAGAGAAAACGGGCTTCAACTTTGAGACAATATGAAATCTGTCTGTGATTTCGGACTTACCAGTATTTGTTCTCAACAGACCGCAATCCGGCAAGACAATGAGAGGATAACAAGCTTCAGGGTTTAAAGTGAACTTCAGCACGTCGTTAGTCAGTCCGCCATCTTGGATTTGCTGGAAACCTGGACTTAACCAAATCAAGCATACTGGGGGAGGGTTTAAAATTTAACCCCCCCAAATTATACACCTAACGTTTGTTTTCACAGACTGAAGTCCAAATGAAGACATAGTATCTTCTGCTATCCGGGGATGATTTAAGGAATGTCAGTAGTAAGGTTCACACACTTCTTCTCTTACCTCAAATTAGTGATGGATAACCTCTGAACCACAGTGAAGTTTCTTCAAACCATGCGTGTGTTTTTAAGCTTCACAGATGTGCAGTGCAAAGAGTTCATACACCTTGTGATTTGTAAGCAGAGAAAAATTGACACGACAAAATGCATGTGATTCTATTATCTCACGACACTTACAGGTGAAACTAAAAAAATTAGCATATCGTGCAAAAGTTCATTTATTTCAGTAATTCAACTTAAGGTGAAAATAAATAGACTCATTACATGCAAAGTGAGATATTTCAAGCCTTTGATAGAATTTCGATGATTGTTGCGTAGAGTTTATGAAAACCCCTAATTCAAAATCTCTGAAAATTACATGAAATCAATAAAATAAAAGGATTTTAAATACAGAAATGTCAGCCCTTTGAAAAGTAATCATGCATATGTACTTGGTTTGGGCCCCGTTATGCAGGAATTACTGCCTCAATGCGGCGTGGCATGGATGCCATCAGCCTGTGGCAGTGCTGAGGTGTTATGGAAGACCAGGATGCCTCAATAGTGGCCTTCAGCTCTTCTGCATTGTTCGCTCTCATGTCTTTCATCTTTCTCTTGGCAATGCCCCATAGATTTTCTCTGGGGTTCAGGTCAGGCCACTTTGCTGGCCAGTCAAGCACAGTAATCCCATGGTCACTGAACCAGGTTTTGGTACTTTTGGCAGTGTAGGCAGGTGCCAAGTCCTGCTGGAAAATGAAGTCAGCATCTCCGTAAAACTCGTCTGCTGAAGGAAGCATAAAGTGCTCTAAAATGTCCTGGTAGACGGCTGCGCTGACTCTGGACTTAATAAAGCACAGTGGACCAACACCAGCAGATGACATGGCTCCCCAAACCAACACAGACTGTGGAAACTTTACACTGGATTCAAACATCTTGGATTGTGTGCCTCTCCATTCTTCCTCCAGACTCCGGGACCTTGATTTCCAAATGAGATGCAAAATTTGCTCTCATCAGAAAAGAGGACTTTGGACCACTGAGACCAGTTCTTTTTTTCTTTAGCCCAGGTAAGACGCTTCTGACGCTGTTTGTTGTTCAGGAGCGGCTTGATTTGAAGCCCATGTCCAGGACCCGTCTGTGTGACTCTTGATGCAGTAACTCCAGCCTCAGTCCACTCCTTGTGAAGCTCCCCCACACATTTGAATGGCCTTTTCCTGACAATCCTCTCCAGGCTACGGTCATCCCTGCTGCTTGTGCACCTTTTCCCTTCCACTTAACTTTCTATTAATGTGCTTTGATACAGCACTTTGAGAACATCCAACTTCTTTTGCAGTTACTTTTTGAGGCTTTCCCTCCTTGTGGAGGGTGTCAATGATGGTTTTCTGCACAGCTGTCAAGTCAGCAGTCTTCCCCATGATTGTGAATTCCACTGAACCAGACTGAGAGACCAATTAAAGGCTCAGGAACCCTTTGCAGGTGTTTTGGATTAATTTGCTGATTAGAGTGTGACACTTTGAGCCTACAATACTGAACCTTTTCACAATATTCTAATTTTCATAAGCTGTAAGCCATAATCATCGGAATTATATCAAATAAAGGCTTGAAATATCTCACTTTGCATGTAATGAGTCTATATAATATATTAGTTTCAGCTTTTAAGTTGAATTACTGAAATAAATAAACTTTTGCACGATATGCAAATTTTTCGAGTTTCACCTGTACGTGATGCCCACCTGTAATCTGCAATGACCAAACACAAATAAATAGGAACATTAAATAGATTATATATAGGCCTCCAGTAAACAATATCGGTAGGTGATACAAAGATAACTCTCAACTAGAATACGACTGTACTGTCAAATGTCAAATTTGTATGGTAAAAAAGAAAATAACCTGTCAAAATTTAAACATTCTCTTTTTTAAAGTGTTACAATGTTATAAAAAGCAACCAGAATATAATTTACCTGATTATAATTTCATAACCAGATTGCAATTTTGAGATAACCCTTATAATGTCATCAGGGTTGTCTCAGCTTGGAGCCTACACATTTGTAACAGAAAGCCTGAGTTAAAAATTCCAAAATAATCTTAACCCAGAGCCCAGTTGACACTCTCTTTTCTGTAAATAAATCTTTTTGCCATGCAGCATATTAAATACATGTCAACATCAATCCAGTACATTCATAAAATATATGTAGAATTGTTTCTGTGCCAACATTACAAAATCCATTGGATTAGAAATAACATTTTAAAAATAATTTTTTGACATACTTCCATAATTTTATTGTTAATAAAAATGTTGTTATTATAAGACTAGTTCATTTCCAACTACAAGGAGTTGCAGGGCTACCTATCTGTAAGATTTTCCAGCAGAGATCTTAAAGTATTGAATGGTTTGTGGTAAGTTACTGGTAACTTGAAGATTCTGGACAGTTCCAACAGTCCAGCCTCACCATGGAGTTCCAGTGGCCCCTGTTGAATTATTAATGTTGTTCATGGTCATCCATTATTTGTACCTGTTGGCCCAGCAAGCCCCCAGGCGTCTGCATTTGGGTCCTACCCCCTCTATTCCTGTTACCTTGCCACACCAGCCGAATAAGAAAAAGAATAAGCTAAATAAACAAATGCATTTGCACTTATAATCTAAATATAAAATACTTGTTTTATTGAGACGTCAAAGTAATTATTTTGTGATAAAATCTCCAGTTAATAGCACCGAATCCCAATCTAACAAGAGACTGTGAGGAGAGACGAGTGTGTGTTGAATCTGAGGAGGAAACACTGAAGTTTAAGAGTCACTGAAATGCTTACACTGGTTCATACTGTGTGATGTGTGAACTGTGTCTGAGGGGAAAAGCATTTCTATTTGACACGTAACACTGCTCTTGCTAATATTATTTTGGCCGTATTCAATAATCAGTAATTTTATTTATATAGCTGCCCCAATAATAACATTATACATTTCATATAGAGCAGGTCTAGACTGTTCTCTTAGTAATATTAATATATTCATTTAACTCTTAAAACTTATGCTGTGATGCATATCTGAACATTTTGTGTACCAAACATCTTTCATGTATGTTGACTTTTGCCTCTTTCACTTATTTATCATCTAGAGACTGAATTATCCATCCAAACAAATGTTCATGCTTTGACACAAAGCTCTTAAAATCAAGGTCCACTTACTGGCTTTTCTGGAGAGTTCCTCATGTTCCTTCCTGATTAATGGATCATCATCATCACTGAACAGAATTTGTTTTGCAGAATATTAGATTATTGTTCTGTTTAGAGACTGGGTTCTTTCTATTCAGTTGGTTAAATATGTTATACATTATTTATCTTATCTTCATTTCATTGAACAGTTTGGCACTTTTACACACATGACTTGTAAGATTTTATAAATTTCCAGTTTCATGGTTTAATCATTTGGAAAATAGCAGCAGAGAACCAGCAAAGAGCTCTGGCTGCTTTCCACACATCAGCTTTTGAGTGAAAAAACTCATTTGTGAACCAGTTATTTGATTGGTAAAACACAAAACAGCCTAATGGCTGCTGCTTTGATGAAAACATCTTCGTAAGAACATAAATATGGAAAACCAAATATCTGACATCCAATATGTGGGGTGTTCTACTGGGGAAAAAAATTGGAGTTTGGTCCTGACTGACTAGTGATCTGATAAATGATCTTACAAATCCCTCTTGTGGCCACTAGTGAGAGTGCAGGCAGCCTCAGGATAATATGTGATTTGACCATTTGACAGCGGTAGAAATAATGAATGAGAACATCCATGACTCACAGCATGTTTGTGTTTTGAATCATCTTTATTAAGTAAACTCTAAACTTTTAGTATTGCTTTTATCTTTTTTTATTCTTTTCACTCTAAATTAGAACCTTTTGCAATCAGCACATATAGAACTTTTCAATCAAGCTACGCTTTATGAGGAATACAAAAATATCACAGCACATTTTCTAAGTCACCTTCACCTGTGAGGTCCAGAGCCAGTCAAAGAGGTGGGTTCAGAGCCACAGCAGCTGCCTGGACAGAGATGGAAAGTCAACATGTCTTAAAGTAACAGCACCATGGTCTACGAGCTAACCACGCTGAAGAAAGGGGCCCATCAAACACACCAATGTGTGTGATTTCTGACAGGGCCCAGTGAATGTTTGGACTCGTGTGCATCACACAGCTCATCTCAGCAGCGCTGTCCTGGCCTTTAATAGTGTTTAGACCAGTGAGCTTCACTGTCCCTGTGTGAGACAGTCTGCAGAGTCAATGTAGTGGCATCACAAAATCACAGCTGTAGACTCACAGAGACGAGATGAGCGGCATACTGTGGATTTTGGGAAAGACCTCAAGGAGCCTCTAAATTCACGCAAAAGTGTGAACTGAAGAAGATCCAAAAAAGGCAATCCAGACTATTCCACTGTGTGTGACAGTCCTAGATGCTTCCCAATAAAAGCAGACATTAGCCAAACCAGCTACTTAATCAACCATCTTTTCTCTCTTGTAAAAACAAACCATACTCTTATGACAAAGCATACATTTCAGCTTTGTGTGGCTTGTCCAACTGGGTTTTTAAACCAGTAAGGGTTTAACTACTGCCCCTTTGTGGCTGATGGGGGACAAAGCATTCAATCACAGTTGTACACAAGGGGAAGTACCCTCATTCCTGTTGGGTCCACCGCACTGAGGAGAATATACTTCACCTAAAAATACACTTGGACAAGCTACACAAAGATAAGATATATATAAAATGTTTTATCAACAGTGGCTTCTAACTGTATGTGTGCAAGGAAAAGACAAGGATGGGGACTAAGTGACCAGCTTGGCAAACATACAACGTTAGTGTGCTTTCCTAAACAATTTAATGGGAAGCATGTGAGACTGTCTATGCATCTGAACGAGTCAGTTGGATGCTGAAAAGGAGGGCTGGGTATGGACTCTCAGTACTTTTGAGTGCACACTGATGTGTGTTTGCATTACTCTCCATCAAAACTTGGATGCACCCAATGATTGATTTATTTTCATGTAAAACTTCTTTGATCACTGGATGTAAATTCTAATTTAGTTTTATTTACTTTATTTTAGCTGAGATATTGAACAGTTATGTGAAGACAGCATTACAGACGGAATTTGACAAGCTTGGCTTATTTTGAAAAATGGCAAGGTGGCTTTTTTTAATATAGAAAATTTTTATATTTAACAATATAAATATGTCGCTTTACTGAGGTCTGAAAAAAATTGCATCAGAAAACTGATAAACTGAAAAATGATTCCCAGCCCAACTGCCAAGTCATAACAAAAGACTGATCCAGATGTTCGAAGTGTTGCTTGGCCACACAGTGGTTAGGTGGCCTCTGGTTTTGGTCTGGAGCTGTGCTCACGTCACTCCTCAGGCAGGCTGAAATGTACATTTGGATCCCACACAACAACAACAGCACCTTTAACATCCTCTCATTCTCTTCCCATTCCATTCTGCATACATGTCATATTCTATACAAAGTATCAAAAAAGATTAAACAAAATACTGAAAAATCCTCACCTGTACTCACAATATAATTTCTCATATTAAACCTTTTCTTCCTTGCAAATCTTCCTTTTCTCCCACTCTGCAAAGATTCAGATCCATAGTGACAAGCTTTTAGTGAATGAGACATCACAGCACCTACCACTCTGGACAGGAATGTTGCAGCATGAAAATGACCCACACTCAGTGGTTTCATTCAAAACGAAACTAAACAAAACTACAAAACACTGGAAACGAAGTGAGGATGGAGGGTGAAAGATCCCCGTCAATGTCTTCAGTTTGGGGGAAATGGAAAAGACGAGTTAGATAAAGAAAGGAAGGAGTACACTTTAATTCCACAGTTACACAAACATGAACCATGATAAAATGAGAGTGAGGAGTCAGTCAAGATCAGAGGAGAGCAGGAAGGTGACCCGGCTTCTCCTCTGAGCTGTGGGAGGACAAACGCACACAAAAAAAGGAAGTCTCTGCGGGTCAGGGGTATGGGAGCTGATTGTACTGCCTGTGTCACGTGTTGGAGTCCACGTTGCAGGGAGCAGGGTCCCTGACACAACCAGACAGCATGAATGTGGCCGGCTCAGTGCAATGGCAGTAGCAGTGCTGGAGGCCGAGTGGGCGCTGGATGGGACTCCTCAAGCCCAGGTCCGGGCCTAGCACACTCTCGCCGCGAGCGTGCTGCTCAGGGGGAGAAAGTTGCCATCTCCAGGGAGATCCGCTGCCACAGCTCCTTGGTCTGCTTGCCTCTCTTCAGGTTCTGCAGCACGTCGTTAAACTGCATCATACCAACAGGTGTCAGGCAGAAAGCACCTCGAGCGCTGCGGATGATGTTGACGAAGTCATCGTAGTCGGCAGGCGTCAGGTGGATGAGCCGGTGGTGGATATACTGCAGAGAGAGAGAGGTATGATTGTACAGGCAGCCTGAATGGACCGATCAGAGAGCACTGAGACGGAGCAGCACTACATGATGTATTAAACAATGGAGAATGAATCCAGACATGGCAGAAGCTGGAGCTGCTCACTTAGCCTATTACCTGAAAAGGTTACTCCCACTTCCTCATGTGCTTCCAATTTGAGTGAATTTGAGTGAATATGAGTATTTGGGGCTCGAGCACAAAACGTGCGAGGACCCTACTGAAATGCAAGGAATTCTTTGTTTTTCCCAAATTAAATCACAATTTTGGGGCCTAAACCTGCTCAAAAACTCACAAAACTTTGCACAAAATTCAAACATGGTGAACATTTTCGTGTCATATGGTTTTTGTGCACGGAAGTGGCAGAATGGCTCGCAAGCAGCCCCTAAACTGCAGCCCCCAGCCCACGTTTTACTGAAATGTACAACATTTTTGTGGCAGATGTATCATTTCCAGACCTACAGAAAAGCCTCTCGGAGCCATACCTTAAACCAAACAGGAAGTCGGCCATATTGATTTTAAAATGCAATTTTTTGCTCATTTTACAGGCTCTGTACTTTAACGTCTCCTGCTAAAGAATTAAACTGATCAATTTCAACTTTTCCCTGTGCAATCTAAATGTACTGACGATGACAAATTGTGCTATCTGTGAGTTTTCCTCAAAGGCCGTGACCCTGGCCTGGCGTGAACAATTAATGATTTGCCAACAAACAGGAAGTTGTTATAACTTCAGTGCACACGGCCAGATCTGCACTTAACAATACATGTTGGATAAAAGTCCCACCCTGAAGCCAATATTCACTTAATGACATACTGCCCCTCTGCAAGCCCCTACGCACATCACAGCGCGAGTGCCCGTCTAACACTGCTTGCAGCTTTAATTATTACTAATATCTTGATTTGTTGACATTCAAATATAGGCTGGACATGTAATTGACAACTTGGGTGGACAGACAACTAAGCACTGTTCTTTGTTTTTCTGGTAGGAGACAAAGACAGAGCAAAGCAAGGACCACCTGGGGAAAATCTCGACTGCAACCAACCATACATGACTCACCAGCTGGGATGTTGTATAAACCAGGATTTGTTTACTGACATTTGCGGGCTGATTGTTCTGCTGATCAAACTGCACTGGTGTCTGTCCGTCTACCCCTTAATGAATGCAGCCAGGGCTGCAGCGTAGATGCAGACGTGTCGTACCTGCAGGTAGGCCTGTTGGCAGCGCTGGACGAGCTGGTGAAAAGCAGGTGTTCGGAGGTGGGCGTGGATGTGGGCGGGGTTCAGCCTCTGTAGAGCCTCCATGATGATCTCCTGCAAGACGAATGGACTGAGGACGCCTTTAGCTGCTCCGACACAGAACTGGTACACATAGTTGACTCCTGACAGGGAGAACAGGCAGAAACAAGAAAGAGAACGACGCTGATCGGATATGTAGATAGAAGCTGAAGTGATGGTTAACGAAGAGGAGTGAGTTTCTACACTGTATTTTGTGTCAATTCAGACTGAAGTGTCAAATGAGACAGTCATAGTATAGAGATCACATACATACAATCAGTGAGTGAGAACAGAGCGGTGCCAATAACTGGTCTCTTTATTTACAGCTGAGCCCCCGTACAGGTGCAGCTCAGATCATTTACAGACAGTCCTCTGTTGAAACCCAGTTTAGAGTTGTTGTGCAATGTAATTGGACCAAACAGCTCATCTGTCATGTAATATTCACTTATTTATTCAACAAACCCCCTTTTTTTACACAGCTATTTGTCGGATAAACTCTTTCACAACAAAAGGACAAAAACCTCCTGAAGCGAGCGTAAACCCTTTTAGTGATACTGTGGAAGTTTTGTCGTATTTTGCCATTTACCAGCTGCCATACCAGCTTTTCTAACTAGATAATTCTAATAAAAATGCTTGGATGGAAACATGGCTTTTTGGTTAGATTAGGTTGGCCTACATGACAATTTTAGATCAAGCCCTTTAGAACAAATCTATGTGCAGCAGCATGAGCAGGTCTTTGTTTCAAATTCCTCTGTTTGGTAAGTATTATTTTACTATGAAGCCTTTCTGATTTGCACCCATTTGCCCTGATACATTTTTGTTACATTACTATGCAGCTAATACAAACTCTATACTTCCTGTATGCATTCAAATTCAAAGCCTGAAGTGTATCAGTGGACAGAATCCCTTAATACTGTGTTGGGAAAAACTTGGTGAGTGGCATGGTTACTGTACCGTACTTCAAATGTAGCTATCGCCATCTTATTATGTTGTTACTACAAGATACAGTTTGGCTGGAACAGGAACATTTTCCCATTTTTTCCCCATTTATTTTGCCTTTTTTTACCATTGCATTTAAATTAAATCAGAATGTGCTTTTTACCCAGTGTTTCCCACAGGATTTGGAGAGACTATGGTGTGTGGGTCCGGGGCCCGAGAGGGTCCAGTAAAGTAAATTACATGTGTCTATTCACTTTTAATGGACACATGTTTTATACTTTCTGTGAATATAATCCAATTAATCTTATTTCCATCCTGTATAGACGCCTTATTTTGACGTTGTCACATGTGTATCCTCAAGTCCGACCTGATTTGATAAATAATGTTGTATGTGGTTCTCGTACGGCGTAACATGAAAACTTCACAGCCTCCCTTCAGGTAGGACTCTCATACTGCAACACTTGTCTTTGTAAAGAGACAAACTGACAGGATAAAGTCACTAACTGCCTGTCAGCTCGCTCTGGTCCTTTTCAGTGGATTTAATAATGTATTACTCCAAATTTAGGTGCGGCTAGCTTAATCGCCTTCTCACAAACAAGTAACAGAAACACTCAAAGCGGGTCAAACGTTTGTTGCTTTTTCTAAGAAGTCAGCCACAGATTGACTGGATGTGCTAAGAGACAATTCAGCAGAACAGTGTCTGCAAACGGTCATTTTTGCATCTTTCTCTTTAAAATGAGACCCTTTAAAATGCTCAATGTCAACGTATTTGTTCTGTAAAATTTCTTCGGCGAACATTTGGTGCATCCCTAACACATCCATCTGAAGTGACTGAATTAAGTAGAGTTATTGTCATTATACATGATTATATTGCTAAATTTATGGAAATGTACATAATTTATGCTTAGTTGTGAAAGCCCCATATGTGAGCTTCACTGTGAAGTCGTTGATTCAACAGAGGTAGTTGCGTCTGCTATAAATAGCCGCTATGACAAATGGGTGTATGTCAGCACAGCACTGTGTCCAGTCCACAGTCGCCTCTGCCTTCTGTTCATGGTGCGACAGTCATTAAAACTAACATCAGTTCTTCCTTTGCTCACTGTCATTGCAGTTTGTCTGCTACTAGCTACAGCAGACAGAGACTTTCTAGCCCTGTTGATAGAATGTACCAGATGCCTTAACATGGCAGGCTCACCTAGTCTTGCAGCCAGTCCTAGCAACCATTTGACATCCTCAGTGTAAGGTGGACTCCTGGAGAAGTTGTTGGGGTGGTCATTGTGTGCCCTCCTGCCCAGCATCTCCAACGCCAGCATGCCTTCGCACAAAAGAACAAGAGAGATTTGTTCAGTTCATCTACTGTACTATAAGCACATTGGTTAAAATAAAATATATTCACTGGACTGAAACTCCTCACCAACTCTGTAGGCAGAATGCAGGTAGTGCAGGCCCTGTTGGCTGATTGGCTGGCTGTGCTGCTCGTCCTCTGCTGGGAAAGGAGTGACCAATGAGCCAGGCTGGGAGGAGAGGGAGGGCAGAGATGCTCCCTGTATGGCCTGGATGGTGGGGCCCGTGTGGACGCTGCCTACTGTAAAACAGGCACATCATACTGTTTAGCGCCGACCGACACACATAAACCCACCCCGAGGTCCTGTAACATTTACCAACGTACAATCTCTAAGCTAGAATTTACATTCGTCCGTAGTTACACTTGCATTCACACTGATAATTAAGGCAAAATGCAGGGCACTCTGAGAACCCTGATGGTGTACTCATAGAGTGTGGAACGCTGGACACTTCTCACCCTCAATGGTCGCTATCTTTCCTATTTTCAAACTTGTGAAAATGGCAGCTGAAACACACACAGACACAGGAAACTGCAGAGAAACACACTTGTGTGTCATCCTGACCTGCTACAGTGGTGCTGAGGGGCAGGCCCGTCTCAGTGTGGTAGGGATGGACGGCGATCTGAGTCATGGACGGTACTGGGACGCCAGGGAAGGTCACAGCTGTGGCTGCCATAGGTGGCTGAGGGCCAGTGGCCACTGAGAACGGGTACTGTGCACCGATGAAGGCTGGGTGCATTCCCTGAGGGGACACACACACACACACACACAATTAGCTTGTGTCACCTGCCACATACATTCTCACATAAAAGTGTGAGAATGTGTGTGTGGCACAAACAATATTTATTTCACATGTAAGGACTCATCTGTATGTCTTATAATAGGATACCAAGTAACTCTATGGGCTTTTCCACTAGTGATAAAAGCCACCATCTACAGTTATAAAATTGTTAGGCAAGTTTCAAGTACATTTTTTGAATTTCATGTTTTCATTATCAATTCATCAGCCCTTATTTTCTCAATTCATTAATTAATCCTAAAGTAGGATTTATTTAGGACTGATTTTAGCATTTTGCAGAGAAACACAGAGAGACATTATCTGGTATTACGTTAGAAGACACGATGCAGACACGATAAGACCAGGTAAGACAACATTGGGGGTGGTGAGGGCCACCCTGCTAGTGTGGGAGACCTGGCTTCAGTTCCCACTGCAAGACACTTAACTCCTTGTTGCTCCAGAGGCGTGCGACCTCTGACATGTATAGCAACTGTAAGTCGCTTTGGATAAAAGCGTCAGCTAAATGAGTAAATGTAAATGATAGGCCAGGCCATAGACAACAAGCCTCCTCCACATGTGAAAATGGAATTGTAAGCTAAAAACAATCCAAAATACGAGTTGTGTTCTTAGAAAGCAAGAAAATTGGAATCGGCAGATCACACTCGGTGCATCTCTAGTGGAAACACACAGCTGACTGAGACGTGCTGATTAGACTGCTCCTCTGGTGTTTACCAACCACTTGATTGACATTTCTGTGAAACTCCTGCTACATACTGTATCTCACAGCAGCTTGGAGGCAGAACAACGCAGGTGTTATTTACATGTTAACATTTTTAACTGTCAGTGCTATTTCAACTCCTTTCACTGTTTACACTGTGGTTTGCATTCTTCATCGCTTTGCGCCTTTTCCAACTCTTCATACTCCTCTGGCTTCTCCTCCACTCTAATTACACCAGCAATGCACTTTAGCATCAGCTTTTCAACATCCAGCATTCGCACCATCTGTAGTTTAAATTACAGTCTCCCCGTACAAGCAGACATTCACCGCTTTGTTGGACAAACAGTCCAAAACTTAGAGACTCTGTTTACTCTCTTACACGTCTGAGATAACCAGCAATCAATTACAATCTAAAAAACAGCACATTAATAGATGATGAAAACAGTCATTAGTAGCAGCCCATAATGTTTTCCCTAAACAACAAGTGAGTTTGGTATTTTCAAACATGTACATGTATTTTGTACACTGACTGCCTGCAGCTATTTACAGTATGTAGTTTTGAGTCTTGTTGTGAAGACAGCATCAAAACTGTACTTTCAAATTCTAGTTGTGGACACTCAAATTAGCTGTTTCTTAACAAAAAAGGAAATTCAACAAAAAACCCACTGACTGTATGAAGACGGTTTCTGACCTGTGGATATGCAGCCCCAGACACGGGGAAGACGGTGGGTCGGGGGACGTGCTGCAGAGGGTGTCCCAGGTACTGGGGGGTGCAGACGGTGGGGAGATGGGCCTGGATGGTGGTGTACGGGTGCAGGCCCTGGCTGTGGGGGTGAGCCATGGCCTGCCCGGGCATCGGATGGGACTGGTAGATGGTGGAGCCTACAGAGATGACGGGTACGACGGCTGCGGCAGTGACTGAGGCTGTGACTGTTGCCATCCCCGGAGACTCCATGTTGGCTCCGCTGTCGAGGACAACACAGGTGGACTCTGGGAGCCTCCTGCCCGAACCGCCGTTGGCCCCACAGCGCCCAGAGGTCTCTCGCTGCTGGCCTGAGCCCCCGCCCACTGACTGCTCATACAGCCAGTACCACTGGTGAGCCACCTCAAAGAGAACCTCAGGGTACACACCTCCACCCTTGGCTGCTTCCTCTACCGCCATGCAGGCCTTCTCCAGCATCACATTGTCCTGGAGGGGGACAGGGCCAGAAGGGGAGAGACGGGAAGTGAGTTTAGGTAGCGGAAAATGTAAGATTAGTGAAGAGGAGAGCACTACGGATCATTGATGTACTTTTTTTTTTAAATACAATAAATCATATATTGTCTTCACATATTTCTTCATCAGTATGGAATGAATACAATCTCATATTTCGAAACAAAGAAAAAAAGCTTTGAAACCTTGACATCTAATAGAAAGTTTGGCAAGTTTTAAACTGAGTTCTGAAGGCTTGCATAATGTTTTGACAGGCTGAAAAAATGAAAACATATAAAGAGAAGCACTGTTAAAAGACTGATGCGCTTGTGAAGGAGGAAAACTCAAATACAAAATCATGTTTACAGATATTTGAAGTATAAATATCATACTGTATGTAAGCCTTCAAAAGTTGCAAAACCTTCATTAGATTTCAAACTTTCAAACCCAGATTCACCCTTTCGAAACATTTTTCAGTTCTGAAATATGACTTGATATTCATCCCATATATCCGCTAAACACCTTTTCAGATGTGATTTTAAAGACTTTAACAACAACAACAAACATGTGCAACAGTATGCATCTGCAAATTGGATTATGTATTTGCAATTTAATCCCACTCTGAAACTCTGAACGATTCAGCTGACTAAATTCAAGGTTGTATTGTGGTGCCAGAAGTTATTTCAAATTCAGTTCTTAACGTCAGATTTAACTTCCTGACACTCTGCAGGGAGAGCGAACAAGCACTGATTCAACCACTATATATCTCTCCATTTCCTTCTCACAGGTCAGTCAATGGTATCAAGCCACACATGTTGTGTCGTGTGAAACTTGGCTTGTTTGCGTTCCTGAGCTGAAATGGTATTTTATTCTGCCACCACTATTTGAAGTTTTGTTCGTCTAAATGTTAAAATCTGACAAAACTCAAATCTGTTTTAAAAGTATAAAGAATATAAAACATTAATTCAGTTTTGAAAACTAACTAGAAAACAATTTTTTGAGAAGTTCTATTTACTGTTTTTATACTCTACAGATACCCTTACCTGAATGAGTGATGATTTTAGCCCTTTTCTTCCAATTTTAAGAACGGCCGTGTTGATGCTGTTGGCCTGAGGGGGGTGGAACCTGCCATGTGGTGGGCAGCTGCTGCTTATTACTGAGTGAACCTGTGTCTCTGCTTTTCCCCCTTGGATTCCATTCTAATGAAAATTAACTCAGTCAGACTTCAATTCAAAATGTTTCCTCTTTTTTGAAATTTTTCTCATGATTTTTACTACTACTACTATTATCATCATCCTGAGTTTCCTTTCATTTATTTTATTTTCCCTCTCTTTTCTTCCATCATGCATCCTAACATTTCCCTGTTCACACCTCACACATACCAACACTTTGTAGTAGATATCACACCTTCACTAACATAAATGAGAATTACCGCGCCATTGTTAATTGGCTCCACCAACTGGTCAAATTGCAGTTTCCATCCATGTCGTCCAGACTCATATTATAAATGTAGTAAATACTTGGAAGGAATTGAATAAAAAGGTATAAAGTGTATTTTTGGCTAAATGGAAGTTAACACTACACGGATGATATATACAGTATCTCACAAAAGTGAGTACACCTCTTACATTTTTGTAAATATCTGATTATATGCTTTCATGTGACAACACTGAAGAAATGACACTTTGCAATGTAAAGTAGTGAGTGTGCAGCTTGTATAACAGTGTAAATTTGCTATCACCCCTAACTCACGCTCCAATACGCTGTTTGCAGTCACGTGATTACGATGGCTCAAAGAAAAGGCAGAATGGACGAGATGGAGGAAAGCCCGTACTGTGCTAGTCACTGTTTACTCATTGTGTCGTTGTCATTGTGGGGGTTTCAGATGTTTTGGGGTGGGGTTTTATGATGTCACAGTGTAGTTGACCTTTGGTCTTTTTGATATAAAATGTTATCACTTCATTATTTTATCTTATTAGACTATTGTGTGAAATGATGTTAGAATTACTTACTTACTACATCGATTCTTAAGTTATGGCCAAAAACATGTTTTTTGAGGTCACAGTGACCTTTTAATCAGTTCATCACCGTATCTGAGTGGACGCTAAATTTAATAAAATTCCTTCCAGGTGTTCACAAGATCTCGTGTTTTTACGAGAATGGGACGGACGGACAACCAGAAAACATAAAGCCTCTGGCTACGGCTATTTTGGTATAAAAACAACAAAAGGTTTTGCCACTGGCGTACACTACAGATACCCAGTTAATCTGATACTGACCTAATAAACTGACAAGATGTTTCACATTGACAAAAAACAAGCTATTCTCCTGTCATGTGAGACCAATCACACTTGAATACACATTCAGCAACATGTTCTGCCGTGTTCAGCAACAGGCTCATCAATTACTTGGAACGGTAAACCCACTCCCACAGTACCTGCTCTTTGCATTGCACCAGGGCTCTCTGGATTTCATTAGGATTAAGGGCGTGAGCGTGAGGCAGGCAACTCAGGGCCAGCTCTGCCGCCGCCCGAACCATGTTGGGGTCCCGGGCCCGAGATGCTCGGTCAGCCAGGGATGCCACCTCCGGAGGGGTGAGGTGACCGTCCCAACACTCCACCAAAATGTTGAGGGCAGCACTGCCGATCTCCATGGCCTGGCCTGAGAGAAAGAGAGGGAGGTTTAGTCAGTGCATTTGAAAGTCTTCATGTTTCTGATCTGCAACTCTTTTTCTCGCACGCACACACACCGCCCCTCACCAGTGATCCAAGACACATGGGAGGAGTAGGTCCTGGACAGCCAGTTGGGTGAGACAAAGTTGTGGAGGCCAAGAGCATACAGGCCAATCTCAAAGGCACACAGGTGCAAGTTTCTGTGGGGCCCCTGGTGGCCCCCACTGGCTGAGGGCTGGGTGAAAATGGAGGTGGAGGAGTTCCCTCCAGCTTTGATCAGCACCGTCTTGGCCAGCTCAAAGTAAAAATGGGCTGCTGCCTCTGATGGCTGGTTGGGCACGTGGGGGGCGTGGCACTCTGGACGTCGCCCTTTGTACCTGAATGTGGGGAAATGTGGACGTGTTAATCAGAATTCATCTCCGTTTTTTCAAATGTAGATAAACAGATCTACTGTAAAACAGTTTTGTTTTCAGGAAAATGACCTTTCCAGGCTTGTCTGGTCCTACTCTAGTCTGTACTGTTCTGTGAGGCCTCATACTTACTGTAGGCCTCTTTGTGTTTGTATTTTCTGCTGCCCTCTTGTTTGTCATGTAATGCAGTCTTATTTGACTAGTAAAAAAGTTGTATTTTCATTATTTGCTTCCTTTAAATGTCAGGTAACTGGACATAAAATTCAACAATTAACTGAAAGTATAAGAGCAGCAGACAGCCATCTGAAGCTAGTATTTAAAATAATTTCCATCATATGCAACCCTTATGTCCCTTTCCAAGACTGACAAGTCTGACTTTTCTTGAGGTGGATTTATAGTTGTACAAAGCAGTTATGCTACAGACAGAGCTGGGTTGTGTTTTCTCCTACAAATGCTGATGATGCTGGAGGAGGTTGTTGGGAGTGAAGACGACGTTACAGCAGTTGAAGAAAGGCTTAGTAACATTTTCTTTTTCAGTAACACACATTTGGCAAATACATTTCCATTGCAAGCCTTCTTCTCACTGCGACCCCCGCTCTCTATCCCCGTAAATGAAAGAAGTAATGAGACAAGGAGAAGTAGAAGTTACCTGGATGTGACTCCAGTTCTATAAGTATGTTCATAGCCCACCACCGCTCTGTATCACAAAGTCAATCAAAGAATGTAAACACAGTTACTGTGGCGGATATGATGAAATCAGGATATGGCCTGATCATGTATGATATATCTGTCAGTTGTTTTGGCATAAACAGGTCAAATAAGACACTGAACTGTAAATAAAGAGTCTACACTGTAGGTATCTACAGCAGGACCCCTTGTGTCAAGTATAAACCCAGCTTTGGCCTCCTTTATAAAATAGTCTGCTGCTGACCACAGGTTGCTGGGAGTTCACTTCCACCTGATGAGGAATCAGTCACCAGTAGACTCTGTTAACAGGCAGCATTTGTTCTTTTTTAATTCAATCTTTTCTTGTTGGTCATTTCAGTAACCCAGCTAGTGTGCTTTTACTTGTCTTAGTGACCTGATGAGGAGGAAGTCTGTTTACCTGCTGGTGTCTGTGCTCTTGGCCCTGGCCCCGCCCCCTGCCCTGCGAGAGCCGCTGGAGGAGGAGGAGCCCAGGGAATCAGACGATGAACTGCTGATGCTGTCACTGTCCTGGCCCCGCCCCCAGGAGGTTGCTGCCCAGCCGCCCCGGAGCGGCCGCCGGCTGAGAGTGGGCGAACTGTCTGAGGTTGTCTCCGGAGCACTGCTGTCGATACTCGCCATGCCTGTCCAAACAACATGTATGTGAAGCTCTTTCAGTACATGGTTCAGTTTTGGATTAAAAACTCACTGTATGTACGCTATCAGGAAATACCACGTATCTGACCCAGGCTACAAATAAACACTGCCTGTCTTACAGTGTGGATAAAAGTTAAGGTGATCTGTGTAAAAAATCTGCACATACCGGTGTGCTTCTTCTTCTGCCGGACAGGTGAGCCCCAGCAACGCTGGCTGTATCCACAGCGGGTCCCCAGCGCCAGCCGACTGGGCACAGTGGCCTCCAGCTTAAATGGAGCTGTTTCATTCTGCTGGTCATTGGATGACGGAGGCCCATCTGATACTGCAAGGAAAGAAAACAAACAGAGGTCTAACTCTATCAAAGCCTACTGTGTTTTCACAGAGTGAAGTATGGTAGCACATGATATTTCAGAAATGTAAATCCAAAATCTGAATCTCTCACTGACTACTGCTACAACACAGCAATCTTGGCCATGATATTAACATTAGGTAAGGTAAGACAAGATCATATTAGCCCTTCAGACTAGGGCAGGCCAATACAACAATAATGATAATTATCACGATATAGTTTTCCTCAATCACAATACAACAAAATGTTCAATATACGTTTGATTGAATTAATTTGAATCACAAACAAATTAGCACTTCATTTTTTAAGATATTTTGTTGAGTTTTTTTTTTTTACTTTTCATAATTGTTTTGAATGTTCTACCATGTTTGGCATCAACTGTTTGTCATGTTCTGACCATAAAGAATTGTTTAATTAAAACCACAAACAACCATCTAGTTTCTTCAACTTTCACTCAGGAGCATAAATCAGCCTTTAAACTTGAAAGAAATAATGATTTGACATTTAATTATAGATATCGAATGATATGATTTTTCTTTTTATCATGATCACATTTTTGGCTATATCGCCCAGCCCCACTTCTGACTGATCCTCAATCCTTGTTCAAGACTAAAGGTGAGCGGGCTTCTGTAGTCAAGATCACTTTACTTGGGATTCTTTCTAATATGTTTTATTTGTTTGTTTTTGTCATTATTTTTTTATCTTAATATATTGTTGGATTATTTCATCCTTGTGCTGTAGTTAATATTGTTAATTACAATAACAACAATAATCATTGTTGTTGTCATCATCATCATCATTGCTATTGTTAACTATAATAACAATGGTAATGACGTGGTGGAGGGGTGGGAACTTTTGTACTTGAACAAGAATTGAATCAATACAGAACATTTTACGGCATCTGTGTTCAAAGAATGCATACCGTACTACTAAACTACTTGTTTAGTCTTTTATGTAAGAATAATAATAAATACTACTACTAAGCTGGGATTGGCTCGAGCCCCCCGCGACCCTGTACGCAGGATAAGCGGTTGATGATGGATGGATGGATGGACTACTACTACTACAGTATTACGTGTTACTACTTATTACTTTATAGTGAAAAACATGAAGCTGCTGTGGATGTTCTGCAGTATAATAAGACATGGCAGAGAGGGGATGGGGGTTCTCACCATGCTGCCTGGTCTCAGCAGGACCTTCCCCTGCTGAACTGTTCTGCACTGGGTTCAGTTCAGCCTGATGAGCCACCTCTTCACCAGCCAGTGCCACGGCAGAGGAAGAGCTGGAAGACGAGGCCGCTACAGTGGTCGCAGACGAAGAGGAGGGTGTGTGTTTGCAGACACCCCCGGTGGCCCCGCTCACCCCACTGTGTCCAGAGGCAGTGTGTTTGGATGGGCTGCGCTGGCTGCCAGCTGCTGGCTTGCTGGAGTAGAAGGAGCTCAGGGTCTGGGGCTTGTGGGTCTGACTCTCCCTGTCCAACAACTTATCCAGTATCTGGGGGTGGGGGGGTGGGGCAGAGGAAAGTGAAGTGAAAGAAAAGTGTTAGTTTGGTTACCCCTGGGGTAGAGCCAGAATATTTTTAACATCTAAGTCGCTGAATTAAGGGTTTATTTCCACCAAATCACAGTTGGTTATTGTTCTGTCAAGTTTTAATGAAGTTTTTGTCACCAAAATCATAATCATCAATGAAGTCGAAGTGTGAAAAACATTTAACAACAGCGTTCTCCAGGCACAGTCTTTTTCTCATTCTATTTCCAAAGCCAGTCATCTGCCTCGCCTCTGCTACAGCATGAAGAAATCAGTTTTCCCCTCAGGCAAAATAGTTTTTGATCTGCCCGGCACAGCAATCTAGCTTTACTTGAAAAAAAAAGCCACCATTTTCTTATCAAATCAAGGAGAGATGGCTACCTTCTTGAGCTTGCTCTGGTCATCCTTATAGGTGATCATGAGAGCCAGAGCCAGGTCACCCTTCACCCGTCTAGTTCCTTCACACAGCAGAGGATGCTCCGCCTCACTTACTGTGGTCTTCATACCTGCAGACAGACAGTGGGCAGTATAGATAAAGTTGTGGGGTGTGAGACAAGCGGTGAGGACAGAAAAAGAGACACTGAGAAACAGAAACTGAGAGAAATTAAGGAACGGGACAAGAATAAATTTACCGAGTGCAGCGACAGCAGCCTCGAAGCCCAGCTCCTCATCGCCAGGCATCTCGTTGTTACGGTTGCGGCTTGGCGGACGGGAACCCGTTGGGGACACAACTGCACAAACAATATGGAGAAAAGTGAAAGGGATGTTAATTCTTGAAGTTCCCATTTAAATATCACAGTTTAGCCAAATAACAGTAATACTTCTTCAGTCACTTTGAGTTGACCCTTCAGGCAGGAAGTATACTCCAAAGAACACATACACAGGCCAACACATGCAAAAAGTCAGAATTATTTAATTTGATGATTAGATCTTATATTATTGTCAAAATAATCTTGTCAAACATAATTTGCATTAGGTTATAAAAACTTGTTTGGGACGCAAGGTGGCATAACACATCCTGTCTGTATCTCAACTGACAATCTTAAAACTAGGAAGGACAGAAACAATTCAATTGCTTAAAAACAGTCTTGTGGTGGAGTTCAACATTTTAACAGTAACTTAACAGTAACTGGTGCTTACCTGGGGTACACAGTACATCAAAGATGAAGCTGGCTAGCATCAGAGGCAGCACAGGTCTGTAATCACAGAAGTTTCCGTCTCTGAGCTGCTCGGCTCGCTCTCTGATGGCTGACATCTCCACCAGGCCCAAAGGAATCTTCTTCAACAGAGCCACCACCTCCGACTCCTGGTAGGCCAGCTTCACCTGGTAGACCCACAGAGATAACATCAGTATGTGTGTGTGTACATGTTCACCTCTCCACATTCTATCAGCATATATTCATAGTTCGGATACGACATATACAATAGACATACATGAGGTTTATACAGGAATAAGGACACCCTCCCCAAAATGACCACTCTGTGTCTATCTACATTTATAGCATTTGGCAGACACTCCTACTCAGAGTGACACGCCGATATGCTCAGTCTTCACTGAAACAACACTATCCAGTGCACTGGGCCTGCATCAGTTCTCTTTTGTGGCTAACCTGCTTGTCATGGATAAGAAATCATTTAGTTCTTAATTTGTGGCTGGGGAAAATTATTTGATATGGGCAGACCTAGGGTGGAATAAAAACAAGAAAAAAAAAACAACAACAACCCACGTGGCACTCTTCATTTTCATCATTACTAGCATCATTTTTTTCAGTCAATGAGAAAGCAATTGTCTGGCCACTTACATATCTGTATGGGGTTTTGATATTTGTTGCTGAGGCACCCCGGTGGCCTCTGGGGTTAAGGAGCCAACTATGAACACTGAACTGTTTCAATTCCTCATCTCTCTCTCTCATCTGTGCACTGTAGCTATATAATGAAAAGTATAGATACGCAACATTTTGGAGAGATCTGATTGTGTGCTGGTGGTCAAAAGGAGGCAGAGATGAAAGTTAGCATAATCCATTTTTTGCATCACAGAAAACCTGAAGGGCAATTTTGCCCAGGCATATGTCTCCCAGTGTGTTTCACTTTTGTTTACTAATTTTTGAATACTATTTTTTACCATTTTGTTAATCAATTAATCGTTTCAAGCAAAAAGTGTGAAAAAATGTCAAACACCATCTAGTTCCAGTCGCTCAAATGTGAGGATTTGTTGCTTTATTCTGTTTTATGTAGTTGTATACTGAATATCTGTGGGTTTTTAGTGTTTTTGGACAAGACATTTGAAGTTATGTTTGGTGTTCTTCCACAACATTTTGTAATTTCATAGGCAATCAATCAATTAATTTAAAAAGTAACTGGCAGGTTCATCAATAATGAAAGTAATTGTTACTTGCAGTCCTACATGAAATGACAATAGATTAAACAATTTACATGGCCTCAGGAGACTTTGATTTAATGAGCCATAATGATTAGAGGGGAAAAACCCTCTTAACAAATGACCTATCACTCACTCACAGCAGCCAGTAGATCCTGACTTCAAATGCTAATGATGGTTCAACCTTTCCTCAGTGCTTGGCATACACAAAATTTTACTTTACACTTCTGCATAAACAGAATATAATTAGATAATAAAGACTGCATTAAAGCCACAGTGTTTTACAGCATTATTAATTGATAATAGAAAAAATAAATGTAACTCTACAAACACTCAATGCAATTTACTTTTAGGATTGTTCTGTGCATGCAGTGTGTGTGTGCAATTAGGTGAGAGTGAAAGACCTCCAGAGCTTTGGTTGATGCCGGTGGTCTCTGGAGTTCCAGGGAGAACATGCCGGTGCTGAAGGCCAGGTTGTGGAGCTCCAGTCGTTCACTGAGGACAGTGAGGAGGAAGGCGGCTTTGGACAGTGTGTTAGTGGCTACCTGCGTCTGACGGGTGGTTGACACCTTGCTCTTCTTACCCTAAATCCAGCAACCAGGGAAATAACGATGACATCAGGACATGAAACTAAACTTTAATTGTACTTTTTAGTTTAGAACATTAAGACTGAACAACAGAAGTAGAGAAGACAAGTCAAAGGTAATCGGAGAATGTGTACCAAGCTGCCGGGACTTATCTGACTGTATCTACCTTAGTCTGCGGCTGCTCCACTTTCAGGTCTGGAGGGTTGGCTAACAGGTCTGTGGCCAGCTCCACAGCTAGCCGGCATGCCTCATTACTGTAGCCATGAGCATGTAGAGCCTCTGCACAAGCAAACAGCACCTGCACACACACACACACACCCCAGTATTAAGGTCAGTACAGGGGTTTTGACACCTGTGCTGAGTCTGAAAGTATTTTTGTAAAAAAAGTAAAAATTAAAGCCACTGTATGTCACTCAGTAAGATCTATAATGAGCTAGCACTTTGATTGAAAAGTAACATTCTGTTCACTTATAGAAAATTCCTTATTTCTTTTTTTTCCTTTTTTTTTTTTTTTTTTTCCAGCCTGCATCTTAATTTTGTAGTTTTGGCAGTACTTCATTTTAACATTTTATTCACAAGCTTTGCTGTAAAGACAGGTGGACACTAACACAACTAAAGGCAAGCAACAAGTGAGTTCAACTTTAACTTAATGATCTAAACCAGTTACTTGGAGGATGTAAATGAAGGCAGCAGTATGCAACAATACAAATCCAAACTGCCACACCGTCAGTGTGTTAGGTTTGTCACCCAAAAGTCCTGCACTTAATGTCAGTCATTAGTGAGTGCAGGCCTGTATTTTAGAACTTAAAGTTCTAAAATACAGGCCTGCACTCACTATTTAGAAGTTTCTTCAGTTCTGTTCATTGTCCTCCATTGTAGTCCACCTGCAATTGGTTAACAGTGTAATTACTTAGTTTTTTTGTGAATGGGTTTGGGTCTGATAGTAAGATGTGGCAGCCTGTAATCTGCTAGCATTAGCTAGCAGATTAGAAGGTGTCTCTCTTTCATGGGTCCCGATGTGGTGATGCCAAGTGACCAGGCTGTCAAAAATACAGCTTACCAACAGGCACCTCTGACTGCAGCACTATGTGTGCAACTAATGTCAAGCTGTTTTAGTGCCCACCCACACAGATATTGCGCCACTAAAATTACAGTACTGACATTGTCAGTCTGTACCAAAAACACTGCACTGTCGAAGTAGAAATTTATTTCAAATTTTTTCTTTTGGTAACTACAATTCTGACCAAATAGCATGAAGCTGTATTATGCGTGTTAAAAAAATGGGAATAGGATATTTTATGCTCAATGACATGAGTAAAGTACAAGTTTTATCTATTTTTAATCCATTTCTGTAAAGATCTGCTGCAAAGTTCTGAACAATGAACCAGCACAACATTTGGTCTTCCTTCCTTACCTCCATGCGCCCCTCCTGCTCCAGCGGTTTCATCCCTGCAAAGATGTCTGGCTCCTCCTCCTGGTGGTTGTCAGCCAGCTGTCTGTCTGCTCCCTCCTCTGAGGCAGCACTCAGGTAGTATGCCTGATAGTCATCCTCACCCACGGATTCTCCTCCTGCAGCTCCACCTGCTGCCTCTGCTCCTTGGTTAGCTAGTCCACCTGCAGCTGCTGCCCCGCTTCCTGCTGCTGGTGCAGCAAACGCCGCCTCTCTGCGGCTCCGCGGTGGCTTGGCAGACGGTTGAGTGGTCCCTGATCTAGCTGTAGTGGTGGAAGTGGAAGGCTGGGTACTGCCTGCCGAGTCTACATCTTCCTCTCTGTTCTGGACAGGCTCCACCGCCAGCTCTGCAGCACCAGGTATGTCCATAACAACCGGCACTGTCTCTTTTGGAGGGAAACAAGGTGGAGCAGGCTCCGCAGCAGGAAGTCCAGCTGAGGCATGGCCGACATGCTTCGTTTCAAACATCTTGCCCCCCCCGTTGCTGCTGCTGTACTTGCGTGAGTCTCGGAGCAGTGGACTTGGGGAGGGCAACATCTCTGGCGGTGGAGGGAGAAACTCAAAAGTGTTGCTGGCCTCAGCCCCCAGAGCCAGACTGCAGCCATCATCCAGGCTGAGCTCAGCCAGGTCTGGCTCCAGGGAGCTGTCTTCACTGCTGGTTCTCCGCTTGGCGTTGGCATGCTTACCACCTCCTAGCCTCCACTTCCTCCGGGCCCTCCTACAGATGCCCCCTTCCCACCTCCCTGTGTCAGTTTCAGTTTCCCTCCAGAGGAGGAGCCTGGCCCTTTGTACATGCACTTCCCTCCTCCGTCTTCCAGGGACAGAGAGACGCTCCCTCCCAGACGGACCAGCATCCCTCCCCCTCCGCTCACTGACAGACCCTTCCTCTTGGTCAGTATGGTTTCCTTGGGTCGCACTGCCACCTCCTGTTGGGACGAGTGACCACTTCCTCTACCTTTATAATCCCCCCCAGCTCCACCTTCAACTCTCACCCCTCCCCCTGGTTCAGAAGATTCTCCACCCCCTCCTGCAGCAGCTTTGGCTCCTCTCTGGAGCTGCACTGCCCTGGACCAGCAGAATGTGGCGCTCTTCTTATCAGCGCTGCAGTAAGTGATGCCCTCCAGCGGGTAGGCCACCTCCCAGTTGAAAAAGCAGGACTCCACGGCGGGCTTGAAGCCCTGGAACAGTTTATCCAGGGACTTGCGATGCTGTCCTCGCTTCACTATCTCTATAACTTTCAGGTGCCACTGCTTCAGCTGACCTGACAGTTCCAGGCGCCTGGAATAGAGCACAAGTTTTCTTTTTTACTTCAAGTCCCTACTTAACGATTTCACTGGACAATGTCATTAAGATTAGAGTAAATTTTAAGTCATAAATGTAGTGATATTACATAACTCCACCATGGAGTTTATTATATTTCATGACCAAATTCTGTAACAGTTTAAGAAGAACCATAAGCAGTGTGCAGCCAGCTGTCAGTGGTCTGACCTGCAGGGGCTCATAGTGGGGTCGAGCACTGCCAGCCTCCAGAGCACCACCATCTCGTCACACATGCTGGCACAGGCATGAGCCGCCACCTCTGACTGGCCATTGCTGCGCCCCGTATGGCCACTGGCACTGCTGTGGGACGCTGAGGTCCGAACACTGTACCACCAGCTGATGATCTGAACACAGACAGACAACTCAGTGAGGTGTGTGAAAGCGTGTGTGTCGAAGAATGTGCAGTATGGAACATGTACTTAAATTTTAAAGCATTTCAAATGAATATGTGAGGGAGGTTTAGGTCCTCTCCCATGTCTACAGCAACTTTTCCCGCTACATTAACACCAACATGCTCATGTGTAGATTTTTAATCTTTGCAGTGGTTTACTTCCAGCGGCCAGATCTTTTGTCATGTTGAGGAGGTACCTGTTCGTAGGTGAGGCACTGCTCAGTGAGGATCTCAAGAAGCGGGGCAGCGTTGCTGTCTCGTCTCTTGAACATCTCCCTGACGATGGACAGAAGGTTCCAGATGCCTTCTGGCTCTCTGCCCCTCAGAGGTCGCAGCAGACACGCCCATTCAGCGGCGGCTGGTGGCTCCGTGGACGACAGGTACATGGAGTTTACATCACTATGGTTTAACACACACACCATTGATTTTAGTCAAGTATTGTACATCAATCAGAAAGAAAGAGGGAGTGAAATTAAAATAGAGTAAAAATAAAGTAAGGATTAAGTACACAAAATACTCAAAATGAAGAATGTGTCACCCAGCATGAGGGTAAAGCTATTTTTCATATTTTTAACAGTTCTAAGCAACACTGGAGCTCTACTACACAGAGGTATGAGCTACACTCACCTAAAGGATTATTAGGAACCCATACTAATACTGTGTTTGACCCCCTTTCGCCTTCAGAACTACCTTAATTCTACGTGGCATTGATTCAACAAGGTGCTGAAAGCATTCTTTAGAAATGTTGGCCCATATTGATGGATAGCATCTTGCAGTTGATGGAGATTTGTGGGATGCACATCCAGGGCACCAAGCTCCCGTTCCACCACATCCCAAAGATGCTCTATTGGGTTGAGATCTGGTGACTGTGGGGCCATTTTAGTACAGTGAACTCATTGTCATGTTCAAGAAACCAATTTGAAATGATTGGAGCTTTGTGACATGGTGCATTATCCTGCTGGAAGTAGCCATCAGAGGATGGGTACATGGTGGCCATAAAGGGATGGACATGGTCAGAAACAATGCTCAGGTAGGCCGTGGCATTTAAACCATGCCCAATTGGCACTAAGGGGCCTAAAGTGTGCCAAGAAAACATCCCCCACACCATTACACCAGCACCAGCAGCCTGCACAGTGGTAACAAGGCATGATGGATCCATGTTCTCATTCTGTTTACGCCAATTCTGACTCTACCATCTGAATGTCTCAACAGAAATCGAGACTCATCAGACCAGGCAACATTTTTCCAGTATTCAACTGTCCAATTTTGGTGAGCTCTTGCAAATTGTAGCCTCTTTTCCTATTTGTAGTGGAGATGAGTGGTACCCGGTGGGCTCTTCTGCTGTTGTAGCCCATCCGCCTCAAGGTTGTGCGTGTTGTGGCTTCACAAATAACCCTAACCCTAACCCTAACCCTCAGCTTGAATCAGTCGGCCCATTCTCCTCTGACCTCTAGCATCAACAAGGCATTTTCGCCCACAGGACTGCCGCATACTGGATGTTTTTCCCTTTTCACACCATTCTTTGTAAACCCTAGAAATGGTTGTGCGTGAAAATCCCAGTAACTGAGCAGATTGTGAAATACTCAGACCGGCCCGTCTGGCACCAACAACCATGCCACGCTCAAAATTGCTTAAATCACCTTTCTTTCCCATTCTGACATTCAGTTTGGAGTTCAGGATTGTCTTGACCAGGACCACACCCCTAAATGCATTGAAGCAACTGCCATGTGATTGGTTTATTAGATAATTGCATTAATGAGAAATTGAACAGGTGTTCCTAATAATCCTTTAGGTGAGTGTATATGGTGCTTTGGATAAACAGACAGTCCTAGTGGTAGATAGTGGGATAACAAGTATTCCTTTAACCTTCAATGTGACTGCATTCAATTCAGACTTCAGGAAGTATCAGTGGAAATGTTACATGATCCTGTTAACAGATTAGTGTTACTTTTACTCTGGGTTTGTGTCTTTTTCAAACAAAAGGTTGACATGTGTATGCAGCACCGTATTTGAAGTAAATGTTTGTGAATGGGGTTAGGGAACTGTTTAAGTAAGCCCTGAAGTTTAAAAATGTTTGATTTTTTTTTTATCCAAAAAGGGACAAAATCTTCTAAAGCCATTAAGAAATTAGTGATTAGGACAATTATGTGAGACACGTGTCTCGTACCTGAAGACGACAGGTGAAGGCCCACAGAACTTGTGCAGTGTCTTTTTGATGTTGTCACTCAGGGTCGACTCATCCAAATACCAAGTGCTCTGGTCAGACGCTGAAGGGCCTGCAGTGGGGTCTACACACACACGCACACACACACACACACACACACACACACACACTTTGAGCTTTCTCAAAGCAGAGTATCCAGTGACAATCTGTCCTGCATGATAAAGTCTAAATATTTTTATTTGTTCTATTGTTTGTTTCCGTTTTCTCCAATTGCAGTGACATTTTGGAGATGGACAATAGCTCAGAGAGAAATGACATTTCCTGTCCAAATCTTCTGGCCACAACGATAAACCTCCTCTCTCCATTCATAATAAATAAACAATAGTGCAAGGGTGGCCAAACATTTTTGAGAAATATAAGTGGTCATGGGCCATTCTGAAATTTTCAGCATTCACTCACTATGTTGATATGATCTTGATCTATGATCTTTTTGGTTCCGCCATGTTTAATCTGAGGTAAACCGTTTCATCAACTAGTAATCCATCAGTGTAGGTCAAGTAGTTGTTCAAGATGACATTTAGCGTTTAAACTAGGATTTGCAATGTCCATCCAGTGCAATCTATGAGAAATAAGCTTAAGCCACGTTCAATTTTATTTTTTTAAATTCACTGCGGGCCATTTAAAATCAGGCAGTGGGCCACACTAGGACTGTGGGCCGTAGTTTGGCCACCCCTGCTGTAGTGTAAACAAACACTCCTCTACACAAAAACCTCTCCTAATTTTCATTATCTGAAAGTGAGCCACCCTCTCACTTGACTGTAAATATACAGTGTACATCAGTACAGCTCAAGCTTATTCTCTCGCTGTATGTATGTTTTTATTTCTGCTACTGTACCTGGAGCTCCGCACACGGTGTTGATGGCAGTAGACTGAGAGGACAGCAGTTCATCTAGCAGCCGTTGAGCTGTGGGTAGGATCTGGAGACACAAAACTGAATGAATCATCTGACAAAACCGGTTTTGTCCAGATATATGACATGTACATCATAGAGAAATTATACTGGTATTTTGTTCAGCGGTTTGTTTTAAAAAGAGAACAACTAGCTCAGGATGTGGAAGTTACCTGCTGAGGCAGCTCACTGATGAGGTACTGGGCGAACTTTTGGAGCTGGTCCCTCTGCAGCCTGGATAAAGACTCAGAGACTGGAGCCCTCAGACACACTGCTGATGCCTACACACACACACACACACACACCATTGTGAGAGTACGAACACACAAATATATAAATTGCCCGTGGTAGGGTAAAAAGGCAAATGTGTCCCAGGGGAGGGACCAGATTAAGAACAATTCATAGACCCTACATGAATTGTCCAAGAAGGAGCTGAAGCACCTCACCAGGAAACCAGAAGACTTAGGAGGGGAACTCGCTGGCAAAATACTGGTGGCAGGGCCTTGACTCATGGGGCTACATGGAGCCGCTACTCTGTGTGCACACCACCAAGAGTAAAATACCTCGTGCTGACCCCTTGTTTTTAGCTCCCTCCATGCTATGTTAGCTCTTTTAGCAAAATGTTCAGATGTACTGACTGAATTCTCATCATTCATTAACAATTCTGGGGGAGCAACAAATCAAAACGTTGCCCAGTTGAATTTGATTGAAATAAAATAAATAATTCAGGGCAGCACAATAGCGTAAAAAAAAACTCACCTTGGGCTGGACTAATAATTTTAGCTCTGACACCACCTCCTGTGGTGATGTACCCGATACATCCTGTGGTCTCTATTAATACTTTTTGGTGTTACTGTTTGGTTTTATGTTGATCATAAATGAGATCAGTTGATCTGATGAAAATGTGGTATAGTTTGATAGAATTCCTTTGTGTGAACACAAACTCACATTGTGGATCCTGAAGAGGCAGAGTGCCACCACATGGGCACACCATTTGGCCCCAGCACCACAGGTGCAGCTGCAGGAAGTGATGCGGCAGCGATCAAACATGACAGCCACGTTGTAGGCTCCTTTAGATTGACCGGCCTGACTGGACACCACTGTAGCACTCAGGTGGAAGCCTAGTATAAGAGAGAAAGTCACAGAAAGACAGACGAACACAGAATTATAGGGGACAACAGGAAAGATATGGTGAGATAGAAATGTATTTATTCCAAATGAAATCTTTGTGCAGCAGTTTAGTACAAACTAGAAAATAGTGCCAATTCTTTTGGGATGCAGGTTGGACAAATAAACAAAAATACTTTCTCTAAACTGTATTTTATTTAACTCACTTAATTCTATGGCATTTTTAAGTTTTATAAAACTGAAATGGTGCTTCTATTAAGTGAATTTGGCATTAACTAATGGGTGACTTACAGAAACAATGGAAGTGACTTAGAATCACATCATGTACATAAGCTGTACATGTCATCATTATTAGCTTAAGTCTAGTTGACTAGTAAGCCATACAACTCAACCCACCGATCTGCAGGGGGTCTTTGACAGCTCTGATCCTGTAGAGCTGCTCTCCACGTTGGAATTCATCGGGACTCCCATTAGCCAGGCAAGAATATAACCTGCAGCAGGAGGAGGACAGAGACAGACAACGGGACAGAAGAAGCACAGAGAAAGGACAGGAGAGGTGAGAGAGACAGGAAGAGAAAAAGATGAAGGGAAGATAGAGAACCAAATCAGTAAGTGAATCACAAATCTGAGTATATCTACACAGGTAGATAGAGATAGATAGAGTTCTATCATTCTTTTAAGCCTCTCATCCCGTTCAGGGTTTGTGGTGGGTTGGAGTCTTGTTCTTGCACTTAGTTAGCTGATGATGTAAGGTGGTTTGCAATGTCCTACTCTGTCTAAGAAACCACAGTATGCTTCAATCAGAATTGGCATTAAGGTGGTAGCTTACTATGTGTCTTTCTGGACAGTCGTACCATCTGCAAATGTCAACTTCCTACCTTGAAAAGCCACGTTTCTTTCCAAAACCTTCTTTTTCTAAACATTTCAAAGCTAGACCAGCTGTGTTTCTGTAAGGACGTTCATAACTGAGTCAATCTGTCTACGTTTCTGCGAGTGTGTGTGATGAATTTGAGAGAAGTAAACGCTAACACAAAATGCTAATTTAGGGCTGGGTTCTGATAGCTGGTTCCACTTTGGATCGGGTTCCTGTTCAGTCAAAATCTTTGTGAACTCTTCCCAATCAGAAAAAAGCAATGGACTAAATATTTAAATATGGTTAACATGCTTGTGAAGGAAAATAAACATAACTATATAACTCCACTGAATGATTGGAGGGGACTTTGCATTCTTGTAGTCCTTCCAACCACAACCAAATTAATTTAGCTGATCAATTTCAGGAGTCAATATTTCTCAGTTAATCTTTCATCCATTACATAACAATACGTAGAGTAGATCATCTTAATAGTTTGGAATCAGGACATCCAGTATTTGGAGTAAGTAGCTCATGAAAAATAAGGCATTGTGTCAACATCCCTTCTTTAATCAACATTTCTTCTGCTATTCAGCTTATTTTCAGGTTGGAACAACTGTTTCTGCCTCCTCAAACTACATATTTAAATGTGGACATTTGCAAATGTTGCAAGCTAAACCTAAGCGTATCTGTTAATTAGTGCGGCAACCAATGATTATTTTTGTCCTTAATCTGTTGATTATTTTCTTGATTAATTGATTAGTTGTTTGGTCTATAAAATGTCAGAAAACGGGGAAAAACTTCAGTGTTTCTGACCAAAGACAACGTCATCTCTTGTTTTGTCCACAACCCAAAGATATTCAGTTGAGTGCCCATTTAATCACCTGCATTACACATATTTAATCATATTTAAACGTCCATCACTGGTAAGAGGGCTGGGGCTGTGAATGGAGTCAAGTTACCGCTCTTGGTCTACAAGAAGAAAGGAATCAGAGAGTCATAGACTGCAATAATTTGAAGAAAAGAATGCACAAAGATAGATCTTTTTAAAAGGGCGCTTGCTTTGGCTTTGCAAAGGCTGTAAGGATTGTCTCACATGGATGGATAGTAAAATGGCCTTTAAGAGGTGGATACCAGAACAGCAGCAACAGTGCAAGGGCTGTTTCAGTACAATAGGATCTCTGTTACCAAAACTGAGGAACTCTTGGTGACACAATATAAGCAAGAGTTTAATGAAAGGTCTCAGGAGGAAAAACCTGAAATGTGAATGTATGACCTGAAGTTTATGGAGATACTGCTATCGCTCTGCTACACGTCAGAGAGTTCGCTACATCCTGGATTTGCAAAAATTACAAAAATAATCATTGCCCAACAATTGTAGCATTCTGGAGTAGCGTCTTCAGAATTTTAAAAGAAAGTTTAAATAGAATGCAAAATGTCAAATATATAAAGAACAGTGGTTGGTGCGGCAGCAACCACTATCTATAGCGCCCCTAGTGGTACCGAATAGTGGTCTGTGTGGCAGCGACCACTATCTTTAGCGCCCCTAGTGGTAGCGACCAGTAGCGCCCCTAGTGGTTCACGAATAGTGGTCTGTGTGGCAGCGACCAATATCTTTAGCTCCCCTAGTGGTAGCGACCAGTAGCTCCCCTAGTGGTAGCGACCAGTGGTCTGTGTGGCAGCGACCAATATCTTTAGCTCCCCTAGTGGTAGCGACCAGTGGTCTGTGTGGCAGCGACCACTATCTTTAGCGCCCCTAGTGGTAGCGACCAGTAGCGCCCCTAGTGGTACCGAATAGTGGTCTGTGTGGCAGCGACCAATATCTTTAGCTCCCCTAGTGGTAGCGACCAGTGGTCTGAGTGGCAGCGACCAATATCTTTAGGGGCCCTAGTGGTAGCGACCAGTGGTCTGAGTGATAGCGACCAATATCTTTAGGGGCCCTAGTGGTAGCGACCAGTGGTCTGAGTGGCAGCGACCAGTAGCGTCCCTAGTGGTAGCGACCAGTAGCGTCCCTAGTGGTAGCGACCAGTAGCGTCCCTAGTGGTAGCGACCAGTAGCGTCCCTAGTGGTAGCGACCAGTGGTCTGTGAGGCAGCGACCAGACCAAAGAATTGACTACAACACCCTCTCCACATTTCTGACAAATCGCCAACGTCTGCCAGATATCAAGCATGCCAAATATCTGGAAGATTCGGCCGACTCTACATCCATATTCAGCCAATGACAGCAGGCAGCTGGCAGAGCAGGCAGCTACTTTTTCCACTGCAAAACACTTTTTACTCACCTCCAGCTCTCTGTAGCTCAGACAATCCCTGCTGCCTGCGCATGCTAATCCATTCTTTCACCCAGATTCTTTGTCTTTATAATTGCTATCTTTATAATAACAAACACCAGCTGTTTCATGTGTAGGTTCGCGTCTTTTCCCGCTTCACATTTTACCTGTGTTTTCTTGACAAAACATGGTTGGGAGACCTGCGTCAGGTGATACAGCCGCTGTCAGTGTAGTGTGTGACCCCCTGTCACCAATCAGTCACGTAGTGTGAACGCCACAACCACTTCAAGACTCCCGTCACAAGACGGCAAGTGTGTAGTCTGCACAAGGAATGAGCTGCTAAACGTTTGTGTGCCATTTCGGCACTATACTGATTTTTGTTTAGAAACTTCTCCCACAAGAGTTGCTTCAGTAAATCACATACTCTCAAATGTAAAACTACTTAATCAAAGCAGATCCCAGGACTGGCTGATAAATCAGTAACCACACACACCAGTAAATACTCAACTTGGCCTTGCCATCAGTACTTTGCACTAAATAAATAATAAATAAATAAATGAAATTATCATCAAAAGGAAGTCTCATCCCATTGGATGAATATAAACCTTTGGACCTTTTCAGAGACGTGTGTGATTGTTTCTGATTTTGTTTGTCTTTTCTTGTCCTGTGCGTCTTCAATGCTTTACATGTCCAGCATATCTTATCCCAATCCAACAGTACTGGCTACTGTCACTGCACAAAATGTAAAATTTGCATGTTTAATGGACATCATCTGTCTCACCAGGGATAACTGCTTGTTTGTTTATCAATTCAAATCAGCTTTATTGGCATGATTGTATAACAACTAGGGCTGTCCCCGACTAAGGATTTACATAGTCGAATCAGAATTGTCAAGTCCTGCCTATAGTCCAATCGTGTGTGTTTTTGTGGGCGGAGGGGGGCGTTACACACGGTAGCTTCCCTTTAATCTTGAGAAGCTGCAGAGCTGCAGTCGCTATTCATTCTTACACTGTAAATTTCCAGCTAAACTGAGGCTTTTTGAAGACCCTCTCCCCCTCTCCCCCCTCCCTCTCCAGTTCTGTCTGGAGAGGGAGGGGACAGACGTTGAGCACCCCCATATCGCCAAAATGGTATGATCCTTGTTTCACTGCGAAGCTTCGACTGTGAGATTGACAGTCGAAACAGGCTCCGCCCATCGAATCTTCGACTATTGGGAGTCAGCTCTAATAACAACAATATTGCCAAAGCTATAAATAAATTATATAAGAAAATTAATTTCATACATTTCATTAAGTAAATAAATAAAACAGTAAGTGTGTGTTTGTGTGTGTGTTAGAAAATAATATAAAATATAATATGTAAAATATAAAATAAAAATTATGTAAAAATAAAAGTAAATAAAACAGTAAGCGTTTGTGTCTGGTAAATCAAAAAATGTTTAAAGTTTAAATAAAATAAAATAAATAAATGAAACAGTACCTAATATGTGTGTGCTTTTTCAAGCTCCTTTATATTGCAGTTCTATTTAAAATATGTAGCTTGCTTTCAGAACTTAGTTGTGGATTACTAGTGTTTCCCACAGAATGAGTGTCGCATGGGGGTGGGTGGGGTGGGCGTGCCTGCAATCGACTACCAGCTATCTACGGCATGCTAGCCTCGAAAACCCAGGTGTTTTCTAACCTTAACTTAGCTCTCCCTATTAGCTAGGCTCCTTACATGCTTGCTAATAACCTTTTTTAAGCTGGGTCTCCAACATTGACAGCGTTGTGTTAGACAGACTTGTGCAGCTGTGTTCATGAGGGAGAGGGAGGGAGAGCAAGAGAGAGAGGGACGGGTGAGTGACAGAGAGAAAAAGAGTGAGAGGATGTGCTGCGCGAATGTGCTATGGCGCCCTGCAATAAAATAATATTTTAAATAGGCCTAGTAAAAAACAATCGAAAATCAATATGTGGCGGTCAGCGTTACTATTGTGGCGGGCCACCACAAATAAATGACCGTATGGGAAACACTGCTACAGCACAGTCAATGGAAGGAGAATCATTATAAACATAGACTCTAAAGTGTGCGGACGTTTTCTTTTTATCAATTATCACAGGAGACCAAACATTTAAAAAAGCTCTCTTCTCTTAGTAAAGCTCATGGCTGGCAGGACATCAGCAAATCTGTCAGTAGTTGACATGATTGACAATCAGCACATCCCTAGCAAGAGATGAAGAAATTAAATCCGGGTTATCTTTGTTCTCACCTGATGTCCTCCTCATTCTCGGGGAAGCTCCAGTAGGCGATGCGGAGCTGAAGCTGTTCTGGGACAGGGGGGTAGACCTTCTCCACCACCTCGAACGGGATGTGGAATGCTACCTGCTTCGCTGACAACTCCACCAGTGGAATCACCTGGCCATCTGAGGAGGACCACAGGAGAGAGGAGGATCAGCTCAGTCAGCCACATGGGACAAGACAGACTTCAGGTAGTGTGTGCATTTATGTTCCTTCACTCTGGCATCACATTACTGAACGCTGCAGGTTGAAGGACCTCAACTACCAGACAAGAAGTATTAAAGAGCAACTTTAGCTATCCACAGACCAACACTGCAACAAAGTTCCCTCCCTCCGATAGACAGCTTGCCATTTTTCCTTAAGGAGAACTGGAGGTTTTCAGGGGTCCAACCTGTGACCTGAGGTAGGTCCATAGTATATTTCGACTAATTGGGTTTGGCATGGTCCCCTTGAATTGTATTTAGGTCTGTGAATAAATCTGCCTAATACCCAAGAGAATCTACGCTATATGGACAAAAGGACTGGGACACCGCTGTCCTAATACTTTGAGAGGGGTTGTTTTTTCAGGGTGTGGTCTTTGTTAAGGGAAATCTTGTGTCTAAATTGTATGCTTTAGCATGCATACAATTTTAGACAGTAGTTATTCCAACAGTTCGCATTTGTCCTGTTTCAGTATGACGATGCACCTGTGCACAAAGCCGGCTCCAGAAAGAAATGGTTTCCCCAATTTGTTGTGGAAGAACTTGAGTGGCCTGCACAGAGCCCTGAGCTCAAACCTATCAAACACCTTTGGGGTGGACTAGAACGAAGATTGGAAGCCAGGCCCTCTCGTCAAACATCACTCTCTGACCTAACAAATGTTCTTCTCTGTGAATGGGCAAAAATTCCCACTAGCACACTCCACCATCTTGTAGAAAGCCTTCACAGAAGAGTGGAAGCTGTTATAGCTGCAAAGGGGGGACCAGGTCCATATGAATGCCTATGGATTTAGAATGGGATGTCATAAAAGTAATGTAGGTGTCCCAGTACTTTTGTCTATACAGTGTAAGTGGACTCTTATCAGCTCTGATCACGTGTCATCATCGTCACAGGGGAAAGACTGAGTGCACTTTTCCAACATGTGTGGTTGTTAAGTGGTGTAACAACATGCTGCTGACAGTGCTCTCAGTCTGTTTGGCTCCCAGGGAAAAAAAATGGCTGAATGTGAGTGGAAACTGAAACAGATCCATCCTTACACAAATCCAACACCTTGAAAAGCTGGTAAGGTAGGTGATCCAAAGCAAATCCAGAATGCAAGTCGGTGAGCATAGATGTGTCACTGACAGATTTCACCAGAATCCATTTTTGTCACAAAGTATGATAGCATGACACCTGGCTCTGAAAAACTAGTCCCACACAGGCAAGGCCCCAAGAACAGCAAAATCATCAGTATGTTGTTACTATTATATATATTGTAACCAATGAAGAAGTCTAATCAAACAGAGAGTGTGTGTGTGCGTGTGTGTGTGTGTGTGTGCGCGTGTGTGTGTGTGTGCATGCGTGTGTGTAGTGAAGAAAGGGCTACAGAAGTACAATGACAGGGGCTTTATTGAGAGCACAGTGGTCTGCCACTGAGAGAAGAAAAAGTGATGGGTCTCAGATTACAGATCTCATTTCCAAGCCACTACTTGTGCTGCTGTTTACCATATATGGAGGAAAATTCTCTGTTCATATAATGCCATCCTTGGTGTAAAGGCTCGGGGGCTCATGGTTACAGGCCATGGGAAGTGCATCTATACAAGCAGACTAGCATCACTCATGTTGTGTGGGACTAAATTTGTGAGCTAAGCCGCAGTGTGTGTGTGTGTGTGTGTAAAAACGAACACAGGTGTTTGATATAGTGCATTAGGTGAAAAACAACTCATTTTGTCAGTTAACTCATAAACAATTTTCCACTGGGTGAAAACTGCTACATAATTCACCCAGGCAGCTTTAAGAGGGCAGTAACATCCATCAGAAGTGCTTGTCGGATGCCAGACACCTTTCCTTACCATTTCTGGAACTTTCCGAAACCTAAAACCCGACACTGACACCCACTTCACGCCGTGATTGACCAGGTGTGTGGAGCCAGGGTTTAAAGCTCTCTCTGTAGCTCTCTTCTTTTATTTATTACACAACTACATGTGACACTTTTCTGTGCACAACCAGGCGTGACACTAGAAATGCCTTCAAGGAGAGCCGGTCTAAAAAATGTATGACGTTATCCCCATATTTTAACGATACTGGGTTTCCCCTCTCTCTGAAAGTCAGCTTTTCACTCAGTCTTCCAGTGTGGCCATTTGGAACAACTTTAAAACACATTCATTTAAGAAGTGGTCGGACAACATGTCTTACAAACATCTGATCAAGCATAAAACAACCTTATTAGGTTCAAGTCAGCAGTGTCACGAAAACAAAGACCAAGCTGTACAGAGATTTTCAATAATTCATGTAGCCAGCTTCAATGAAAAAGCCAAGTAATTATTTTTCAGTAGCAGAAGAACGAGTGACTGAACAACAGGAGGAGACTCCTGTGAGCAGCCAGAGAAAGCTCAGTCTGAGAGACAGTCCTGAGTCTTCTTGTAGCTACTGTTGCACTCGGTTGATGTACGATTCCAAGCGTCTGAGAGAGGACAATCTTTACAGAACTACAAGCTAAGCTAATGGCTGGCCTTTCACCAGAACATTCATCACTCAACACACTGCTAAATAATATAAGTTCTTGTTCGTCTTTCACTTTCTGTTGATATGAACTCATTTGAAAGTTTATTTTTAACTGTCAGCTGCATGACATAAATAGTCTAGTAGTATGAGCGTTGTATTGGTGTATTTCATCAGTGCTACAGTGATGTCTTGCTGAAGTAGTTATATTGTAAGTAATTAAAGAAATAAATGTCAGCAACAATACTAGATTTCATATCGATCGATAGATATATATACACACACACACACACAGACACTAATACTCCTACTACTGTTGTATTACAACATATTTCTATTAACTCTTTTTCTACTACTACTACTACATCTTTAGGATTACATTTAAGTCACTGTTTGTTGTTGTTTGAAATTGGAGGTAATATTGCAAAAACTGCAGCCTGACTGATCTCAATCACCAGATGCCTTTATTCTATTCCTGCAAAAGAATCCATTTTGAAAAACTGAAAGGTCATTTGACATTTGCATGTTGCGTAAACCACATTATTAGTATATAGTAGGAAACGGGGACAGCCCCACTGTCTCACAGCAAAGAACTAAAACCTGGAGAGAGATGGGCGGCTGGGTAGTAACAGAGTTAATGTTGCGAGCCTATGATTGGCTGTTGCAGGTGAATGACAGCAAGCTGTCCACCAATCAGAGACCGGCACAGAGGGAACCCACAACAGCTGTTCCTTTGTGGCTGGCTGGTGAAGAGCTGAGGACTCTCTTTTCACTGGATCACTACTTGTCTCACTGCCTTCCTCGTTTCCTCCCTCTGTCCATTTCTCTCCACAGGGTGCGCTCCATTTGTACACTGACAAACGCTTATGGTGCGCCGTGTGGGATGTTCTGCTCACAATTCAAATGCTGCCTCTGCTGTTTACACACCGGATCCTCTGCTATGATAAAGTGGCGAGTAGGTTATTCAGCGGAAGCAAAACAGGTCAAGTATTGGAGCCCGCAATAATGAATGATTATTGATTGATCTAGCTTTATTTTGGTCTTAAAGTTTAAATAAATTAATTAATAAAGCAGGAATATCTTCTTCTGTTGTGGAACTACCACAAACAATTACTGCCCAAAGTAGGGCAGACTTGTCAGCTGGCCTGGCCCCGGCAGCACACCTGGTAGAGCACATACCATTAAGGCAGAATCTTTACTGCAGCGGCCTGGGTTTGATTCCAACCAGTGGCCCTTAGCTGAAAGTCATCCCCTCTTTCTCTCACCTTCCCTGTGCGTGTCTGCAGCTGTCACTATCACATAGGCCGAACGCCCATACCAATAATCTAAAAACAAACACATTTGGCTACAACACATCCCTCTAATGTAATGTAAACTCAAGTTACAGGGAAAGACTGCTCACTTAAACCTCTGAAATCACACTTAAACTATTATTGCAATGTATATGACTGCTGGAAGTCACTGAGCAGAAACGCATAGTTTTTCTAGTAAGGGCTTGCAATAGGCAGATATTTTTTGATATATCATTGAAAGCTGTGGTAGGCAATTCATTTACTATTCATTTCAGAAGCATTTTTTATTATATTTGTTGAAATTCTCTTTACATCATGACAGCAATCAATTAATCAAATGGACTGACACACACAAAAAAAATGTTATCTGTGGTAGTCAGGACTGTCTTGTTTTTAGGGGAGTAGCTTTGGAGGGAGGCCTGAAGGGAGGGGGTGGGATTTCTTCAACTGGATACTGTCAAAATCTAACAGCCTCTTGCCGGTTTCTGCAACGTTGCCTTCCCCAGCTTTAATGTGATCAGTATCTGGATGCGTTATCTGGAGGACAACTCTGGTCACAAGGCTTTACTTTTACACCTGGTATTAATAAGTGTTCTTTTAATCCCTTAGCCTTGCTAACTAGACTAATGACCACAACCAGATGTCCAATGGCCAATCACATTCCGACTGCAAAGATTCTGTGTTTTTCCTGATCCAGATTAGATATCCAGATACAGATCAAATGTTAATACCTGAGCCTGTAAGGCGATAATACAATATGTTAGATGCCATGAATGTTAGCTGTTACATACATACACAATAATCACCTTATCCTGATGAAATCTTCCTTCGTTGGCAAAAAGCGAGTGGGGCTGCCTTACAGTTGCATTTTCAGGTAAAGCTCTGATAAAGTGATGATTTAGAACGGTCACATCGGCCTTTATTACAGCAGCCTGTGTAGGATAAAACCTTCTTCACCATTCACAGCTCCCTTCCATTGCCATAGTGTTTCCATGTTCTCAAACCCCACCAAATTTATACATGTGGCCATCTCAATACCAAAGAAAATTGAAAGTACATCCCTATCTGTCACAGAGTTTAGCAACTGACACATAAGTCATTGGAGTACACAGCAAGATATGGACATGTTTCTGTCAGTGGGTCAGTTTTAAATATTGCACAGAGGAAGGTTAAAACAAAAAGTAGTCTCAGTGGGCTGTTAGACGAGGAGCAGCACACAACAGGCACTTTGGGTCTGCAGTTTGGGTAAACCCCAACCCTCCAACATGTCTGTTTCTGACAGCGTGTGTATGATGTGGGTCTACTTATTGAGGGTTCAACCCATGTTGGACCCATTCATATGAGACATCGGTCACCTTGCTTTAAACTGCCTGCAGAGACATTAGTCTGCAGAGTAGTTCATAAACTTCACAGGATTATAGAGCAGTGGAACTTAGATGATCCGCCTGGACCAATCAACCAGACCAGGCACCACTGAAAGTGCTGTGATCTCCCAGAGAGAGAAAGACGAGCCGGGGTAGGAGTCATGTTGGCCCAGCTTGGACATAAGGCTGCTAGTAAAAGGTCTGGTCGAGACAAAATGGGACACAGGTTGGCTAACTGAAAACCAGAGACTATTGTGCCCACATCTTTACAGAGACCTGCTCATCAACATCCCGGGTCAAGCACTCGAAACATGTTCCAAGCCGACTCCGGCAAGATGAGGAGGTAGAATCTGTGTTATCATAGATGATGCTTGGTTCTTAAACTCAGTTAAAATTGAGTGACTTTTTATTGTGAAGATGAAACCATGTTGTCATCTTTGTGCTGCTTTTACCTTTCAACCCAGATGCAATTTCAGAAAATGCACTGCAGAATGTTCTGGGAATATACCTGTAGCCTATTTAATAACTATTTTGTTTTGTTTTATGGGACTATATTCTAATATACATTTAATTATATGTTAAGTTCTTAATGTGTAGAATGATGAGACTACAAACTTTCTTTCATTATACAACCTTGTGCAGTATAATGATACATAAACTACCTTGTATCCAAGCAAAAAATGCCTTTTTAACCTTTTGAATAATTCTGGCCACAAAAACACTGTGTACTTAAAAAAGTTGCATCAACATGTTATTTGCATGCCATCAATGTTTTGAGTCAGTCACAAAACAAAGACACACTAATGCACACATGTTCTGGCCACTCAAGTAGGACATTTTTCATTGAATATGCAGCTTTCCCTGCAGTGAATACGTTGCTATTTTGTAACACCTCTTCCGCCATTTGTGGCATGTCTTGTCACATGATGCCTTGTCTGGCATCATTTTAGAAATTTTTCTCCAAAATTCAGCCTGACATATTTGGCACCTGTGGAAACTTTGGGATCTTTTCTCAAATTTAAGTTCCGTGGGTTTGAATAACGTTTGGCTGCACAACATGAGCTTGTAACAACTGACTGACTGGCTTGCTTGCTTAATAAAATGATAGTATTAAGTGCGCTGTTTTCATTCTCCACAGTAAGTAGATGAGCAGTTCCGTCCTACCAAAAGACTATACCCAGCTCTCGACCAAGAGAGCTCGGTTTAGTGACCAAGATGGAGTGCTTCGAGCACTTGGCAATTCTGTTGTTGGAATACTGAAGCCACACATCATGATCGGGAATCTCTTGGAAACTACTAAACATCCATCCAACCATCCATTGTCAAACACCTATCCTGCGTAAACATCCCAAGAGAGTAATTAAGAGAAGAATTATCATCTTTGGCACAACTTGTGAGGACTTTAAAAGACCTTTCAAATGTAATTAAATAATTTAAAAGTACATTAGTTTGTTCTGACTGACACATTTACATGAGGTATTTTGTTCTGACGGGGCTCTTATTCTACTAGTTAACAGGGTAAAAGCTTGCATGTATAAACAGTTAGTGTCATTCAGAACCACCAGTTGCTGTTCCTGTTGCACAGGGCTTTCCGCCTGTTGATGGGTTTAGTAAACAAGAAAATGGAGGAGTCTCTGGAGACTAACCCCAGAGAAGAGCCTAAGGTTGCTGTGAGGAATCAACACACACGCCACATTGCCAGGACTCTTCCATAACATTACAAGCCACATAATGATAAAATACACAGCACAAGTGCTCTTCCAAAGGTGCTCTCGAGACTGTCGCTGTATTTGTTGTTTCTAGCTTGTGAAAAACTGCCACCATGCTTTTGCTTAAGTCAGAAAAAGCTCAGAGACTAATGTGAGTCCTGCTTTGAAACACACGCACAGCAACAGACTGACTGAGTTAAGTGAAGCAGATTGAGTGCTATACTACAATAATGTCAGCTACAGTCACTGCTTTGTCCACCAGCCAAATGGCTACTGAATGTACCAGCCACTCAATAGATTACCAATATTTGGCTGGTTAGTGAAGTAAATCTAAAGTAAAGCTACTGGCAATTTGGAAATTTTACCAGCACTTGGCTGGTGATATGCACCCTCACAAATATTCCAGCAACAGGCACTACTGCTAATGTCTTTTAACCCTGTTGTTATTAACTTCAATAAAGCCTGTCACACTCACTATGGAAATTAATGGAAGTATTCATAATCAATGGACATGTATGTGTGAGTTCTCCAACCTTTAATCTTGACAGTTGGGGAGTTGGGTCCGGCGGACTGCTTCCTCCATCCCCTCCAGTTCTGACAGAGGCTCTCGGCCTCTGAGATGAAGGAGCACAGAGAGTCTTCCTCGAACCGGTCCGAGTCTTCGAAGGAGAACCTCTCCCCATCCTCCCACTCGGCGAACATCAGTTCCATTACATCCACTTTTTAACTGCTTCGAAGTCCAGAGGACTGCGACTTGAGGCCACGGCCTTTCTTTACTCTAACAATCAAGGGGAAACCCGGCGAGCAGTGTCCAACACTCGGGGAGAATCAAGAGTCTCAAGACTGGGGGAGGGGAGGCCACTAGCAACCAAAACACAGCTGAGAGGCTTACCGCTGGGCCCTCAAACACAGCTACATAACACAAACTCTGACAAGGCGGTGGTCTCCTTTAAATAGGCTGCAGGGATATAACGCTGTACACTTCAAAACTACAACCACAAAGTGTCTAAATGTAACTTCCTCAGGTCTCTTACACAGTCAAATCAAACTACTAGTCATTTAGATCGATGTAATAACCCACTCCATGCTGCCTGGCTGAGTTATGGCTCCCTTTACAGCCTAACGTTATTACTTTGAACAGAAGGTCCTGTCGTCTGTGTGACGGTACTATTACCGACTGCCGCCGCCGACAGAAACGAGCCAAACTCACCAGCTAAGTATTGTTGCGGTCATACACACATTTCCACCCACCATGCAGCCAAGAACGCCAATACGACATGTAGCTTTGCAAAAACGCTGGCTGTGGTTAGCAGTGTGATTAGATCTTCAAGAGACCACTAAGTTGTTTTCATTCATCCCGACGTTCTACTCTTTTCAACCAACCAACTGGACTACGATGACTATCTAGATTATTTATTGTAGCATTACACCAATCCTGTGTAAAAGTGTTTAATCACACTCATAGCTATTTTAAACGAGTCGATGTCAAAAACACACGTAGTATTGTCAAATTGTCTTCTCTGTTCCACATTTAGTGTGCTAGTTTAATGTTATTGTGCTGGGCTGCTAATGTAAAGAACATGTAGCCGACGTTAGGCTAATTATGCTAGTAGCTGCATACTGAGAAAATAACGTTACACACCGCTGTCATTCGCTGCAGACGACTATGTTGAGGTTGAATTTGGTGTTGAAGCCGACGACAGACTTCTTCAGCTCGGTTTGCCTTCGTTCTGCTTCGGTACAACTAACGTTACCTTACGTTAGCAATAGAAAGCTAACTAAGCTAACTTAGCTAGCTTGAAGAGCTGTTTGTTTACATTTACTGGTGAGGGTATACACCTGTCGGACGACAGGGACTACATGCTTATTTATACCACCTATCTTCTGGACTTTTGCATTTTCCTAGGTTACATACAGTTCATATATCGATATTAATCCCCGCTCCTAGCTCAATGTTTCCGTTCTTTGTATTAGTATTAGAGCCTTCTGTCTGACGTTAAAAGCTGGTCCCTCGGTCAGCTCTGTTGCCGAAATTCTGACGAGTCCTTCAGAGATCTTCCTTCCCGACTGACACCGGTTGTTTTGGCGTCCTATAATCGTCTCAGCCTCCAAATGACACCGGGATCCTCAGTATTTTTCCGTATCCCTCTGGTCCAGGCTCTATCAGAGTGTATCAGTCTGCCGGGGGAAGATGGCTCACCTCTCCCGCAGCTCCTCCTCCATCAGCTGATCACAGCTTCCGGCTGCCAGCTTTACACAGGCAGAGCTTCAGATGGGTTTTCATTGCGTGTGAGAGTTGACAGTAATCGGTTTGATCTGGCGGATTAGCAACAACTGTACAGTGAATGTAACGACCATGAGTGATGGGTGGAGATGTGTATGTCATGGGAGGATGTAAACAGGGAGAGGAAAGGTAGGAGCGGTTTCTGGAAGTGCACCTTCTGGTTTGAAGGAAGGCGACACTGCTGCCAGAAAGGTGAAGGCTACGAAGACAAGTGTGATAGAGGAGGATTAACAAACTGAATGGAAAGTGATGGTAACGTTCAAAAACGAAGGGGGGCTTTTTGACTTAACCAAGTGAGAAAGAAATGGGTAAGATCAAGTTTGCTAAATATTTAAGCTCTGTTAGGTGTGACAGAATTGGAAAACAAGGTCTGAGGATGTGTAACATTATTTAAGAAAAGCCTACCTAGCATATAGCTGAGTAGCGTAAATGTCCCAAATGAGAAATGTGTAGGAGATATCAAATTAGTCACAATTTATAATCCTTGCAAGAAGTTGCCAATGCAAATATTCCATCTCAGAAAGTGTTGATAGAAAATAATGCTCATATAATACTGTTCAGACACAAATTACAAAGGAGAGATCACTTGCTTGTCTAAATGATGGAAGAGGTACCAGGGTGGATGTTACAAGAAATTCAGTTTCATCTTAAGAGCGTACTCTAGTCTTTGGAACTATGAGTAATTTATGTGAATGGAAGGTAAAGAATTATACTAACATAGGGAATGATCACTTACTGATACTTTGTTCTATGAATTTTGATATGTATGTACAGGAAGGTTACATAATAGAAAGAGTTTTTCTAAATCTGACTGTAAACAGTAGTGTGACTCCCATGATTATTAGTGCTGCATCAATATGTATTCCTAAGAACACAGTGAATGGGAGAAAGAAAAATGGTTTCATGGTGGAACGATGAAAGTAAAAATGCTGTAAAAGAAAGAAATTGTGCACTCAGATTTTTACAACATTTGTTTGAGTCAAGGCAATCTGATTGATTACCAAAAGAAGAGAGCCATGGCACAGGAAATAATGAATAATCCATCCATCCAGTCATCCAGATCAGGCAATTCTTCTCCTGCATTGACAGAGAAATAAATTTGGGTGAAATTTGATCAAAGATTAAAAAGATGAGTGGGAAAAGAAAATCTGTTAAAATCCCAGTGCTGATAGATGGAGAATATCTGGCAATTACAAATAAGAAGAAAGCTGAACTACTGGGTAAGAAGTTTGCAAGTGTACATAGTGAAAGGCTTTTAGATGAAATACATAAACAACGAAAAGACAGAGTGAAATACTAAGGTAAAGGATAGTTGTGTACATGGATTTTATATTACATGAGTTGAAAATGGTCTTAGAGGGAAGTGGATATACGACCCCAGGACAAGATCAACTATGCTATGCAACCACCACATAGCATAGTTGATTCACACTGTACACCCACGACTGCATCCCCCGACATGTAGAGAACTCTGTTGTGAAGTTTGCGGACGACACCATTATCACCGGCCGGATTTCAAACAACGAGGAGACTTCATATCGGGAGGAAATTGATAATCTTGGAGTGTGGTGCTCGGAGGACAACCTACTGCTCAACGTCAGCAAACCTAAGGAGCTGATCTTTGATTTTAGGAAGAAGGAGATAAAGACACACACTCCTGTCTACAGTGGTGCTGAGGTGGAGCAGGTGAACAGGTTTAGGTTCCTGGGAATCAGCATCACAGAGAACCTGACATGGTCGTCTCACATCTCCACGCTGGTGAAGAAAGCTCAGAAACGACTGTATTTCTTGAGGAAGCTTAAGAAGGCCAAATTCCCACGCCAAGTTCTTGTCAGCGTTTACAGAGGAGCAACAGAAAGCATCCTGACCGGAAACAACACTAACATGGGATGTGCACGGCCCAGGACCGGAGGCTCTGCAGGGGGGGATTCAAACTGCTCAGAAGATCATTGGTACCCATCTCCTGAGCATCAGTGATATCGCTGAGGTGAGGTGCCTGCAGAGCCCAAAGGATACTAAAGGACAGTACCCACCCAGCCACAGCCTGTTCACCCTGCTGCCTTCTGGGAAGAGATATAGAGGTTTCTGCTGCCGCACCACCAGACTGCAGAGCAGCTTTTCTCCCAAGCTATCAGACTCTTAAACTCTTAATTCATCCTCAGCACTGCTCCACTGATTATAGTTTATTTCTGTTTACCATTTTTCATAATGGATTGTTTATTAATTTATATTGTCTGCTATGTAGCAGAAGGGAGTTACAAAACACAATTTCATTGTATAACTTGTACTACATATTGGTAAGCCTGGTAAAGACCCGGCTAATGCAGGAAAAATCTCACTTGTGTAAATGGATGGAAAAGATAGATTATCATACTACTTATAAAAAAGCAGATTGCTAAGCACATATCAAAGAGGATTTTGTAAAGGAAGATCAATAGTAAATGCTTTTGTGAAAGCATTAGTAGTGGGGCAGAAAAAGTAGTTAGTATAAAAGAGGTCATGACTATAGTGTATTTTGGTATTAGATAAAACATATGACTCCCTGTGGAGAGAAGGACTACTGATTTAAAATGTATAAAATGGGGATTGGCCGAAGGCTATACAACTTAGTTTTAGACTTCCTGTCTAATCGGACATTCTGTTTTAAAATTGGGATGCTGTTTCAGATGATTTTGACATTGTAAATGGTATTCCTCAAGGTAATGTTATTAGCCCTATTCTGTTTAACATTATGATAAATTATATTTTTAGATATAATTAGATATATCTACTTTATGCAGATGATGGTGCTAAATGGGGTTAAAGAGGGAAAAAAATCAGACATGTGTCTATGTCAGTTACAAAGTCACGTTACATGCTTTTTACCAGTTAGAGAAGCCTAGATAATGTGCAGCTTAAATTATATGTCACGGTAAGGAAAGGGTAACAGAGTTTAAATATTTAGGATTATGGTTTGATGAGAAATGTACAGTATGGAGGAACCATGTTAAACGGTATTCAACAAAAAGTAAAAAAGGACTGAATCTCATGAGATCGTTTTCTGGTTATAAATAGGTGCAGATAAACAATCACTACTGGATAATTAGCTGGAACTACAAATTTTCATCATTATGCAGCCTTATGCTATATAATGACAAATAACTATCTTGTATAATCACAGGACCTTAATAGTGTTGTAGTCAAGACCGCTCAAACCAAGAACAAGTCAAGACCAAGACAAAACCAAGACTTTTAGGGGCTGAGACCAAGTCGAGACCACATTAGATGAGACACAATAAAATGTGGAATGAGATCATAGGTATATACTTCTATTTATAATTATCATTATTGATTTATTACACAACATATTTTTTTGCAAGCATTATGCTTTCTGGGTGACTTGTAATGCTATTCCATATTTGATCATTCAATTTTGATCTGCAACTCTGTATTCAAACTTAAATGAGCTCTCTTAAAGTGCCATGTGCTTATGGTCCTACAGAGCAACCTTATTTAATATGTTCTTTTTTTATTTTAACACATTTTTAATTAGCGTTCTTTGCTGCATTTAAAGCAATACGTTTTACATCCAATCAGAGTTAGGATGTTAACAAATGAATCAGACAATGCAAAAGCAATTTATTGATATTCCCAAAGTTTCGGTCTTGACTGGTCTTGAAATAAAATCCAGAGTCCTCAATGTCTGAGACCGAGACAAGACCGAGTACAAATGCGGTCGAGTCCGAGACGAGACCAAGACCATCAAAAAGTGGTCTTAAGACCGGTCTCGAGTACTACAACTCTAGGCCTTAATATAACCATGTGTTGATTATGGGTGGATGATCCGGTGAAGCAGCCAAGAGTATTTTAGAAAAACTAGATAGAATACAGTTCAGTGTTCAGAATTTGCTTCCACTACTGGTGGATTAATACTGTGTGATTGTTCACATCAACGAAAAGGAGCGGGAGTGTACATACCTGAGTTTGATGTAGTCATATGCAAAAGAATTAATGATTTTCTAACATTTCTGCTGTAATTTTAGAATTGCATTGGATAGAAGAGGTAAGGCCTGAGAGAGTTGTCATTTGTTCTGAGAGATTGAAATAATGCATTGACAACTTGATGTTTAATGGATGTTTAACTGTTTTGTGCTGCAAAAAAGAAGCTTCCAGCTACATAACTTAAACTGCATGAATGTAGCTGTTGTTATACTCATGGTGAGGATGGGCCATAGTTGTCTGTTGTCAGATCCTTTGCTTTTAAGTGAAAGTATCAATACCACAATGTATAAAATAGAGTTTCTACTTAATTAAAATTACACAAGTATTAAGAAAACATACTTAAGAATCAAAAGTAAAAGTGAAAACTGTTGGGTCCATGGCCACAGCTGTTTTTACTTATTTTGCCTAATTAGACCATTTTAATCGACTGTGTGTGCATGTATAGACTGGGCTTGATCGACAGTCCTCTCTCTCTACTGTTTCATTGCACACCTTTTTTATTCATCAAGTACATTTGTGTTGGTGACCTCAAAAAAACAACAAGTATAATCAGCCACAATAACTGAAAACACCTGTGCCAGTGTACAATCAAAGTAACTAGTAGTCTATCTAAAGCTGTTGAAAAAATGTAGTGGAGTATAGTATTTACCTTTGAAATGTAATGGTGAAGACATATAAAGAAGCATAAAATAAAATCCTAAAGTACAAGTAGGTCAAAACTTTTTTTTTTGTTGATTTTTGTATGAGTAAGCACATTGTGAGCAATGTACAATCCGCAGTCAAATTCCTTGTATGTGTACACATACCTGGCAATAAAGCTGATGCTGATTCTGATTCTTATGTACTTAGTTACTTTCCATAGCAGTCTGTGAATGCTAGTATTTAGGAGCATGCCCAGTTATGATATTGTACATCTGACACAGCCTCTTTTGTTCTACCCTGCACTGTACAGGCAGAAGTCTCACTATAGAGATCATCACTACCATCATGATGTGTTCAGTAAATGCATCATGTACATTATTTTACATCCCCTGCAACTTGTTCTTAAAGGTGTCTTTCAAACTACAAGCAGACCAGGCATTATCAAAATGACACTGTATCAATGACCACACAAGACCTTTCATAATAGAAATGTGAAAACCCCAAGTTTTGTGAAACTGGGACTCTTAGATTTTATTCTAGAAACAATAGATTCACAGTGTAAGAAGTTCAGTATTATGCCTAAAAATGTGATACATGCCTGAGATACAATTTCAGTCCCATTACACACAACTATGAACCTGTTCTTAGTTCCAAAACAGGATTGACTCAGTTACTGGCATCCAAATGTTTTAAGTGATTCTCTTTCATGGTCTCATTCATTACTAAGAGAGAGAGAGCTCAATCTCATTGATATCTTTTTCAGATACCAGTAATGCAGAATCATCAGCACATGTGGCTAGATACATCTCTACATTGACATTACCAGTATTTTCATGATAGACCAGACAAAATAAATTAAATATTTTAAACTTCAGACATCAAAATATAATCAGGTCAGGTAGTTGTAGTATTTGGTTACTTTAGAGAGACTGGGCTAAAACATGTTGTGATGTTGGCCTTCAAATATGGATGAGAGAGGAAAGGGCATTTATTGAAACATCACGTTCTGCAGAGTGACAAAAGAACGACAGCAAAAGTGGCTTCTAGAAAACCCATATTCCAAAAAAACAACGCCAAATTCCTGTTATTGCATTTGTATGGATGGGATTTAAATGGACACGATGATGAAACAGTTTGGCAGACTATGTGCTCTTACTGTGCTTTCATTATTGTGATTTTGTTCAATAAACTGATCACTTTCAAACTCTAAGCAGCTCTATTCTGCCCCTCACTGCAGAGTTGATAAGGCAGAATTATGCTGTAATTACCATCCGGTTGGATGCAGGAAAGACAGTCTACCATCTGGATGCTCTTTCCTGCTCAACACTTACACAGTAAAGTTGTATTGCTGCAATGACCCAGAAATCCTCAGGTTTTCATCCTGCATCTTTTGCAGTGCCCTGTGTTCAGTCTCCAAAACAAAGTCTCTTCCAAGCAAGTAGTATTTCAGTGACTCTAAGCCCATTTTATTGCAAGATATTTTTATTTAATTGTTGAGTACCTGCTACCTCATCCACTTCTTGCAGCAGCACAGCTCCCATGCCTACTCCTGATGCACCTGTGTGCAGGATAAAGGGCTATGTAGGACTGTAGATTCTCCAATGGCTAAAAGTGTTGGTACAATCATCAGTCTGTCTCACCCTGTTTGGAGTAGAAGCTTTTTCCATATCTTTTAGCACTGCAGAAATCTCAGCAAACCTTGGAATTAATCATCTATGCCACCTCACCAACCTCAAGAAATATTTGACCATATTTCTTTTTATGGGCACTGGGAACTCCTGGATAGCCTGCTCTTTCCCCACTTCCTATCGTGAACTCCCGATACTGCACTTTGTGCTTAGATGAGCTGGAGAACCTGAAGGGCATTTGCCACATGGTCCTCCCAAGAGCTGCTGAAGGTGACCACCAGGGGCTAGTGGCTGGGACCTCAGTTGGATGGGCTGGGGGCTGGAGCCGTTCTGGAGGACGAGCAGGAGGCTGGGCAGATATCTGGAGTCACTCTGGTTGATGGGCAGAAGGCCTGCACTCTGGGAGTCTGCCCAGAGGACTGCAATGTAGATGGAGGTCTGCGATTTATGGTGGATCAGCTTTGTGTAGTCAGGTTTCTCCTGGAACAACTTGGTCTATCAGTACACTCAAGTCATGTTTTAGTGCATCTGGCAAATGAGTCAAGTCTACCAAACAATGTTCAGATTGAGCAGGGAAAACATTTCTGAGGGCTCTTCCTGCCCACTCTCACAAACACAGTCTTTAACATGGAACTCTTTCAAGATATTGAAATGAATCTTCTCACCCCTGTCCAGCATGTAAAGTTTGTAAGTCCCTTTCCCAACTTTGTGACCTTATAGGGTCAACTTGCTGTCACTGGTGGGAAGGAAAAGTAGCCTCTGCTAGCCTACAGCTCTCTTGCTCTGGCCTTCTTATCATACCATAGACAAGAGGTAGGTCAGTCACTGGTCCCAGTCTGACACAAACTTGCAAAGCTTGTTTTTTAAGATCTGATTAAACCCGTTAAACCTGTCTGGGGGTGATTTGGAGTGAGTTTAGGCCTCTGATACCAGAGAGTTTATGACACATGTTTGAGAAGGTCTGACATGAAGTTTGGGCCCTGGTCTGTAAGGACTTCAGAAGAACTTCCTACTGCAGAGACCAGTTGGAGGAGAGCATTTGCTACGTGTCTGGCCTTGTCTAATTTTTTTACAGGTTCTGGGAATTCTGTTGCATAGTCCATTACTACAGGGTTGAAATGATTGCCTTATACACTTATCTTAAGTGACACTATAATGTTCATCCCTACCATCTCAAAAAACATCTTCTGCATTAGGCTGTCTCTGCTTTCCATCCTTTACTGACACTTTCTCAAACAATGACAAAAGTGTAGGATCTTTCCGTTGCAGTTGTGTACTGTCTGATATGTGCATTTCTATGGGTCGGGCAACTCCTCACTAGGTGACTTAGGACAACCAAAAAACTACATTTCAGGATTTTTGACTGTGATGGATGATGGAACAGGCTCCAATTCAATGTCATGAAAAGGTAACCCATTGAAACATTCAGTTTCTGTTCCTTACCATGTTACCATTTTCACAGACTTTAGAATCTCTGGACTCTTGTAAGAGTTCTGGCAGAGTTCGGATGTCCTTGCCCAACACTACTGAATAAGGCAGCTATGGTGCTAGTGCTACTGGAAGTAAAATTAGGCTGGACTGCTAGCTGTCAAGTAAATTACAGCAGTGGGAAAAACATTTTTATCCACAGGGATACAGCTTACTGTATAAATACTACTTCCTGATCATTTCACATCTGGACACTAGGCTTGCGAGCACTACTGTCTGCATGCTACCTGTATTAAAAGTGCATGTTTCTGCCCATTAAAAAGTACTGTTGGGATATTTATCTTGCATGCACCCTCAACAGGGTTTGTCCATTTGAGCTCCTTTATGGATGTAAAGGGAGGGACCCATTGGAACTGCTGAGGGAGCCCTTGGAAGGCCCAAAATCCATTGGAGATAATGTGCTATCCTACACAGAGAATATATGAGAGAGAGAGAGAGACTGCAACAGATGACTGGCCCATGAAACTCTAGTGAGGACACCAGAGACTCAAAAAACCTGGTTTAATAAGAAGGCCAGAGCAAGAGAGCTGAAACAAGGGCAGCAGGGACTACTACTCCTCACCAGTGACAGCAAGTTGTTGGCCAAATGGCATGGACCCTGTAAGGTCACAAAGTTGGCAAAGTGACTCACTACAAGCTAGACAGGGGTAAGAAGAATCATGTCAGTTTGTTGAAAGAGTTCTAGGTTAAAGACCATAAAGAGGAGATTGTGTTTTTGAGAGCAGTGAATGGGCAAGAAAAGCCCTCAGAATTGTTTCAAGTAAATTATTGTGGAAATATGTTGCGGTGGTGCAGTGGTTAGCACTGTCGCCTCACAGCAAGAAGGTTGTGACTCCGGTTTCCCGGCCTTTCTGTGTGGAGTTTGCTTGTTCTCCCTGCGTCTGCGTGGGTTCTCTCCGGGTGCTCCAGCTTCCTCCCCGCGACCCTGTGCGCAGGTTAAGCAATGGGTGGATGTTAATGTGGAACTTAATATAATTTAAGTTACTTCCTTTTGTAAAAACATTTTACAGTAATGATTGCATTATCTTCCTAAGCCAACAGAAATAAGTTATTATTATCAGAGGCGTGTTTAAATTGTTGTAAACCCAAAGTCCGTTGGACAGAGGTCAACAATTAAAACAATGTTGCATTGGATGAAACCAGATAAATGTGGTGTCTGTCACAGTTGATGGGGTTCTCAATAGAAGGCATTAAGATGCATCAACAAAAAAAAGTTTGTGATGTTATAGTATGTTATCTAAATCTATAATTAATCTAAAGAAAGTAAGTGATATATGCAGAAAATGCTGTCACTATAAACTCCTACTGCGGAGTTAAAGGTGCAAAACAGGGAGTCAAGAACATTTTCACACGTTTTATTGTACAATGACAATTCAGAATCTAACAAGCAGTTGTTATGTCCAGGTCTGAAGCGCATCCCATAAATTCAACACCATTTAGCAGATCAACAGCACATTCAAACAAAAAATCCATGTAGTGTACAAGATCCAACAACAAGTGCTGGTAAGACTTCTTGTTGACTTGCTTACCATAACTTCTCCAAAAGTGGGCATGTCCTTTATTTATCTCAAGTGAGGAGAGTTGTAGGCCATTTCTAGACAGGCATTCAAGTATATTATATTAATAATTATCCCTACTCAAAAGAACAGGAAAAAGAATTTCCTATCACACATAACATGTCATTTAAAGAAATTAGGTGAAAGTATGAAATAGATGATATTTTTTTAAGTATCTTCAACTGAGGAATTTCAGTAGAATAAGCCAAAATAAGCCCTCAAACCCCCAAATATATTTTGGAAAAAATGCTGACTAAGGACGGTCTAAGCAAAGGTGTTGTATGAGAGTTTAACTACATTTTGTTATCAAGTTACCCAGATTTTCTAATCTAAACACTCGGGGAGAAGACTTAGAAAGTGATGGAGAAAAGTAGACTGTGCTGTGGCTCATGCTCAGTCAGTAAGTACTCACCTCAGATTAACACAGTAGAATTGGTAAATGTGAACATATGTCACTGTCACATTGTTACACTGTGTTTTCCAATGCAGAAAAAACAAGACCTTCTGGGAATAGGTAAGAAATGAGAACATACAGTGAAGAAGACTATTTCTTAAAAAATTGCAATAGATCCTAAATGTTTTGTTTTAGGGTTGTATCTAAAGAAACACAATTAGTGATAGATCTAAGTAGTCTGTATGTTAAATGACTAATTGCACTTTTATGGAAATGAACTAGCTTAGCAACAATGGGTTAGGCAGATGCAATTAAGACTTCTGAAAAAGGTTACATATTTATTAAAATAGGTATTGCTTGAAAAGGTTTGGGACCATTTACTGCTTTTGTGAAGTGTATGGATTCAATAGATGATAAAGGAGAGGAATGTATTATCCTTGGTGTAAATCTTGCTGAACAGTTTGTATGATTTCTCCAGACTGTAACTATGTGAATGTAATTACTGATATTATGTGATACTTAATTTTCAATTTAGACATGCTCTGTTAGGGATTACCAATTTATGAAAATATTTTTTGTCACAGTTTCTGTGTGTTAGAGTTGTTTGTTTATTTCAAAGTGCCTTTATGTGTGCTATTGTTATCACAGCTTTGCTTATGTATTTTTGTTTATGCATAAAGCAAAGAATAATTAATATATTGTTGGAAAAAATCTCCCTGTATTCTGTGTTCCTTTACTGTCTAAAGCAAGTTTAATGCTTCTGTCACATTGTCATTAAGGACAACTTAATATTGTGTATATACAGTATATATATATATATTAATAATGAGAGAGAAGTACAATTGTCAGAATAAATAAACAAGTGAGAACAATATTTTTGTTAAAAAGATAAAGTGAGAGTTGTAGAGAAATGTTGTGGAATTGTACTGTGTTTATTTTTTTCCAGCTTTTGTTTGAGAACTTTACAATTTTATAGAGCATGGATCACACAGTAGGAGAGAATTTGAGAGGGGATCGGAAATTTAATAATTTTAAATGAAAAAAGACATTTATTGAATAGTCCCGTGACCCTGTATGCAAGATAAGTGGTTTACGATGGATGGATGGATTTATTGAATAGTATCTGCTACATGAACAAAATGCTTCAAGTTTGAATAGAAACAAGTCAGCTAGTCCCTGTTAAGTGTGTTGTGGTTGGATACTGGTTCCCAGTAGCTGAGAAACATATTAAATGTCTCAGCAGCATTGTTACCTACAGCAATGTTTGCATTTCTCTAGTCTCATAGTGGAATGTGACCATGTTAATATGAACAATATGTAAATAGATACAGCTTAACAAAGTAAACATTGATGTTTTTTCAAAATAAATTAAAACAATAAAAAATTAAAATTGCACTGACCAATGCAGAACAGAACACATAAAAAAGTATACCTTGTTGTAAAGCTTCAGTTGTACACACCAATGTGTACAGTATTCCAAAAATAAATACAAATAAATTTCATATTATTCACCATATAAACACAAAATCTTAAATTCTGAAGCTTCTACATGTACAGAATATTTTGACACAGGGACCCTCTCTAAGACACGGCCTCAAGCTCAGGTGAAAGCAGGGCCCTCCCATTTGATAATATACATCTTCCCACATCCCCAAACATAGTTACAGTTAAATAACCACAAACCAAATGCCAAACAGTGAACCAGTGGCTTTTTTGCCCTGGGCTCTGGGGCCCCAGGTGTTTTTGCTGATTGGTTATGCAGTCTTGATTATAAGCCTCTCTTAGCTACGTGTAGACAGCCTATCAATGGACTTGCACTTTGTATATGTTATCTTATAGACCTGTAATTAGTTACATTTTAGCAAACAAAAAATAATTTGGCGACAATGATGTCATGTAATGGTTAGAGTAATGATAAATAACGGTTAGACCTGTGGGTTTAGTTCAGAGATGCACACTTGGAATGTTAATAAAACAAATAAAATGTCTACATGCAAATTCACTGTACTTCTACTTCTACTGCTTACACATCATTCTTCAAATGTATTTGTTTTTTCCTGTACTGTCATTCCTTCACTAGCTCGGGCCTGCATGAGGTTCATTTAAAGGTGACCCAGTGGGATTTTAAGGCATGCTTTCTAGTGCAATGTTGTTCAACCGTTCACATGACTGGTTTAGTACAGCACTGTTAGCACTGTTTAACTGTACCCAGCAGAGGTCTTCATGGGTCCACTTGGTTCCTAGTAGCCAGAGACAAATTTGATTGTCACAGGTCTCTGGTCTGTGTGTCAACATGTCCTCTAGTCCAGTCTGTTTGGATGGGTACTATTCTCTATCCGCAATCCTACCCTTCACTAAATAAATATATTTATGTATGTTGGGTTCGGGCAGGTTTTTCTAATGTTCCACTTCAGATCAGATCCTAAATTTTGGACCCATGAAGGCCTGTATTGCGCTGCCATGATCATATGCATTTTCATGGCCTCACAGTAGGGAACCACAGCTTAGACCATGGTCAACCCACATCTCTAACCTCAATGCTTCACAATAATAGCTTTCAACAGGCAAACCATTGGAACACTAATATTGTGAAGCAGTGCAGCCTTATTGGTCAGCAAAGCACTGCTAACTCTACTAACACTGATAACAATCAGTTTACAGTGAGAGATATGGCCATTTTGTTAGTGCATTTATGTTGGCAGAAACCCTTTTGTGAGTGTGGGATGAAAGAAGAAGCAACCATTGAACTGGTTTGATGAAGACGTGCAAGAAGCAGACACATTGCAGTTCGGGTGAATGTCAAAAGTCATGAAGGTAAGCTACGTACTAACCTACCAGCGCCTCTGCATGAAATATTGATTGTAGTGACGATATTATACAATGTATTTTACATGCTTTTTGATGTGTTGTGAGAAAGGAAACAAATAATCCAACAAGAGTGTAAAAGTCTAGGAGGCACAACACACAAGCAATGGCCAGCGGGCTTAATTCTTACCTTCTTCTAACACACCTCCTGCCACAAGGCCACTTACTAGCATTGGCTATTCATTATTATTAAGTAATATCCTCCATCATTAGTTCTTATAGGGTTTGTTGATGACCTTGTCAATCCATCGCAGGAACCTGCTAACACGTGTGTACACCCCAGGGAAAGCTGGGTTACCACAGCCATGACCCCAGGAGATGACCCCTGTCAGAATCCAACGGCCCCCCTCCCCCTGGCAAACCAGCGGACCCCCACTATCACCCTGGCAACTGTCCACACGGTGGTGCTCCGACAGGCTCCCGGCACACAGCATGCGGCTGGTGAAGCGATCACCATATCGCTTCTTACACTTCCAGGGTGGAAGAAGGGGGACCCAGGCCTGGAGCAGAGTCCGGGAGTACTCTGAGTCTGACAGCAGGAAGCACACAGGAAAAAAAGTGTTCTCATCTTATTTACATGTGAGGACAGTGATGTGAAAGCATTAAGTAGAGGATACCCAATAGAAATACAAATAATGAAGCAAAAGTTATTTAAACATTCGGGAGGACCATAGGGTGCGCTGTACACAGGGCATGTTATGTAGCATTTGACGTGCAAAGCACACATCCGGACACACCACAATGCAGCAGTCAAGACACAGTAACACGTGGGGTGTGTGTTGCCCTTGGACATGTACTACAGGTATATGTATGCTGATACCCAAAGCTTATTTCTTATCATATTCATATCTATCCCTTACTGTTTATTCTATATATTACCACTATACATTATGTGCATCACTCTGCACTATACTGCTTGTGGCACTTCTGATTGGATGCTAAACTAAAATGTCCTGCTTGTCGTTAGGTATAGGCAATTCAACGTTTACTGTCAGTGGTGGATTTTTTTCAATGTTTCTCCAGGACTACCACCTTACTCTAACCATGACAGGGTTGCTAAAAACCTGCTGTATCTTTGTACCAAAGTGGCATATAAACCAAAATGATGTAATAACCCTTTATGATGAAAGTTCATTGAAAGACAAGCAGATGGAACTCCCCATGTCATTGTAACCCTGAGGACAGGGATAAACATGCAATGGTCTGAGCAGTGTAGTTACCTGTGATACCCCAGCCAGTGATTACACAGGCAGCAGGCCTCTTCTCCCACTTGTGACCTGGCTCTGGCAGACACACTGCACCAATGTGGGGGTTAAATGCCACACAGTTGCCCTCTGAGCCTTTGAGCCGCAGCAGGGCGATGTCGTACTCCCAGCCCTGAGTTTGGTACTTTCTGTGGATAACGATGCGTTCAGGGGATAAGGTGCGTTCAAAGTCATCCTGCTCCGCAGTGTGATAGTCACCCAAGCGCAACACGTAGCGGGTGGGGTCTCTCCCAAATCTGGATGATGAGACAAATGATGGTCTTAATAATGATTTAATGTGCAATTCATATTAGATGACATGCATAACCCCAAACACTAGGTAAAGATTTAAAATTTAAAATTGTTAAAAATAAAAACGCTACCAAAAGCTGAATACAAGTAAATAGATTGGATTTCTAATTACTTACATTTGAGTCACCCAGTTAAAAAACATAGTTTTGGAGGAAAAATTACAAATTTAATGGTCAACAATGCAGCAGAATTACTAGATTCACAAATCCTGCTAAATTCTTGTCCATTTCAGTGTGAGGTCCATTATGTCGTAACAATCAAAAACATACAGATTCCATTAATAATGCATAGCTGGAAAAGAACTATGTGACAATCAATCAATAACAAGCATGCATCCTTTTTGAACTGAAGAAGCCTCTTGCTTGGATTAGAGGCAAGGCGACCATTAGAGGGAGCTGTCTCCTACCTCTTAAAGCAGTGGGCAGCGGTCACAACCCAGCAGGGGTTGATAAGTGATGCTCCACACAGAGGATGATTGCCTTTAGACTGAGACCTGAGCCACAGAGACACCTGCCAGGGCCACTCCCCCCTGAAATCACACACATACACACACAAGCGCACAGCTGGACTTCAGGGGGGCTACTGCTGGCTGAAACAGCTGCATATTTCCACTGACTTGTCAAGACATCTGCACACACAGAAACTCAAAATAGGCAAAATCTGACATTTTTCAGAAATTATAGACATATACCAAACTATACAGTGAGGTATATCTGTATTGGTTGTAGTGGTCACAATGAATGTCTCCCTACATTCGCAAACACACTGCAGCGCCAAATTCCATGAGGGGTTTTTCTCACAGTGGACTGTATTTTGCCGTACTTCTCAGTTTTGAATAAACCTCTTATGAAAAGGTCCATCTCTGTAGGGATCCTTTTAAAAATGTTGTCATGTTGCGCTTGTAGTGGATGTAGGCTACTCTGATGGGCGCATTTGTCCCTAAGGATTATGTTGCAGCCATTATGGCTCGTTTTGCAGCTGCTGGCTAAGGCTTAGAGCCAGAATATTTCAGTGAATTAAGGGTTTATTTCAACCAAACCAAACTGCTGGGATAAAGGAAAAAGTAACAAAGTTTTGGTGAGCTTTATTTGGTTTCTATGCAAGTGTTTTTAACAATGACCCAAGTTTTTCTCATTGGAGTCTGGTAGTGAATGTTGCTTACATCTCCTTTTGTACATGTGAATCTGCATACATTTCAATGAAGCCAGAGTGTTGTGTATGCTAACCTAAGTGACTTATCTCCTCCAACGATCCTACGTCGACGCCGCTGCTTATTGAGTCGCAGGCCACAGGTCTGCATTGCCATGGCACCATCCCCGACAGGGTCCAGGGTGTAATCACAGATAACACCGGCATCCTCACTGTGGCGACAGTCATGGCCATCTTGACCCACAGCCGGACACTGGCCTAAGGATATCTCGGTGCCCGAGCATCGGACGTTGTCTAGATGGATTGGACCTTGACCCTCACCAAAGTACGCCATGGATCGAGCTTTAGCAGAGCCACTGGAAGGACAGCACACAAAGACACACATCATAATTATTATTTGTTCCTTTTTGTACTATAAATACATTTATTACATGTAGTATATTTATGTATTTTTTTTAAATTTCCAGTCCATTTTATTTGTCTGCTGTCCACTGTTACTACTGTGATTGTACAAATCCTTTCATTGCAACAAATCATACCTTCTCATGTTATGGTATATACATATTCTGGTATTAAAATTGTTTGATACAAATAAAATGTAAAAATAACTTTTAGTATTTAGCTCTGATAAAGATCGAAAGAAGTTGGCATTTGAAACATTTAGCAATAAAATATTATTCACCTAAATAAAAGCTTTAATCTACCTTTTCTCCTGCTCTGCCTTAGGGTGACTGAAGAATGTGTCTTTTCTGTGACCAGCTCAGTAGCTCAAATCAACAGACACACACTGTACTGTGTGTGTCTGTTGATCTAGGTGGCAAGCTGCTTTATACAATTGAATTTGAATTGAATTAGTTTATTCATGGTCATGAGTACCTTAAGGTCAAAAGCACCACATCAGTTTCCATTTGTATCTTGATGACTTCCACGCAGTGTTATTGAGCAAACTACAATCCTGCCATTTAAAACTAAACTTGGAAGCTATTATAAACAGGTCCAGAATGCCACAGACGTCTCAAATGATCCAACAAAAGAATCCTCAGAACTCCATGATTACTTTAAAGCCATGTATAGGGTTGACGCCTTTATATCTCTGGCCTGCTAACCCCCTACAAGCCTGAGTGCAACCTGAGATCCTCTGGTAGTGGTCTGTTAGTTGTTCTTAGGTCGAGGCTAAAACCAGAGTAGACTGAGCCTTCGGAGCCAGGGCCCCTTGATTCTGGAACGACCTGTGGAGGAGATCAGGCAGGCCAGCTCTGTTTCTGCAATGTCTATGCAATAAACCATCAAAACTAGCATCAGATAGATTATATTATGCAACCTAATATCTTCTAATACACCTGGAACGACAATTGGAACTGTAAATTTGATGAAAATGAACTAAAATACAACAGTTATACTTTTTTTTTTAATATACCAGGTGAATGTCCATCTTTTATTTTACTTTGTGGTTGTTGTTACTAATGTTGACTTTTATAGGGAGTTATCTTTAACATACTATTTCTGTCCATAAAACAACGTTCCAAATAACATAAAGCTTCCAAAACATTGAAATATTAACATTCCTGTGACCAAAAGCACCCCCCATGCTTTACAGGCGTGTAACTTGAGAATCGATCCGGATTGAGCAGGCCTTTCATTTGATACCCTGAATGTCTATGTAGCTACTACAAGTCGGCCACCAGAGCGAGAAAAAGGCGAGAGAAGGCAGGCACAGCTCCCAGGTATTGTGCAATAATCAAGATGGTGCCGGCAATATTTTTAGCAACAAATCAGCTGATTTTTGGAATGAAAACGGCGAAAACAGTAAAAGGTTGTAAAGATCGCGTGCTGCCCCCAGTACTAAGGGGGTCGGTGCTCAGGAGGCTCTCTTAAAGGGTTATACATCATTTAAGAATTGCATTCTCTCAAATATGTATTTGTTGTTTTTATGTTTTTATTCTGTATTTTAGTTCAATTATGTTTTAACCTTTTAACTGGATTATTATTATTATCATATTTAATTATTGGGTTCCACTTTTTCTGGCATTTCTCATTTTTTTTCTTTTTGTAAAGGACTTTGTAACTTGTTTTAGAAAAGTGCGATAAACAGAGATTTTATGATTGTTATTATTATTATTAAGGTTCCTAAGACCTACTGCATGTGAAACTGAGTACTTGGCCTCTACATTCATTATTTTTATTTCACCCTGTGGCCCCACCACCTGCAGAGATATGCATTGGGGTTGAGTGCTTTACAAGGTGAGTTCCAGGCAAAGGCAGGGACCTAGGCATGCTGACTGCCGGCATCGCAGACTTGTCTGAGGGACATGGAATGTCACGTCTTTGGTGGGGAAGCAGCAATGGGCTGTGGGAGGTGGTGATACTAACTACATAGTTGGGCTCACCTCTAAGCATAGCACTGGTTTGGGAACCAAACTCCGGGAGAGTTGGAGGGCTGCCCAGGGTGTGAGGTACCAGACAGCTATGGGGATACTCACAAGGTCCCCCTGGCTGAACGCAGCTGTTTTGAACTTCTCCCCGGAGGATGAGAATATTGACTCTATGCGACTGCGAGTCCCTGGGGCTAAGGTTTTGCCTGTTGTGTGTGCATATGCACTAAACAGCAGCTCGGGAATACCCTCTGGGTGGTGTCCTGGAAGAGATTCTGGCTGGGGACTGGGAGACTTCATCACTCACATGGGCAATGATGGAGAAACCTTGAGGGGGTGACTGGGAGGAAGTGAGTAAGTGATCATAACCAGGATGTTGTTTTGTTATTGGACTTGTGGACTAGCCTGGATTGGCCATAATGGTTGTTCAAGTATACTTGTGACCAGACAACCTTAGGCCAAAGGTTAATGATGACGACTTTGTGGTGGTATCATCACACCTGCGGCTGTATGTATGTATTGAACACACTGGTGAGTTGGATCAGATGGCAGTGGAGGTTTTTGGACAGACCTGGTAAAGTAAAGCCCCCTGTTCGTGGGATCTTCAACTCCCACCTCCGGATGAATGTTTACGCATCCTGGAGAAGGTTGGGGACATGGAATCCGAGTGGGCCATGTTTAAAGCCTCCATTGTAGGGGTGGCTGGCATTAGCTGTGGTCAGAAGGTCATTGGTGCCTGTCATGGCAGCAAACTAAGAACCAGTGAAGGAAGCCATCAAGCTGAAAAAGGAGGCCTTTCATTGTTGGTTGGCTCAGGGTTCTCCTGAAGCGGCAGACAGGTACATGGAAACCAGAAGGTCCGCAACGTCTGTGGTTGTTGAAGCAAAAACCTGGTTGTTGGAGGAGTTTAGGGAGGCTTTGGAGAAGGCATCAAGGAATTTCTTCCAAACAGTTTGATGACTCAGGAAGGGAAAGTTATTATTGTAAATTGTTGAGCGGTGAAAAGAGCACTTTGAGGAACTCTTGAACCCATCCAACACATCTTCTGTGGATTAAGCAGGTTGGGAGTGAGTTGCCTGTTCACGAGTTACGGCAAAATGGAGCATGAGATAGAGGAAGAGCTCTGACATCCAGAGGGAGCTTGGAGCAGAGCCGCTGCTCCTTAGCAAAAAAATGAGCCTGCTGGGAGGAGACCCCGAGGTAGACCCAGAACTCACTGTAAGGACTACATAGCTCATATGGCCTGGGAATGCCTTAGGATCCCCCAGCATGGAAGTGGGAAGTGTTGGTGCTGAGAGGGATGTCCGGAATACCCTGCATTGCCGGCTGCCACTGAGACCCGACCCCAGATAAGCAGAAGATAATGGATGGATATTTTGTTATTTAGTTAGTTAGTGAATGTATGGAAAAATGTCCCGACTATCAATACAGTATTTGCTGAGATCTTTTACTCTGGACTAAAGTGTGAACTGACCAACCAACCAACTGTCCTTGCCATCCCAAGAGCCACACTGCTAGCATGGCTAACACACTGATGCTACCATGAGGATGAACCCTTTCCATTTCAGACACTGCAAACACCTTTGTCTCACTGTCTTTTGTAATCATACTAACGTGAATCCCAGCTGTCTGCAAACTACAGCTGCATTGACATCATTCCAGCCATCATCACACACGCTTCCCCACTGGCCATTAATGAAGACCTCCACTCTACCCTCCTTCCTGCTCTCTCCAGCAACCAAACGCACCACAGGGCCTGCAAACAAACATTGCAGGAAAAACACGCCATTAGAGTGTTGTTGATGATAGTTATTCATGACTCAAGGTTTTCAGATGCTAGCAAGATTTGACATATCCTGAGATTGTTGGCCTTTACAAAAGTAATATGGTGGTAAAAGTAACTGTTTGCCTTCTGTCCTCAATAGCCACCAATGTGTTTACTTACCAATAGGAGGCAACAGGCCTGGTATCTCATTGGCATCACCTCCCTTCTCACAGCGGACACCTACATCCTCACTGTGGGAGCAGTCATGTTGGCCCCACTCAGAGTGGGTGCAGGCCAGTAAACTGGCCTCTGTTCCCTGGCACTGCAACTCGTCCAGCAGGATGAGCCCTTGGCCTTCTTCATAAACCCCATCAGGTGCCACCTCTGCTCGGCCGCTGCAGACAAGGCACAGCCACAGAACATCAATGCTATCTCTCTATGGACAGTCATTTCAATAGCATACAGAACAACATCACCAAAACTCTGTAACCTAAATAAAGTTTTATGATTTATGAGTTAGTTTTGTTCATTAATCAGTTATCAAACATTCATGTCTTATATATCATAGATATACAACTGTTTTTTTTGTCACCATGTTTTCATTCTTACCAACCGCTACAGGCTGGTTTCAGTTTGTTGAAATGATGTTATTGAAGGCACCCATCAGTAAATCAGTTTTCTTCAAACACCACCCATAGGCAAAACTATCAGCTTTGTACACAATATGTATAACAAAATGTTCAATTTGCTATGGACCTTACTGTGGATACTCATGGTCATTCACGGGTTGCTTAACTGTTTCCTCATTTGCCTCACTTGTGTCTCATCCTGGCATCTATAAGATGCAAGTCCTTTTTATCTGAATAGTCATCTTAAACATTGTCAATTTCTGATGACAATGGCATAACTCAGCTCTGTATACATTGGAGTTTGTATTTGCACAGATGTTGTGATGTACTGTACTGGGCACACAGTCGTATTATTGTACATTGTAGTGATCATAATGCAATAATCCAAGTTATGATGAGATTGTCTCTTAATTTGTAGGAAATATTCAGTAGCCTATGTTTTAAAGAAAGTGCAAAAAAAATAGACCTCACCAATTAAAGACCACCACAAAGGATGTGTGAGAAATGAATAATCAAAGTGACTGTAAGGATTAGAGAATTTAGGAACAGATGAGGAAGAGGATGGGTGACCATAGTGAAACAGAAACACAGGACACAGCTGTAGATTTTGACTGTATGTATTGAACAGCAAACCAGGTAATAAGCAGGTGGGATCCAAGCTAAATTCAAGTTACAGAATAGATTTATCCTCAGATTCAGTTAAAAATAACAACAGGGACATTGGTGTCTCACAGTGGATTCGAACAGTATGTGTAAAATTTAATGAGTTTATTTATTTTAAGTGGAATTGTATGATTTTCTCAATATTAACACAGAGATTAATCTCTAATTGTTGATTTAAGTACTCTGGGCTACAATGGTCTCTTGTGTCCTTGCTCAAGCCTCCAGGCAGCCTAATAACTCCACCATATTGATTTCCCTGTCACAAAGGAGCGAGGATTGAGGAGAGATGAAATAGGGCAAATGAGAAGCAAAGATGGTCCTCAGCAGATGAACCTTAGTGATTGTAGTGATCCTGTGGCCATTCAATCCCAGTCTTACACCACCATGTCTATTTCCACAAACAATGCTCCTTAATGTTACAGGCAGACTGCTATGACATTTGCTGAGCACATTCATGCTCCCAGAGAAAAATCTGTTTTAGTTTTAAGTTAGCTAACCCTCACTGATGATCATGGCCTCTTGGTAGTGACCAAAAGCATGAGATCATGAATTCAAGCAGATGAAATTAGATTCTCTTTCAGGGGTTCCTAGGGTCACGTGAGGAGCTCAGACATACTGAAGGACCACAGAAGCAGTAGGTAGGTGGAAAATAATAAGGAAGGTGTAGAACATTTGCACTGAAAGGAGAAAGTGAAGGTAGTTTTGGCATTTGATCAGGATGCTTCATGGACCCATCTCTGATTCCAAGCACATCCAATTCTGAGGAGACACCTGTGCAGACCCCGAACATGCTGGAGGGTTTATATTGTAGTTTATTCCAAATTCCAGTTAATGCCTTTGTATCCCCCAGAATAAGTTGAGGATGTGACGGGCCTTGCATAGCCTGCTGCCATCTGGACTGGAGCCCATATAGGAGGCAGAAAAAGGGATGGATGGATGGATAGTTATAAGGCTCTTAGCCAAATTGTCAGTTTGTTGTTCAATCATTGTGGGTTTTTATAAAAATACTTCCTTTCATTTTTGAGGGAAAAGAAACAGTGAGCGCTTTGACAGAATGATTATCTGCAGACATGATGGCACATGGTTGTTCCTCCCTACTTTAGATCGATATGTACAATAGGATAAATGCTCTGTATAGCGCCTTTCTAGTCTTTTTGACCTCTCAAAGCATCTGCATTCACCATTCATTCACTAAACCTAAGTGCTCAAACAGAAACTAACATTCACACACTGGCGGAACAGCCACCAATATGGGGGTTCTTGGGCATCTTGCCCAAGGATACTTGAACTGCCGACCTTCCCATTAACAGGCAACCATCTCTACCTCCTGAGCCACAGCCGCCCCCATATACACAAGCTCCAAAGGCACAGAGTTGTTCCATAGTGACAGAAATGGTGTGTTACAGATGTAGTGATGCACTGACCTGAAGCCCAGCTGTCTACACACTACCTGGGCGTTGAGCTCGGTCCAGTTGTCATCACACACAGTGCCCCATTCTCCTTGGTGGTAAATCTCCACGCGACCCTCCATGTGGCTGTCTGCTCCCACAAGACGAACTGCACCATCTGCAACCACACAGGATCTGTTTTAGTGTTGGTGTAAGTGATCTCTTTGAGCTAACTTCAGATCACAATCATCCACCCAAGTCATAAAATATCTACCAGTGCTAAGTCAAAGGCATCTGAACTTGCTCTAGATTCTTGGAAACCTTTTCGCCAATCGTCCAAAAGGTTTCTTCAGTTCTGACTGACTGATGAGGAGTCTAAGGCAATTAACCTATGTAGCGTTGTTAACATACAGCAAGGAATACACAGACCTATGCAATAGGGCCACGAAACACCCACTAAAACAAGTGCATGGCCCACCACAGGAGAGCAAACTCCTTAGGTCAAGACGCAGTAGTATACCTACATCTAAAGCACATCTTTGAGGACAGAAATGTACACATTTTGGATAGAGAAGAAAGATGACTTGAAAGAGGAGTGAGGGAGGCCAAACTGGAATGTCAAACTGAAACAACGATCATAAAATAAAGTTACATCACTTTCCAGCCACAAAACAAAACTATGGGTTTATAGCCATTCTAGTGGCTTTGTGAGACTGTACTTAGGCATTGCAGTGCTTTGAGCTAAATGCTAATGCTACCAGAGCAACACAATGCTAGCATGTATAATGTTCACTAACTTAGTGAACATTGTACATGCTAAACACAAAGTACAGCTGATTATGTCTTTCGTTTTGCAGGTATTTGGTTCTAAACCAAAGCACTGAACAAATTTTGACCTGATAATAGTGCTCGAGGAAAATTTAAGGGGTCGACAAAGTTCTTTCAGAAGGGATATGAATGTCTGGAACAAATTTCATGGCAATCCATCCCGAAGTTGTTGAGACATTTCACTCAAAACAAAAAATTTGGACCATGTGGTTGTGGCTAGAGGAAAAGTCAAGTGATCGCCAAAGTCTGTAGGATTCACCCTCCGGGGTCCACAAATGTTTGGACAAACTTTCATGGCAATTCATCAGATATTTGTTGAGATATTTCAGTCTCAGATATTTCAAAGTGGTGGACCATCCAGCTGACCGACCAACTGACAGACAGATGTGAAGTAAACCTCCAAATAACTTCCTGGGGCTGCCCCACACTCAAAAGTGAATGAGCAGTGCAAGTTGATAAAGGTTTAATGCAAATATTCTCTGTTGCATGAAAGCAACAACCTGGAGAAAACCAATCCTGCTTGTTTGGGTTCAGTTGGAAATGGAGGCACATAGTTATTTTCTCTTCCACTTCATTGTTCATGTTAAAGATCTTGGGGACAAGGCTGATATTCGCTGTGAGCTTTCTGATTCTCTGTGATTTAACTATATTAAGCTACTGGGACTTACAGTTGCAGGAAAACGTATGTGAACCCTTTGGAATTACCTGATTTTCTCCATAAATTGGTCATCAAATGTGATCTGATCTTCATCTAAGTCACAACAATATACAAACACAGTCTTATTAATCCCACACAAACAATTTTATGTTCATGTTTTTATTGAACACACTGTGTAAACATTCACAGTGCAGGGTGGAAAAAGTATGTGAAGACTTGGATTTAATAAGTGCTTGACCCTCTGGTGTAAATCACTCTCTTGAGGTCATGCCACAGCATCTCAATCAGGTTGAGTTCAGGACTCTGACTGGGTCACTCCAGAAGGCACATTTTCTTCTGCTGAAGCCATTCTGTTGTGGATTTACTTCTGTGCTTTGGTTTGTTGTACTGTTGCTTCACTCATCTTCTGTTGAGCTGTTTGCGGGCCGATGGCAGACTAACATTATCCTGCAAAATTTCTTGATAAACTTTGGAACAAATTTTTCCGTCAATGATAGCAACCCTTCCAGGCCCTGAGGCAGAGAAGCAGCCCCAAACAATGATTCCCCCTCCACCATTCTTCACAATTGGGATGAGTTTTTGATTTTGGTGTGTTGTGCAATTTTCCTCCACACATAAGGTTCAGATCAGAAGAGAAAGATCAGATCATACTTTCTGACCAATTTATGCAGAAATCCAGGTACTTCCAAAGTGTTCTCATACTTTTTCCTGTGTCTTTAGATAAGAAAAAGGGTTGGTAGAAAAATATTTCTTGGCAAATTAACATCTTTGTGGTAATCCCACATAGTGGCAATGGGACAAAATAACCAAACTGAGTATGTAAATGATTGACACTGAACATGCTCGTAACCTTCAGGCTGGTGAGAGGCAGTAAGGAGTCTGCCTCTTTGAGTTTGTATGTGTGAACAGGGTATTGCAGTGGAGTCCTGACATCTTTTCCAGGCTGTTTTAACACACTTTCACACCTTAAATAACCCTTACATCAGAGCCATGTCACCTAACAATGTGACCTCAGTGATTCTCATTGTGACCTAAGCAACTCTCATTGAAACAACAGTCGTTAAGCTCCAGGGAATGCCCACCATTGGACTACAGGCGAAATAGCTTCAACAATCTACAGCAAGTCCAATTGCCCTTAACTTCTAGATATCACAGTGATATGTATTATTGGAGGATTCCTGCTTATATAAACACAGTAGACATTTTGCTATTTATATAATTTTTCATATTGGTTTAACCAATCAGTTGCTGATTCCTAGGAATCATTATAGTGTCATCTAATATGACCCGGTGAGATAATGTTTCCTCGGCTCTGACCTGTGTATGGGTTGCAGGACACCCCTGCATCTTCCATGTGGTCACAGTTGTGTTGCGCCCAGACGTTATGAGGACACTCCTCCAGACAGAGTTCATTGCCTGTACACTGAACCCCATCCAGCAAGATGGGACCAACACCCTGGCCAAAGTGGGCCCATGTCCATGCCTTGGCCACGCCCCTGTTGGTCAGGACAGACAAACACCACGTTTTTGTATAGCACAAGGTCTTTTACACCCAAACAATGTTTTATATATATATATATATATATATATATATATATATATATATATTAATAGAATATGATGGCAAATGTAGTTGTTTGAATAGAGCAATGAATCATTTAAAGACAGCAGGAGAATCTGATCATTGTTTTTCATCAAAAAAAGTTTAAATGTTTTAGAGATTTAACATATTGCCCAGTGAAACAGCAAAATGTGAAGAATGGTTTAGCTGAAGTTTAGTTGAACCTACACCTACAGGTGCAATTGTTTTTGCGTTTTTAAACTTCTGCATGCGTCCAGTTTAGCTGGACCTGTTTTAAATCACAGCTAAGCTTGTCAGATGTGAAGTGACACAGCAACAGACCCCTTATGTTCCACCACTGTTGCTGCTTGGACCGCTGATAATGTACACGAACAGTATGAGAAGGGCCATTCTGCATAATGAGTGCTTTTTCTTTTAATACTTATGTACTTATGCTGCTCTCCCCCTTTGGGGCATAAGGCAGCGATAATGTTTTACTACCTGTCACAACCTTTAGCTGCTACTTTTCCCTCGCCCCATGAGAGACCCATTTTTGGCAGCTCAGTCTCCATTCTTTTCTTCCTGTCTTCTGCTCTGTGTTTTTTAGATTATGTTTTTTCCTTGTTATTTAATCATCCCCCTCCTCTTATGTTTGGTATAACTCCCAGCCTTTGTATTTGCTCATCCTCTGTTGTGTTTTTTTCCAGACCTACTATTACTAAAGTATTTAAGTGGAGTTTAAATACTTTAAGTATTTAAGTATTTAAGATACTTAAGATACTTTAGTATTTAAGTGGTCTGTTCGCAGTCTGTGCCAGTTCACTTGTGTTTTTTGACCCCATTTTCCCTAGTGCCTGGTTCCCCTTAGAACATTGACATTCTTTATGTAGCAGTAACACAGCAGTTGTTTTTACCCTAGGCCCAGCTGTCGGCACACCACCTCAGCATCAGCGTCATCCCACTGGTCATCGCAAATGGTTCCCCACCTGCCACCATGGTACACCTCAACGCGGCCCTCAAAGTCCTCCAGGCCCCCCACCAGCCTCAAGGGGATGCCAGTGCCTAAAAGACAAAAGGTCAAGAAAAGACTTCTGGAAAGCTTTCAGACCCAAGTCTCTGCAGTAGTGGGCATTCGCTCTTATATACGCGTACCCCCCAGCTGTGTAAAATTTGCCTGTTAAATTTGTCTTCTTGTTTTGGACTTTCTTTCTGTTCACCTTCCTGCTCGTCCTTTTATGTTGCTTCCAGGATTTAGTTTCTTTTATCAGTCAGCCAGCCAAGGATTATAACTTTTGCTGTTGTCTGTGGATTTTTGTATTTCTGCTGTGCCTATTCAGATTATTTCTCTTTTTTATATTGTTTTAATAAACTTAACAACTTATTTCTGCCTCCATGAAGGGTTTCTGCAATTGAGTCCAAAAACCTGTTTTCTGCCTTGTCTCCTATCATGACAGCTAAGTTCTGAGGGAATGCTGATATGTGTGTCAATCAGAGTCTTGAAACTATGGTGAGATAAACAACCAGTGCGAACAAGACAAAATCCTAGCCCTACTGTATGTATCCAACATTATATGTGGATATGATGCATCCACAATACGTTTATTAATGATGTATTTGTTTAGTCTCACCTTCAGGTTCAGCGCAAACCACCCCTGCTTCATTGCCATGGTAGCAGTCGCTGGTCACAAACTTCCTGCTCCGGCATTCCAGCAGGGAATTCTCATTACCACGGCAACCCAGACGTTCATAGTGGAAGATGGAACCTGGCCCGAAGTAGGAATGCTGCAGGGCTGTGCCAATCTCACTGCATGGACAGCAAAGAGACAATGGAAATGTTAATAGAAGACATTCAAGTATTTAAATGATAATTCTAATGGAAGCTATTAATGCTATAAGCTCAATGCATTCAGTAACATTACTTCCCAAAATGTTTACATACTTTGATTTTCCCAAGAAAAAAGAGTCAAGAGTCCCTCAGTTTTATACAGTTTTATCTGTTCAAAGCACCACCACAACACTACAAGTACTTTTAATTATAGTCCCCACAGCAACTATGTTTCCATTAATTAATTCTGTGATATACAGCGACCTCTTAGGAAACTGCTACCTCAGTTGGTTGCTGCTCAGTCTGCTCCTGTTTCTGTCCCTCCAGCCACTTCTCACTTCCACCAGACCCATGCATTTCTAAGGAATTTTCCAGACCTGCCATTCTCCACCTGTCCACCAGATACCTAGGACTTTCCCACCAATCCAGGTCACCTGACTCACATCCACCATCTCATCTGTTCACTTTGGCAAATCATCCCCACCTGCTGACACACCCGTCTCTCATAATCTCATCAGTGCTTCAGTGTGTAGCCTATAACTATAGACGGCATATTACTAGACAAAGCCACCACGCAGGTTTGAATGGAGAGCAGTGGGATGGGATGCCACAGGTTTTGATGTCACTTTTGGGCCTACATGGAACCTTCCATGTAGGCTTTGGTCGGCTTCACTATTCCAACTCTGGCTTACCGCCTTGCCTATAACCAGCTCAACAGTCCTTTCCCAGTCTGACATGTTGTGAGCTCACATTCCACTAATCTGTTCCTGTTCCTGATTTTCTGCATGATATCTGCTTCCTGTGTTTTGACCTGCTGTCTTTTCATGCGCTTCCTTTCTGCATTGCTCCTCTTGTTTGTGCTGCCTCCTAGTCACTCACTGTAAGCACATGTTCATTTGAAAGTTGGTCAGTAAAGTCCTTTTTCTTCGACATGTTCTCCTCACTTTCTGCATTAGGGTCCTTAAAGTAACTGTGAATCTCAGAAAAGCCATATCCAACTTATTTTAAAATATTGTTAATGAGGCTAAAGGCAACTGCAAGCTAATTATTAACTCACTCTAACGGAAAGGCAAAATGTATATACAGTATGGGTTGGAAGCATACCTTTCCAACAGCATTGACGTCAGCCATCATAACACCTATTTTTAAAGCTGGTACCCACATGAACTAAACTACAGACCAATAAAGGTTACAAGGTAGCATTATTTATCATTTTACAACATAGGGTTGTATATTAAGATGAATTGTTCTATTCAAAATTATATACACTAGATAAATACTATCTACATTAGGGTAGAAAAATAACTATTTTACATGGTGGAGTGCTGAGGATGAGGTGGAGCTGAGGAGTTTCAACCTGAGGCCATGTCATGCCAGTTGATGATGTTTCCAGTCAGGATGCTTTCTACTTGGCATAGGCAAGGCCTTTTTAAGTTTCCAGGCATTTCTGAGCTTTCTTTACTAGCATGGAGATTTGAGATGACCATGCCAGGTTCTCTGTGATGATGATTCCCAGGAACCTAAAACTGTTCAAATGCTCCACCTCCGCTCCACTGATGTAGAAAGGAGTGTGTGACTTCACCTCCTTTTTCCTAAAATCAAAGATCCGCTCCTTGGTTTGCTGACGTTGAGCAGCAGGTTGTTCTCTGTGCGCCACTCTGCAAGACTGTCAACTTCCTTCCAATATGAAGTTTCGTGATTGTTTGAATTCCAGCCAATGATGGTGGTGTCATTCGCAAGCTTCACAACAGAGTTCTCTCCATGTCGGGGGATGCAGTCGTGGCTGTACAGCGTGAACAGGAGGGGGCTGAGTACACAGCCCTGGGGGCTCTGGGGTTGAGCACTAGAGTGGAGGAGATTAGTCCACCAATCCGAACTGACTGGGGTCCGTTTGTGAGGAAGTCCAATATCCAGTTGCAGTATCCATGTTGTATTTAAACCCAGAGTGCGCAGTTTGCCAATCAGTTTCATGGGGGAGATTTTGTTGAATGCTGAGCTGAAATCAACAAACTGCAATCTGCATGATGTACGTGGTGTTGCTGATGTCGGGGTGGCCATGGCACAGTCACTGAATAAGACACATTTACCAATGTGTCCTTGAGCAAGACACGTAACCACTGGTTGCTCCGGAGAAGTGTGACCTCTGTCTTATATGGCAATTTAAGTCGCTCTGGATAAAAGCATCAGCCAAATGACTGAATGTAAATGTTTTTCTCAAGGTAAGAAAGGGCTGTGGAGAGCAGGGGAGATGGTATCGTCTGTGGATCAGTTGGATCTGTTGGATCTGAAAGAAAACTAGCGATGGTCTGGTCTGCCAGGGATTTTGTTCTTTATGTGCTGGAGAGGGTTAACCACTAACCCCTTGTAATGAAGCAAATAACTGCATATCTAAATACTGGTAATGTCACTCTTCACCCTATGCAGGTTAGCTTCAGAGTCAATCACTCAGCAGATTGCTGCTACCTTTTAGAAGCCATCAACTCCAAGTTAGACAAAGGGGGCATTGTGGGTATAGTCTTTCTTTCTGTTTCATGTCTTTCTTGGTGATAAAATCTCCCACCTTGTTCTCCTTGTCTGTCTGTTCACCTCCTGTGTTGTCCCAAAGTTTCATAGTGACAGAGATGAACAGCATCACCATATGTAACCAAAGTAACTCACTCTCAATCTTGCCTGTGTGTGCACGGTGCGAGAGGGGAAGGAGAGATGCTAACCAAGAGCAGCTAGCAGGGGAATACATTAGCCTACAATAGAAAAAGATTTTGTATATGTTACATACATTTACATTTAGCTGACTGGTGACCAGAACCAGTTGCCACGGGCTTTAGCCTCCTCATCAGCGTGTCCACCTCCTGTACCCGAGGACGCCGGTTTGAGTCAGGCCTGTGCAGTACATTCTTGGGAGCAGCCGCATACACTCACTTTAATCTTCTTTTTAACTTTGTTTGTTGACTCCATCGTCTTAGCGCTACTGCGGGACCCGCAGTATATTCTTTAACTGTCCGCTCCCTCGCGATTTGTGTTGGGTCCTGCGGGACCCGTGGGATCCCAATCCCAATGCAGCTCTCTAGCCCAAATCTTTAGTCATGGAGTAAATGTACACATGTATGCTGATGACACCATTATCTACACTCATGGAAAAAGTGCAGAGGAAGTGGCAAACCAAATTACATCTGTAATGGAGTAGCAAGTGGCTTAATCACTCCTGCCTCACTGTAAACATGGAAAAAACTGTTGCTTGTTTTTTTCCCAATCACACAGAATAATCAATACTATCCTGAAGTCTAGATTCAAGGCAAAGAAAATGTAACCATCAATGAATTTAAATACTTAAGGTTGTAACTTTTAAAAACCACAAACTGTTTTGTAAATGCTATGTGCATCCTGTGACTATGCACATAGTGAACAGTATAAGGATATATCTAATGCTTGTTGTATGTAATGTGCATCCTGGGGACTGGGAATTAAAATATGCTTTTAGCTATATCTCTGCATAATGCACCACATTTCAAGTATTGACATTTATGTATATTTTTATATGGGTACCTGTCAAATTAACTTAAAAATAATGGTTTCAACATGTCCACATATATATTGTCGTTAGAAACATGTTTGGCTCTGTGAGACTGCCCTCACCCCAGTCCGAGTTGTCTGCATATGACACTGGCATCACGGTCGGTCCAGTGTGTATCACATACCGCCCCCCACTGACCGTTCAGGTAGACCTCTAGGCGGCCGCTGTTGCCCGATGACCCCCCTACCAATCTGGCTGCACCTGCAAATGGAAAAGGAAGAATTCCCACAGGTAAACCTGTTACTGTACATGGAAATATGAATAATAAAGTTTTAGTTTGGTACTTTTTTATATGTGAGGTATGCAAATGTGGAGAAGTCCAACAACATGACAAATACCAAGATGTAGAGCAATAACAACACAGCTAGTAATGTAACTAACATTACCTAAGTTGTGGGTTAGCACACTGCTGCTCCAGTTGCTGCTGCAATTCTAACATGTAGTGAGGACAGTAATATTCCAACACTGACAAACTTTACACACTGCACAGAGTGGGAGGAACAGGGGGCTATCCATCTGTCTATCCATTCGTTCATCTGTCCATTCATCCATGCATCTCTGCTCAGACATCCTCAGATACCTGGTGCCCTTCCACAGCTCACCCTGATGGCAGTCGCAGTAGGCCCAGCTGATGGCACCGGAGCTCTGCCTGAAGAAGCACCAGGGATTGGGCTCTCGGTCTGGGTTTCGGCAGAAGCTATGTTCCCCCAGGCCTCGGCCCGGGTACTGTCGTATATAGTCTGGGAAATCTGTCCACTTCAGGCAGGGGGAGCCTGAGTCCGTGTGGGAAACTGAGCCATTATAGTAGCCCACTTCTGTAAAACCTTCTGAACAGGAGAGCGGAGCTGCAAACACAGATCATCACAGAGTCAGTCATACAGTCTTTACTAAATCACATTTCATGAATAACAACAAAACAATGAGCTTTAAGATATAAGAAATAATTATTAAAAACAAAGACAGCACCAGATGTCGTAAGATGAATGACTATGTTTTTAGTCAAAAGTCTTTACAAACTAATTTTCTCTCCATGAATACGTTTACAAAAAGCACAAACAGAGGGGCACAATTTTGGCAGTTGTTTAGTCAGTTCAACACTTTGGTTCAGAGCAAATTATTATATAATAATAATTTGCTCTGAACCAAAGTGTTAATATATTATTAACCAAATATTAATATATTATATTAAAGTCTCTAGGAGCCACTAGTGAAGCTTTCTACTAACAGAGCAGGGTACCTTTTTTGACATCTCGCAGGTTCTGTTCCTGTTAAACACAATAGTTTAGAGGTCAAACTGGCGACCTTTACATTTTAACAGCAAAGAGAAGTCTCAATGTTAGATAAACATTCCAGTGATAATTTAGCAAATACCAGCTCTTGAGACTCTTTTGTGAGTTTGTGCCTTTTTCCTTTGTTACTGATGAGACTGTTGTTTTCTAAGGGATGGGTTTGGTTCCCGTCTTTGGTCCGCTTCACAAAATAAAAATGGCTTGGTGTCTGGTGTATTGGGAGTTTTTAGTTGAAGGGGTAGACATGATCCTATTGATCTAAACATCCTCCAGCCATGTTATTCTCAAAGTCACTTCAGAGTGTGTAACCTGAAGTCAGTGGTTTGCAGGACCATTTCAAATATTCTAAAGCATTTAAAGCTATGCCACATTTTTTGTAGTATTTCAATGAAGTTGAAAGGTGTGGGAATTGGTTGAACTCACCAAAGTTATCCTGAGTTGACATTGTCATGTTATGAGCTGTCTTTCTTTTTTTCAGTTTTTTTTTTACGCCTGGGGGGTTGTTTTTATCAATTACATTCCATCCATCTGTCCATTCGTCAAAAAGCTCTAGGTACCAGGTTGCAGAAGGGTGAGAAGGGAAACATAATTTGGCGAGTTGAGACTTGGGGGTGACCCTTCCTTCTACTCTGCCTGGTCTGCTTGTGTTTTCTCCTCCCCTAGCAGGAAGTGGACTGGCAGAGAGCAGGTTGTTAATGAGCCGGCTCACTGGGACTGATGAGCTGGCAAGCCTACAGAGCTGGCCAATTCAGTCTGCCTTTGCACTCTCAGCTTTTAGTATTCACCATCTCTATACACTATTTTTCACTCACGTTGACACTCGCATACATAATACAACACATTTTATGAATTTGTTTTTTAGATATGTACTTAATGTATTTAAGTAAAGGATCTGAGTGCTTCTTTTACTATTGCCTCTCTGTGGCGCTGAAATGATATGTGGTTGGTCAGAGGTGACCTCCCTTATCAGGTCTAAAATTGAGAGTCCCATAAATAAGCAAAGAGCTTACATGATCCTCTGGGATGAACAAAATACTTGATTGGTAAAAAAAAAAAAACAAGTTCTATGAAGCTGAAGTACATGTCCAACATGACTCATGCATCTGGGGGGCAGATGGTGGTTTAACAAGACAATGATGTGGCTAGATGCAGGGAAGACACTTAAGAGCAACCAGAAGCACTGCCAACTGTAAAACGGATCTATAAAACTGCTTCCTGAGGAGACACTATGTGACTGGTTCTCACAAACACACACACACACACACACACACACACACACACACACACACAACAAACAACATGAACAACCCTGATTTATACAAAATCCCACAGTCAATTACTCAACATTGGCACATGTTGATTCTTGCCAACACAGCTGACAAACATAAAATACTCAAGAGACAGCTCATCCATTTTCCAGTGGGAGTATCTGACAAGTATGAAGTCAGTATAGGTCTTTGTTCCAATTAGTGGTGAAGCCTCATTGCCATAAGGCATGAAGCATGAAATTCAGGTAATCTACAGGGAATCCACTGCTGTGAGCTATAGGCACAGGATAGATACACAGGATGCTGTTGTTGGAGACAGAATGAGCATAAAGGCTATACTATAGACTGCAAACGCTAGACAGAAAGGTAAAGGATATTGGTAATTATGGCTTGACTGGTGGGAGCAGTTTTATCTGAGCAGAGGTTGAGAATACATGTAAAACCTCTCAACCTGGGATTATAAAATTGACTAAATACATGGCCAGTACCTACAAAAATGACTGAACCTCATCTTGATTTTTCACAACATTCAAACACTGTGGATGTTAATATTGTTGGACACTGATGAATTGAAAAAATCCTGAAGGTGTTGGATGGGATGAGGTCGGGGCTCTGGCAGGCCAGTCAGGTTCTTCTAGGCAAGAAGGGGGATACAAAGGGGGAATTGTATGCTGTAGTATTAAGATTTCCCTTCACTGCAAGTAAAGGGCCCAAACCAGGAAAAACAGACCCAGACCAAAAGTATATGAACAGAGGGCTCCACATGTTGCACGATCAGCATTTCAAGTCCTAACACAGATTCTGGATTGGAATGAGGTCTGGACTCTGACTAAGCCACCTCTGGGAATTAACACTGTTGTTTTAAAGCCATTCCTGTATAGCGTTGGCTTTGTGTTTGGGCTTGTTGTCTTGCTACTTAAACCAGGTTCATGCTGGGAGTCTTTCTGCTGTCTGTGCTTGGTCTACACCAAACATGGTGTTTAGTTGACGGCCAAACAGCTCAGTTTGAATTTTCAGTTCATCAGACCTCAGAACATTGTTCCACCTTGTTTCAGAGTCTCCCAACACTAGCCTAGATGTCATGTACCATTTGCCATAACAACAGCTGGACTGCTAACAGATGCAAACAAGAAGCAGGACTCATAGTTAGAGTAATGTGGGCCACCAACTGGGTATGACAGTGTGAAACAACAGGTAGGATCAGATGTGCTGCCCTATGTGCCTCGCTCATCTACATACTTCACACAAGTTATGAGGCAACACATTAGTAATGTTCATGTAGCTGTGGACATTCCCCCAAACAGACCCTCATATTAATAAAGATTTTCAGATCACCCTTACCTTTACTCTGCACAACATTCAAGTGCGCACCTTCATTGACCTGTGGAAGAAATACAGTGTCATGGAACAGATACTGAGTTTGAAGTAGAAAGCAGATGGATTACTGCAAGGCTTTTAAACAGTTTTCATGACACAGACCCAACTTTAATCTAAGATATCACACGGAAGACCCGGAGCTCACATGATGAGAAGCTCCTTGTTGGTACATCTGTTAACTATGCCAGCTTTTCATGAGCCTGTTTGGGTTAGCAGTGTACAGAATTAGGAGTTTGTCACCACTGAATAATGACCTCATCAATCAGAAGGGCAGACACTGTTGTGACTGACAGATAGCAAAGTGTTGCAGATAGTCAAGCGGGGCGGAGTCTTCGGATCTGAACAAGGAAAGATTATCGCAATGAATGAGGTGCAATGCAATGAAACATTGTTTTTGTATCAACATTAACATGTATCAAATTCATTCTGACAGTTTTCATTCAACATATATTTAGGATTGAATTAAATGAAATAAAAATATGACCAGACAGCTGTGGCTAAAATGAAAGTTTGGGTGGAATAAGAGAAAGAATAAACTTTTTGAAGTGGATATAATGCATTTAATAAGGCGACCATGAACAGGTTACTGTCATGAACATCAACAGTTCAATAGTGCAGTAACAGTAAAATCTCCCTCCAAGGACTTTATTGTGGCCTTTCATATGCCGATAGATAAATAGTCAGGACATCTGGAGCCTAGGCAAACCAGAGGGCCCCTAAACAATAAACTCTTGTCTTTTCTAAAGTAAAGTGGTAAACATTTAAGTAACTTTTTTTGTGTTCTTTGAGCTTTTTTTTTTAAAATTGCAGGTTGGATCTGATCAGGGTTTGGGGGTTTAGGGTGTTGTAAAATCAGGTAGACTTGAACCAATGCTGTTAAACTGTGTGTTTCATGTTCATATTTCTGAGCCATGTGAGTGTGAGTCACATCTGCAGTGAGTGTGAATAAAAATGAGTGTAGACTTTGGCCTGCTGATAATATAAAGCAAACAGAACAATCACCAGTTTTCTCTGTAGTCCAGCACACTGGATCTGAACTGAAACAATGACTATGAGCTCAAAGCACTGACGCTCAGTTTGAAATTGTTGAAATGCATACTGGGTGAAAAGTGAAGGAATTACAGTTCTGTAATTATCTTCCAAAACTGTGTTGTACATTGTTCACCCAGTGTAGATATGCAGTTACTGTATATATATATATATGACAACATCAAATTCCTTAAGGCCGACAGTCAAGCCTTACAGACTGCACTGATCAAACATAGACCTGTAGTTTTTGGAAAACACATCTTGTAATTTATGCATCAATGTTGTCTTTGACTCAACATGCCTACTACAAACATATCGTGCTGATTGGCTAGCTATTGGTAATCTATTCATAGTTACTTGAACCTAAAAAAATATGTATTTAAATGTATTTTTTATATTTCCCTATGTAGCTATCATGTTTTCTGTTTAACTGTAAAGCCTTGTTGCTGAAATGTGCTTTATAAATAAACGTGCCTTGCCTTACTTTATCACTACTGTATTATTGTATTATTATCATATTGCATGCGTGTGTTCTTTGTATTCCCAGTCTGTTCATGTTAAAAAAGTGCATAACCCCCTTGTCTGTTTACATTCTCTTACTGATTTGATTTTCTTCTTTCTTTTCAATTGGCTGATGCTATGAGCGTAACACAGGCTAGAAGTCAATTCATCTGAGTCCATGGCAGCTCAGTTAAATATCTGATTCTGAAATGTTTAATGAAGTTGTTTTTGCACAGCAGGTGTTGTTTGGCAGACAGCCGGACTTGTAGGAGAACCCACAGACTCTGGAGCTTCAAAAACAAAAATTGAAGGTAAATTTCCAACTTAGAAATTGATCACATCACCAGATATTGTTCATCATTTTTTACTCATCAATATGTTATCTTAGCCTGGCTTAAGATCATATCAGAAATCTTAACTGAGCAAGGCTATATGAAGAGATGGGTAAGGTTTAGAGTTACAAGTGTTCAAACTGAACAACCCCTTCCCTGCTTACAGCTTTCTTTTATCCCTGCTGGAAGCTGTTAGCGCCCACCTCAGGTTTCCACAAGAGATTAATCAACTCTTTTGGAGAAAGAAACAAAAAAACAACTCATGAGGTGCAGTGTGAGGGTCTGATGTGGATCTATGAGTTAGTAAACTTGTTTAAAGTGTGGTGCTTCAGATTATTGTCTCTAGTTACCCTATTATTAGAAGGCTGCCTACGTTATTTTCAGGAAACATCCTAGAAATTTTTTGACATGTGACATAGGAACATGACACAGCCTGTCCCGGTCCAGGCTAAATGACTAATCGTAGCCTAAACATCAGCTTGATATAGGCTGAGAGTGTCTGGTCTGCTTACCTCTGCAGAGACAAACAGGGCCAGAAACAGACAGCAGGAGACGAACCCGGGCACGACTTTCCTCCGGTCCATCCTGCTGAAGTAACCATCTCCTCCACACACCTTCACCCACTCAGCCCGCCTTCTGATCAGCTTTCCTCTCCGTGCGATCAGAAACGGACGGGAAAACACGCTCAAAGACAGCCCGCCGGCTGTGGTGCGCTCTGAACTCCAGACATCCAACCCACCCCGGAGCTAAAAATGACGCGCTGTTGGCGAGCAAAGGACATATCTCTCTCTCTCTCTCTCTCTCTCTCTCTCTCTCTCTCTCTCTCACACACACACACACACACACACACACAGTGGCACGTCAAAGCTGTTTCCCATAAATAAAAGGTGTGACGCCTTAACCTTCATACCAATGACCGACATAAGAGCCTCTGTAAATAATTCATCTTTACACTTTCTTAGTAGTCTAAATAGTCTTAAAACAGCCAGTTTACAACAGTCTATCCTGAGGCGCCAGATACATTTTAGATAGATAATATGACTAGAATAAAGAAAGACAGGGAGTCCAAGTTTTGACTGAGAATACCAATGAGTCTAAGCTAAGCCTACCTACTGCACACAGGACTCCCCGGACAGCAGGACTGAATGGACCTGGTCCTGGTGAAATAACAGGTTAACCAAGACCAATGACGAATTTAAACTGGTTTGATCAGTTTATCAGAATTTAATCAGTTTGAATGGAACATATATTACTCATAATTTAACTTAATGACCTGGAAAGACATGTTCCTCCCTAAACCCAAATGTTTTATATGATGTAGGCCATTTAACAAAAAGAGTGCAGCCAATCAACTCTTCAGTTATCTGACAGGGAATGTACACTGGATCAATCTAGTTTAGCCAAAACTAATGAAGGTTCATGAAGGTTATAATGTTCATTTTGTGTTGAAACAGTTTTAGAGAGGTGTTGATTGAACTGAACGTAGGCTGTACATTTTGGATGATGTAGTTACATTGCATTATCCAAGAACTGGTTATCAATACAGTAACTTAAATTACATAAAACCTGATGTGTGTCTTATCAAGTAGTGTGTGGTCATAATTTTATACACTAATACAGTAAGTTACACTTACTGATAGTGACAGTCTGGCACCTGGGAAACAATGGAGGCTCTGAAAACAGCAGCACTGGAAGTCACCACCCGGAGATTAGCAGGGCAAGGCCATGGTTTCTCTCCAAATAAAAAAGCCTGATCGTGATAGGCTGGAATTCAATGGGCGACTTTCGAAGCACTGATTGTTTTTCTGGCAACCTCTCACAAACACAGATGATTATAGAGCAATCGTATCATCAGAACTCTTCAGTGTGCCTCTTGGGGCAGAGGCCTCAGATGCACCATGAGATGGATGTGAAAGATAGTAATATTTTCACAGATTCTACTGAACAACCCTGAAACAGCTGAGGACTCCAACAAGGCATGAACAGGGGGCCCATCATTCTGAGGGTCTGTTTCAAATAAACTTGCAATGAACAAGTTTATGAACCAAAAAAGCATCTTAATATAATGTCAATACTGAGCTGCAGCTAAAATATTTGTCATTAGGTATATATTGATTGTTATGTTGTGCAGCTCCATAGGTCAACATTTGGAGTAAATGTCTACAAATCTTGCTCTGGAAGTTCTGCACAACCGTCACCAACCATCTGTAGTCTCCACATCACCAGCAGCAAACACACTATACACAGGGATCTGAAAATAGCAAAGTTGTCTCTACTAGAGAAAATATGCTTTTTACTAACTCAGGCTATTGTTTACATCTATGATAATGAGAAATCAAAACATTACATTTGGTATGAAGGAGTGAAGCCTGAAGACATGCATATGTAACAGTGAGAGTGATGGCTGCAGACTGTGCTGGAGTTTCCTCTGCAGTCTAGATGTTTGGGAGGAAGTGATAAGCAGGGTGGGGAAATGCTTCTGTATAATGATGCACAGATAACCAGGGAAGCAGCAAAAAAACTAAATAAAAACAAACACATTCTGACAATGGTGGGTGCAAACATAGCACAAAATCCTTCCTGTCCCTCAGACAAAACATGAAACAAAATCCATGCTTACAGCATCATTAAGAAAATGTCAACATTTCTGCAAGGAAAGGACACATGATGAACATGGGAAATAATCTAAATTGGAGGGAGGTCATTAAAAAAGGATGACAGATCAAAGGAACAGTCCAACTTGAAACATGCTTGCTTTTCCAGTCAGATGAGAGGAGCAATTCCTTTTATGCATGCTATTTCCATCCAGTGACTATAATTTAGCCTAGCCTAGCACAAAGACTGGAAGCAGGGGGGAAATGCTAGCCTAGTTCTTTTAAAATGTAAAAAAAAAAAAAACTTCCAAAATCTCCAAAACCATGTGATTTACATCTAGTGGCAAGCTAGATTTTGTGTACAATGAGAATGCATATGTAGTAAATACTAAACATAACCTACTAAAAGAAATGACAGATTTGTACATTGATGGAAATGTACATGTCTTTATTGCTGTTGTTCCCAAAATCACATATCAGCCACTGATTTATTACAAAGAAAAATGTAAGAAGCAACGTTGTGAGTGCTCAGTCTCCCAGTGTTTTCCTAAAAGCATATCCATTCTTGGATTAACTTTTGTCTGAAATCGATTTTTTGTGAATGAAAAGCCCCCTGACTGATCACACATGGGAACAGACCTAATCTATTCAGCTGGGATGTCAAAGGAAAGCTGGTTTAGGAGGGGCAACAGGGGTTAACTGTCCCAATCCCACTACTGGAAGGAGTATTCATGTTCCTCCAACTGTATGTACGAATTTTGTGTAGTTTGAAATGTATGAGAATTTACTGGGCAGGGAGTCCAAAGCAAGATGCTGAGTTGCATTGTAGGAAATTTAACCAATACTAAGGACCAAAAGTCAGATATCTCGGACACATTGCACTGATTTTGACTTTAATCTGTCTCTTGTGAGTCCCCTGCACTACATTGAAGTGCAATCCAACATCAGTGGAGTACCCCGTTAAAGACCATACCTTTGTTGATGACAGTTCCAGCCTATACACTACATGTACATTCAACAGTTCTTTATTCAAACCGGAAACAAACATGGTGCTTGTGTTATAACGTGAAATATATAACCTTCTTGCATTGAAAAGGCTGCTCTTTGTCATCTGTCAAGCCTCAGACGTTGGAGCTTCCAACCCATCAGAAAAATAATGGAACACTAGTGGACTTTTTAAACAACAAAACATACCTTTGTCAAAAATATTATCAGCTTGTGAACTGGCGCAAGCATGGCTGGACCCAGTCAGATTTATGCTGTTAACATTATGCTTAATGTTAAATGCATGCCACACATGAATAATTATGTATCCATGAATCGAACCATATATTCAAATAGAATTGTCTGATTTAGAACTGGTTAAATACATCGACAGAAAGTGTCGTGTCCCAATTCCACACTACATGCTTACAGTATTCAGTTCGTACCATTTTATTGTCAAAGAATTCCTCGGTTTTCCCAAAAAGAAAAGTAAATGTTTTTTTCCATAGATTAAGATCTTTCTGGAGCTGTTTCACCACGACCAACGATTATTTAGTCCCCCCCCCCCCTCACCCCACAGCAGCTCCTGTTTCCTTTCTAGATTGCATTGTGGGAGAATAGTGTACATCAGCACACTCAACAATCCGCAGTTCTATAGTACTCATACTAACTTTGAGGATACCAAATGTTGTCACTTTACAGCATGAACACAATACTGACCCTAAACCTGCTTTGATTAGTGAGTAGAATGGAACAGGGACAAAGTCAGAAGGTTCAGGAATATCCATATCAGCCACACTGAGCTTTGCTTACCGGTAATCTATGTAACCCTATCTGCCTGATCAACATCTGTTAACCACCAATCTAAACTTCCACAGGAATGGCAAAGCATAAAATAAGCTCAGGTCCAGGAGCCATGAAACCCAAGTGGAATAATTCCATTACTTCCACTAATAACATCTCTGCTCTGAATGAGACCACTCTGCTAAATTGGATTGAGACAAAATGGCATCATCTTCATCAGAGCCAAATCAGGACGTGAGGAGAAAGTCATGTTATATTTCAAACCGTACAACGCAGCGTGCTGTGAATAAGAAGGCTGTACCGTTACAGAATATTAGTCATCAATATGAAATGATTGAATAACCTTTGGAAACCTGATGTCACATATTGAAGGAGTTTGTGTCAAAATCGTCCATTTCAGTGCTCTGCTCCTTGCTTTATTAATTTCATAAATGTGCATGGCATCTTATTTTTAATCATACAGTAGTTGAGTCTGAACACCTAACATGATGAAACCCAGACCAAGACCCAGTCCCATGGCCTCTTTTTAACCTGCACATTTCAAGTCTGTATAACCTCTGCATTAAAAAGTTGGTTTCTTAGATCTCAGTGCGCAGGTTGGGAAATCTCTTCAGCAGGGTTGTGGCTTGTTTGGGGTGTAGGCGTCCTCCCTGGATGTTGGTCTGTTCAGATTTATTCTTCATAGCAGCCTGTGAAAGAGGAAGATGATTTGTTATCAGTGCTTTTTACTGTGTAATGTGTAAATTAAGTACAACCTGGAAACTTTTGCACATTTTCAGCCCAGAATGGTAAACGTGCTTCAGTGTACTGCAAGTTGGACAGTTCCAGAAAGACAGACTTATCTTAGCCAAAAAAGTTAGCCACCCTACCCTAGCTCCGAACTAAGAAGCATGTTTCCATAGTAAGAACCAGTGACACTGTTCAGTGCCACCAATTAAGAAAAGAGAGGAAACATGGCTCATAAAGAGAGCACAGTTTAACCTACTGAAATTATCCAGCAGTCAGGACATCGCCAGCTTTTTGTATTCACCCAAGCAAACTATCCTGAGCCTGACTCACTAGTTACTACTAAAAGCTTACTCACACTATGGACTGTGCGATATGACCATATATCATTTGACAATAGAAAAACATCTATGGTTTATTTTGTTGTGTCGCAAATTCCACACTTTATGGTAATATTTTTGCGAACATACTGCGGGGAAGTTAGTGTTAAGTTGGATATTTGACAGATGTTTCAAATATACAACCAACTTCTCCGCAGTACGTTCTTCCACACTTGCCGGTTTTGCAGGGAAGAAATCTTCATTCAGAATTAACAAACGTGGAGGAAAGTGAAGTTTACTCAGAAATGAGTGATACTGAACAGAAGGACAAAAATGAGGAGCTCAAAGCTCAGAGAGAAGCCTGTTGTATGGATGAGCCACACAACACAATTCAGGTAACGTTAAGTGACTTGCACACAGACATTCAGCTTACTTTCTAGTTCACCAAGACCTGAAACAGGTTGAGGCCCCAGGTTTTCCTGTAGGGTGACAGCTGATTTGTAGTATATTTAAGAAAAAACAAAAATGACTTAGTGAATTTCAGTGTAAAACAGTATCTTCAGTAGGTTCTTAAATTGCACAGTCCCTTTGAAACTATTTTATCCTCTGTTTTCAATGGAATATATTTTGGTTCAGTGCCATTCAGGTGATAATAACCATTAGCTGTCAGCACTGAATAGATTTCAGATTACATATGAGGTCACCTCATCCTACCATCCTGCTTTATCTGTATCGAAGACCGACATTTTTGACATCCTGTATGGAAATAGGACAAGCTGCTAAAAGCTCCTACACAGACGGAAAAATAGACAAATGCAACAACAAGCATTTCAACAGGGAATTGATAAATTCATAACTTCAGTGAGACCTGTGATTATGGCTACCCACTGGCCATGACATGACACCTCAGGAGGATTTATAGAGTACCTAAACCAATAATTCTTGATATCACCAAGGAGGACCCACAGGAATCTGCAAGACTGAAAACTGCCCTCCTCCAGAGGGTACGTCCACACTATTATGTTTTCTTTTTAAAACTCTCCATACACACAAGCAACGTTTCACCACACACCTGAAAACGCACACATCACTAGACATTCACGTACACTGGGCATGCTCATGCCAGTGTAAACAGGAAGCAGATCGTCTTCTCTGCAGTCGGTTGCTTAGTTGCAGAAAATACTACAAACGAAGACGAACAGCAAAGGCGAAGAGTCGGACCAGAGATTTCTTTCTTGTACCAATGACGAGGTGGAACGGTCACTGAAAGTAACACGAGTATAAAGCGCATGTAGGCAGTAATGGCATTATAAAATGCAGAATATAACTGCACAACAGCTGCTAGCATACAACAAGGTCAGCAACGGCTGAAATTCCTTATCCATGTAGAATTAAGCGCTGCTAGTCAAGGATGATGTCATGGGTGTCTGCTTCATTGTTTTCAAAAGTCTCTGTTTCCGCCCTTCCAGATTAAAACGCAATCCCGGAAGTTTCAAACTAAAACAACGTCAGCAAATAGCAGCGCTGATGGAAGGCCCAAACATATAAAGCAGTGATTTGCTCTGCAGGTGCTGGACCAATTAGGGCAGAGCGGAACTACAGTGTGGCTCACATGTACCCAGGCTTCTAGTGGTTACCGCTCCACCTTGCTACTGGCAGCTTCAAAGGTGACACACATCCCATGAAGATCAACTTCCCCTCACTTTTGGATTTTGCTGATTAGTTGGAATACAAGCTTGGGCTTTAGGGAAGTGGAGCTGGAGTTTCAGAGATATGCATTTTAGATTTAGACTTTATTGTCAAAGAGGGAGATTTCTTTTCACACTAGGGGTGGGAAAATAAAATCCATTCTTAGTTTTAGTATTTCTAAATGTTAAGTGATAACATGATGTTGACAGAACGCAAAAGGCTGAACTCAGAAGTGCAGCGCCCGGACAGTCTGGTCAGAGACCAGTGTTCCCCCTATAATCGCCGCACTGCCGCTGCTGAATTATGACCGCCACTACTAAAATTTCACACGATCATTAATATCAATGCATTACCAATGATTTTCACTCCCACGCTGTGTGAGCATGGTAACACGCAACGCCAACGCCCAAGGACATCTACATGACAGGTGCTGTTTTAAGAGCAGGGAAGTTGGGGCTCTTAAGGAATAGGGCAGTGCATAATGTGTGTGTAGCGAGCACGGAGGAGCTGAGGTTAGTAAAGCAAGTTAGGGATGCAAACTAGTCACCTTTTGGATGTTAGTGCAAATGAAATGCTTGGTAATTATACAGAGGAGAAGAGGTTCTCATGTTGCCTCTTTTTTATGTTAATTTCTCTGATGTCATATTAACATATTAATATTTTCCCTGCCTTTATAAGGCTTGGGTGCTGTGCCATGAATGTAAAATCATTGTGGAGAGCACTGAAACTAACTACCTGAGCTCTCCTCCAGTTTAAGGTCCTGTATCTCTGTCCACATGGCAGTAATGTAAAGTGATGATTGAGGGGGTGGTCAGTGTCACATGCCTAGCACTCACAATAGCGAATGACACTGACCACCCCCTCAATCATCACTTTACATTACTGCCATGTGGCAAGAGATACAGAACCTTAAAATACATTTATTTATAACGCCTTCATGGTAAATCCACTGAAAAGGACCAGAGCGAGCTGACAGGCAGGTTAGCGACTTTATCCTGTCAGTTTGTCTCTTTACAAAGACAAGTGTTGCAGCAGAGAGCCCTACCTGAAGGGAGGCTGTGAAGTCTTCATGTTACGCCGTACGAGAACCACATACATTATTTATCAAATTAGGTCGGGCTTGAGGATACACATGTGACAACGTCCAGTTTTCAAAATAAGGCGTCTAAACAGGATGGAAATAAGATTAATTGGATTATATTCCATGTGTCCATATACAATGTGTCCATTAAAAGGAAATGGACACATGTAATTTACTTAACGGACCCTCTCGGGCCTCAGACCCACCCACCATAGTCTCTCCAAATCCTGTGGGAAACACTGGGTAAAAACACATTTTGACTATTTCATTTATGCAATGGAAAAAAAATGAATGTACTAGTTCAGTAATTTTTTTCATTATATTAGGTTTTGAAAATTCTCATTTTGGTGCATCCCTAGTCTGGAATGAGCAGACATTTTGTCCATATTTGTGTATTTTGCAAACAATCAGCATTACCTCAATCAATGCAATAACTTCAGTCGACTCACCAACAAACAGAAGACAACTTGGATCATAGCAAATGAGTCACGCTAGTGATTAGGGTTGAGCCGATAGACGACCCCCACATTATTCCGCCATGTGAAAGCAGGTTTTAATCCCAACAAACGTTTTTATTTTTAAATATACCTGCTTTGCACCTGCCTCAGACTTCTCTTCCCCCCACACTCAGACACAGTCACACCTACACCTCAGGTCTCTCACTGCAACCACACCGGCTTGCCCCGCCTCTTTCTCTCTGCTCCCCTGACTTTCTCTATCAGCAGTATGTTTTATAAAGCCGCCCAAAAGACACAGAACTCGTCTTTTTTGCGGAGTTTTCCACCCATGATCAGTTATCACGGCAGCAGGTGAGCCACATGCCGGCTTGTTGATGACTTTCAGCCTATCAAACAACCAAAACCAACATCTGCACTCTGTGTGTTCAGTGTTGCTTTACCTGAAACCCGATGGTACAATATCCACCGTGTCCGTGACTTGTAATGTAATAGGCTACCAAGTTTTTTACCAAGTGAAGCCTATGCCAGTGAACACCTCTATAAGACGACCGCTGCATTCGATGCCATTGTACATTCCGATGTTTCATTGTAGACATCGTCCGATGGCAATTTTGTAGTCATCGCCCAACCCTACTAGCAAGTGGACGAAGTCACCAGGCAGCTCAGCCAAGTCTACAAATGAAGTTTGAGCTGGAAGTGGTCATGTCCTATTAAAAGGTAAGCAAAGTTGACCTACAAAGTGGACAGCATAAACTGGAAATGCATGGCATCCTAGATGATGGATCTGAGAGAACTACAGGCTGCTGCTGAAAAGCTCCAACTAAAGGGGAAACCAGAGCATATGGTGCTGCATAGTTCGCCAGTGCCTACAGATACTACTCGCCCCTGCTGAACACCCTCAGATAACATGCAAGGTAAAGAGCAAGAACCTTTACCTCAGCAAATGTAGCTTTAGCAGAGCACACCCGCCCTATGATAGTCAAACTATTCAGCCTATTTCAAAGTGAACATGCATGTCAGCTTACAGCACAAACCAGCCCAGGTGTCAGTTGTGTAGCTGTGTATAGGAACATACCTGAGCCTTCGCAACACAAGTGTAGAAGGCGTTCATCTCATTGGAGCACAGACCATCCACAAAGTTGTTCTGCTTCCAACAGGCCATCATGACTGACATCTCTGTGACACAGGTGGCCTCTGTGGAGAAAATGGTTCATGTTTACCCTTCAATACCAATATGATTTATGACTTACATAAATAACGTCTTATCAAGCCGTAGCAGATGAAACATTTAAGCAGTGCTCAACCCCTTGTTCACACTGTACACCACTGACTGCAAGCCCCGACATGGGGATAAATCTGTTGTGAAGACACAATCCCATCGACCAAGCATTAGTGATATTGGCGAGGTGCCTGCAGAGCGCAAAGGACACTAAAACACAGAACCCACCCAGCCACAGCCTGTATCCGCTGTCGCCCCACCAGACTTCACAACTCAGACAAGATTAAGACACAACACGCTCAACTCACAATTAACCCTTGAAGACAGGGTGGTAAGAAAAAAGAAAAAAATCTAGATTACAACAGTAATGTGTGAAAAATAAACTTGACTCAACTCAACAGTTCTCAGCTTCAGATTAAATTTTCCAACAGCACATTTTGGTAAAATAATAATAATAAATTAACATAAGAGCTTATCATCATAATAGACAGTACCACTAGTTGATCATTGCTTTTCAATTAAATTACTTGCTGTTAAAGTTGGACAATATGACTTTTTGTTTTTACTATCGCTTCATCGAAATATTGGATTTGCAGGATTTTTGAGTTGTCAGCTACTGGATTCACTGGATGAGCCAAAATACACACATTCCTATCTGGTTATTTGATCTAGGAAATAAAGCATATCGTGATACAATCAACCTGTCCTATGTCATGATATCAAACTGCATTTACCTTGTAAAATGTAAAAATGTATCCACATTGCCCTTCCCAAAGCACAGTAACTTACAATCTGAAATAGTGAAAGGTTCCAGGTCTTGCTCGTGTTAGTGTATTTGGTGTATGGGGTGTGTTTTCACGCGTCTCTCCCGCTGACCTTGTATCAGCTACACAAGAGACTACAGGCTGAGCGAGAGAAGCAGTCAGGCTTCATTCATACCTCCTTTCTTCAGTTTGCGGTTGGCTACAGCATCTTTTAAAGCCAGAGTCTTGTTGGGTTTGAGTACTGGTTTTCCGTTCTGCCTACTGAGCAGCCTGCTGACCTTCTCCTGGAACAGCGTGCCTCCCTGCGCCGCCATGTCACCACATAAAGCCGCACTTGCTCCTCTCTACCTCTGGCCGAGCACAGCGGGGAGCTCTGCTGCCGCACCGCGCGGATATACGCAACTGTGAGGACGAAAAGAGAGGAAAACCAGTCTTCAGTTCACCGACATTATCAGGACAGCGCCATGTTCTGCCGTAAGAAGCAATTCAGTGTCGTAAACCCCACGTGTAGTCGTGTGTACCAGATTCAGTTGCTGTCGTAAATCAGCCTTACATACTGTGTGCGTTCTCAGCACGAGCAATCCGACGGTAAAATCACTCAATAACACGAAAAAAATAAATGATATAATATTAGAACGTGCAAACAGGCCTACTACTACCAATGCAATATTAATAATAATAATAATAATAAGTGTCAGTGTGTGAAGCTAGGCTGTAGGTGTGAAGCAATGAGATGTCCCATACTTTGATATATCTTAAAGGGTCATTCCGGGATTTTTAAACCTGTTTTCATACATTTTAGTGTAAAAATGATGAGTAGGTACAAACGTTTTGGAATCACTGCAGTAGATGGCTTCAGCCAGCAGCCACAAACCAGCTGCAGTGTAATTCCTTTGGGGAAACTGTCTGTCAAAATAACTGGTTAAAAAAAAGTGTTTCTTTTTGCCACTGAGTGAATCCCGGTGAGACCCTTTTAACAGGAAACAGAAGTCTCGCTCAAGCACAATTCCATCCCTGAAGTCTTGTGAGAGCGAGTAGCTGCAGGAAGACGGCAGTGGAAACATCATTCAGCCCAGAGTTAAAGAGAGGTGTTTGTTGTGTGGATTAATGTAGGAATAAAGTCTTTCTCCTCTCCAGTTCTTCCTTTTTCAAAATGAGGTTCTAAGGACAGAGGGTGTCGTATGCAGTACAGATTGTAAAGCCCCTTGAGGCAAGTTGTGATATATGTGATATTGAGCTAACTAGGTACAGTTTCCAGTGTAAGAAAGTCCTCTGCTCTGTGTTTTTCTGGCACTTGGCCTATGCTTCAGGGAGAATGCAGGGCAAGTCTTAACATCGTCATGCAGGACATTTTCAGTGTGGATGCAGCATCGGCATGTATTAGAGTTGGTATCATATCAAATGACATCAGTTTCAGCTTTAGAACAGCCTTCAGAGGAAACGACACCCCTCGCACACATTGACACTGTGTTCCTCACATTTCAAACTTTTCCAGGTTGAACAAATATTTGAAGTAGCAAAACTCAGTTCATGTAAAGAAACACCTGATTAAATGTAAAGGTCACAGTCAGTTTAGTATTAGGATGTACACAAATATCAATAGGCCTCTTGTGACCAAGTGCTATAGATGTTTTATGAAAAGACCAACTATCAAATAAACTATTAATACTTACTGTACCTCTGTAAGAAAAGACAATAATACCCTATTTTGCCTGTGGTGTGTACAGTCTCTCTAAGGGGAAAGGGTTAAATGAAAAGGAGGCAACCTGTCCAGGCAGGGTTTAGCGGTCAGGATACTTCATCAGAAGTGCTTGATGTTTGGTTGAACAGCTTCTTCTGTCCTTTAGATCTGTTTTTGGTCTCCACAAGCTCCTGGGGGAATATCTGGGTCTTTAGCTGCTAAATTCTCCACTGTGTTCTAACTGTGTCTGTCTGCTGTTTGCTCCTGAGCAGGTGTGTACAGTGGCTTTTTACAGCTATTTCTCTGAAAATGATGCTATGAGAGTGAACCAGTACAGCTGGATAGATAAACAATGAGCTAAAACTCACCTCGTAAAGCCAAGGGGAGCTACAGATTCTGGAGGTTCATCACTTCAAACAACCAATTTTAACTTAAACATTATTTAAATAAATATGATTTTATTGCTTTAGATATTCCCTGAAAAAAAAACTTAACTTAATTTTTCCACAAACACACACACACTCACTCTAATTTAAATCAAATCTCTCTGACACGCTGGCACATTCCTTCCACTGTCTGCCTGGAAGCTGGTGGGTATTTTCTGTGTCTCTGCATGTTCTTCACCTGGAGGAAATGTGATGTTCTGTGCACAGATGTCTCTGCGCTGAGAGAAATACGGGCTTGATTCTGTGCCAGGATCAGTTCATCCACAGTGATCTGACGCTTCTATCTCAGTTGTCACCCCAGGGACCAGTGCTGCACGCGCCATTTTTCTTACCATGAGGTGTATGTGCATGTGACAGCAAACTGTGCATGTGTGCTCAAACTTTTATTTTGATATAGACTCAACAACACTGGGGAAACTGGAGGACAGAAGCCTGAGTAGAACTCTTAACCTTCAAAACCTCTGAAACACACACATGCGGAAAAGCTCACACAGAAGTAGACTGATAAATCACACTGACACAGTGTTTGAGCATTCTTTTAGGACTTTATCCTTTCCTGTTAACCCCCAGCACACGCTCGCACATTTTACATATTACTGCACTAAATACATAATGTATTGCTGAAAACTGAAACCCACACTAATAACAACCATGAATGGTTTATTTCAAGTCAAGATTCAAGTCACATCATGAGCTTTGACTTTTGTTATTATCTTTATAGTGTTTTTTCTCTGTTAAAAATCTATTTTAATCTCAAGTAAACATTTCCAAAGATCTTATTTTATCTCTTATGATCCTAACGTAATATGGTATCTGGCTTACCCCAAAACACTAGATAGAAGTTTATCTTTCCACCGTTGAATGAACTAATCCTCAAAAGTAGCTGCTGATAAGTCAGGTTGCAACACATTCAAGATATGTCCATATAATAATGACATTGTTTTGATAATCTTCATGTAAACAGGGAAAATGATTTTGCCTGCCAATGTGTCAGCCAGTCACCGCAGAACTATTCTCCTCTCACTGCTTAGCATGAAATACAATCAGACAGACAGTTTAGAGCTTGTTGTGGGTTATCAACAGTGTCTGTCATTTCTTTGGAGCAGAGAGGGATGCGGGCTGACAGGAGTCTAGTAACCAAAAATGGAAATTGTTAAAGATGTGATTAGTCATTGTTTTCATTAGCACCTTATGACTGTTAACCTCAGTCTCTATGGAGTCCCAAAGGTTTGATTTCTGATCACTCAAATGTAGAGTTGCATACACACACACACAGATACAGTGCGGGAAGAAGTTGTTTGATGTTTGCTATCTGAGAAATGAGTCTATTGGCCCTATTACTTAGAGCATATCACAAATAAATGACATGACAATGTAACAACTGCATCGTGAAAGGACAGGATGACGATGAATGTGTTAAGGAGATGCAAGCCTTACATTTGAGGAGAGCCATTTTGATATCTGTTGTGTCCATTATGACCTTGATGAGTGTGTGAGTGGACTGAGGACAGACCAGACAGTTGAACGTTACACAGCCTGAATAAAAGCTTATGGGCACCAATCTTTTCTCCCGCTCCTCAGATCAGGAGCTGCTGAGAACAGGGTGAGCTGGGAGATTGAGGAATGCCTTTCAACATCTCAGCTTTGCCTTGTTTGTGTTTCTGCCTTCTGCCAGCTGTAGCATGACCTTTGATCCCTTCTGTCTTGTTTGCCTTCAGTGCTGCAGAGTCTGACTCAGACCTGAAAGCCCTCTGAAGATCTGCATATTTACCAGTGCTGCTGCATCTGTATGGAGCAGGAAAAACCAAACAGTGGAGAGCGCTGAACAAACCAACATGGCCAGACCCTCATTAGTGTTTGTGGAGAGGAGATTAGACAAGTTCTCAGTGTTTGACTGGAACACCGTGTAAAAGAGTGTAAATAAATAAGGCCCTCTCATCATTGTTGGTGAGCCTGCATAGCGTCAAACTTTACAATGGAGATGGGACGGATTCTGACCACACAGTCATGTACAGGGAGTACACCACCCTCCAGTTTGAGTGTGCACCAAAAGCAACGTTGGAGAAACTAGCAAGACACAGTTAATTCTGAAAGTATCCCACTAAAAACTCCCACCCCTCCCTTCAGATTTCCCTCCAAACCCGCTCCCCCAAAATGCACAGAATGTGCATGGCCAAAGTGCGCGCATGTTGACAGGTAGGCAGGCAGGTAGGCCAGCCAATCATTCCATTAAATGATTACAGACCTGCGACAGCCGCAAACACGTGGGGAAAATTGCATGGGCAGCGTAAGATCACCAGATGTTCCACGTTAGGCAACCATAAGCAGCTAAGACTTTTAGTATCAGTGGGATTGCACCATATGGTTCCTTTTTACATCCTTTTTATAAGGCCTGTCTTCCAGGATGTTTGAGAGACATACATATATCACTAAGTTCCCCCTACACACCTGGGACTGATTGCATTTTCTGTACAAAAGTAGAATACTACTCTTGTTGTTCTCTGATGAAGGCTTGTTGAAACGCATCAGCATCAGAAATGAAATGGTTGACTGAGGCCAGATTTCACCTCTAACCCAGTTCATGAGCATATGTTGCTGTTTGAAGGCCCTCCAGTAGTCCATGCCTGACTAATGTTTGTCTACATTCACAAAACTGATGCTAGGATGAGTATGTATATAGTGTCTCGCCAAACACATGTGGGCACTATATGGGTTAAAATGTTTCATGGTCATCAAGTGGGCTTGATACTTGGGGCTGAGCTTGAATCTCCCATGATAGGCCCATGTAGGCTGACTACTTGAGTCAGCTGCACTGTATAAAGGCAGCTCCCTGCCGTGCATGAGGGTGTGTAAGTGTGGGTGTGTTTGTGAGCGTGAATGGTTGCTTGCCTTTTAGAAGTGAATAATTAATGGGGGGCACAGGGTCTGCAGAAAGAAACAGCTGGTATAGTGCAGAGAGGGTGTGTATGTGTTGGGGTTTGGAGGGGATTCACATCACCCTGCCACCTTGCTGAGTGTTGGTCCACAACCATGGCTGTTAATAGCAGAAGGAATGAGTGGAGTAGTGTGTAAAATGTGTGCTAAGGTGACAACACATGATGAGCTGTGATGAGCAGTCTGAGCTGGGTGACAAGTCAGTGCTGAGAGTTGAGACCAACATTAATCCACCAGCATAATCAGACAGCAGTAGACCACATCACCACCAGTCATACAATACAATCAAACAGGCTACACGTTCACGTCAACATTTTTAAGAAAACTGAATGTATTGAACTCAACGATCTTAATAGTGAGTAGAAACTTATAATAACGTAAAAATGACAATATGACCTATATAAATAAGTCTTATAATGTTACAGGAGTACAG